CTAAGCGAAGCGAAGCTAAGCGAAGCGAAGCTTAGTGAAGCGAAGTGAAGCGAAGCTTAGTGAAGCTAAGCGAAGCAAAGGGAAGCTAAGCAAAGAGAAGCTAAGGTATGCTAAGTGAACCAAAGCGAAGCTAAGGGAAGCGAAGCAAAGCTAAGGGAAGCGAAGCGAAGCTAAGCGAAGCGAAGCGAAGCTAAGCGAAGCGAAGCGAGCGAAGCGAAGCGAGCGAAGCGAAGCGAGCGAAGCGAAGAGAACCGAAGCGAAGAGAAGCGAGGCTAAGAGAAGCGAAGCTAAGCAAAGCTAAGCGAGGCTAAGCGAAGCTAAGCGAAGCTAAGCGAAGCTAAGCGAAGCTAAGCGAAGCTAAGCGAAGCTAAGCGAAGCTAAGCGAAGCGAAGCGAAGCGAAGCAAAGCGAGGCAAAGCTAAGCAAAGCTAAGCGAGGCGAAGCGACGAGAAGCGAAGCGAAGCAAAGCTAAGCGAAAGCGAAGGGACGCTAAGCAAAGCGAAGCGAAACTAAGCGAAGCAAGGCTAAGCGAAGCGAAGCAAAGCTAAGCGAAGCGAAGCGAAGCTAAGCGAAGCGAAGCGAAGCGAAGCGAAGCGAAGCGAAGCGAAGCGAAGCGAAGCGAAGCGAAGCGAAGCGAAGCGAAGCGACGCGAAGCTAAGCGAAGCGAAGCGAAGCTAAGCAAAGCGAAGCTAAGTGAAGAGAAGGGAAGCAAAGCTAAGCGAAGCGAACACGAAGCTAAGCAACACGAAGCGAAGCAAAGCGAAGCGAAGCGAAGCTAAGCGCGAAGCGAAGCGAAGCGAAGCGAAGCGAAGCGAAGCGAAGCGAAGCGAAGCGAAGCGAAGCGAAGCGAAGCGAAGCGAAGCGAAGCGAAGCGAAGCGAAGCGAAGCGAAGCGAAGCGAAGCGAAGCGAAGCTAATCGAAGCGAAGCGAAAAAAAGCGAAGCTAATCGAAGCGAAGCTAAGCGAAGCTAAGCGAAGCGAAGCTAAGCGAAGCGAAGCTTAGTGAAGCGAAGTGAAGCGAAGCTTAGTGAAGCTAAGCGAAGCAAAGGGAAGCTAAGCAAAGAGAAGCTAAGGTATGCTAAGTGAACCAAAGCGAAGCTAAGGGAAGCGAAGCAAAGCTAAGGGAAGCGAAGCGAAGCTAAGGGAAGCGAAGCGAAGCTAAGCGAAGCGAAGCGAAGCTAAGCGAAGCGAAGCGAGCGAAGCGAAGCGAGCGAAGCGAAGCGAGCGAAGCGAAGAGAACCGAAGCGAAGAGAAGCGAGGCTAAGAGAAGCGAAGCTAAGCAAAGCTAAGCGAGGCTAAGCGAAGCTAAGCGAAGCTAAGCGAAGCTAAGCGAAGCTAAGCGAAGCTAAGCGAAGCTAAGCGAAGCTAAGCGAAGCGAAGCGAAGCGAAGCAAAGCGAGGCAAAGCTAAGCAAAGCTAAGCGAGGCGAAGCGACGAGAAGCGAAGCGAAGCAAAGCTAAGCGAAAGCGAAGGGACGCTAAGCAAAGCGAAGCGAAACTAAGCGAAGCAAGGCTAAGCGAAGCGAAGCAAAGCTAAGCGAAGCTAAGCGAAGCGAAGCGAAGCGAAGCGAAGCGAAGCGAAGCGAAGCGAAGCGAAGTGAAGCGACGCGAAGCTAAGCGAAGCGAAGCGAAGCGAAGCGAAGCGAAGCGAAGCTAAGCAAAGCGAAGCTAAGTGAAGAGAAGGGAAGCAAAGCTAAGCGAAGCGAACACGAAGCTAAGCAACACGAAGCGAAGCAAAGCGAAGCGAAGCGAAGCTAAGCGCGAAGCGAAGCGAAGCGAAGCGAAGCGAAGCGAAGCGAAGCGAAGCGAAGCGAAGCGAAGCGAAGCGAAGCGAAGCGAAGCGAAGCGAAGCGAAGCGAAGAGAAGCAAAAAGAAGCGAAGCGAAGCTAAGCAAAGCTAAGAGAAGGGAAGCAAAGCTAATCGAAGGGATGCGAAGCTAAGCGCGAAGCGAAGCGAAGCGAAGTGAAGCGAAGCGAAGCAAAGCGAAGTGAAGCGAAGCGAAGCGAAGTGAAGCAAAGCGAAGAGAAGCAAAGGGAAGCGAAGCGAAGCTAAGCAATGCTAAGAGAAGCGAAGCGAAGCTTATCGAAGGGATGCGAAGCTAAGCGAAGCGAAACGAAGCAAAGCGAAGTGAAGCAAAAAAGAAGGGAAGGGAAGCGAAGCGAAGCGAAGCGAAGCGAAGCGAAGCGAAGCGAAGCGAAGCGAAGCGAAGCGAAGCGAAGCGAAGCGAAGCGAAGCTAAGCGAAGCTAAGCGAAGCGAAGCGAAGAGAAGCTAAGCGAAGCTAAGTGAAGCTAAGCGAAGCGAAGCGAAGCGAAGCGAAGCGAAGCGAAGCGAAGCGAAGCTAAGCGAAGCGAAGCGAAGCGAAGCGAAGCTAAGCGAAGCTAAGCGAAGCGAAGCTAAGCGAAGCGAAGCGAAGCGAAGCGAAGCGAAGCGAAGCGAAGCGAAGCGAAGCGAAGCGAAGCGAAGCGAAGCGAAGCGAAGCGAAGCTAAGCAAGCGAAGCGAAGCGAAGCGAAGCTTAGCGAAGAGAAGCGAAGCGAAGCTAAGCGAAGCGAAGCGAAGCGAAGCGAAGCGAAGCGAAGCGAAGCGAAGCTAAGCGAAGCGAGGCTAAGCGAAGCGAAGCTAAGCGAAGCTAAGCGAAGCGAAGCTAAGCGAAGCGAAGCGAAGCGAAGCAAAGAGAAGCGAAGCAAAGCTAAGCAAAGCTATGCGAAGCAAAGGGAAGCTAAGCTATGCGAAGCGAAGCGAAGCTAGGGGAAGCGAACCGAAGCTAAGGGAAGCGAAGCGAAGCAAAGCGAAGCGAAGCGAAGCTAAGCGAAGCAAAGCGAAGCGAAGCGAAGCTAAGCGAAGCAAAGCGAAGCGAAGCGAAGCTAAGCGAAGCGAAGCGAAGCGAAGCGAAGCGAAGCGAAGCGAAGCGAAGCGAAGCGAAGCGAAGCGAAGCGAAGCGAAGCGAAGCGAAGCGAAGCGAAGCGAAGCGAAGCGAAGCGAAGCGAAGCGAAGCGAAGCGAAGCGAAGCGAAGCAAAGAGAAGCGAAGAGAAGCGAAGCGAAGCTAAGCGAAGCGAAGCTAAGCGAAGCGAAGCTAAGCGAAGCGAAGCTAAGCGAAGCTATGCGAAGGAAAGGGAAGCTAAGCTATGCGAAGCGAAGCGAAGCTAAGGGAAGCGAACCGAAGCTAAGGGAAGGGAAGCGAAGCGAAGCTAAGCGAAGCGAAGCGAAGCGAAGCGAAGCGAAGCGAAGCGAAGCGAAGCGAAGCGAAGCGAAGCGAAGCGAAGCGAAGCGAAGCGAAGCGAAGCGAAGCGAAGCGAAGCGAAGCGAAGCGAAGCTAAGCGATGCAAAGGGAAGCTAAGCGAAGAGAAGCGAAGCGAAGCGAAGCGAAGAGAAGCGAAGAGAAGCTAAGCGAAGCGAAGCGAAGCGAAGCGAAGCGAAGCGAAGCGAAGCGAAGCTATAGAAGCTAATAGAAGCGAAGAGAAGCTAATCGAAACGAAGCGAAGCTAAGCGAAGCGAATACAAAGCTAATCGAATCGAAGCGAACCTGTGCGAAGCAAAGCGAAGCGAAGCGAAGCAAAGCGAAGCGAAGCGAAGCGAAGCGAAGCGAAGCGAAGCGAGGCGAAGCAAAGCAAAGCGAAGCGAAGCGAACGGAAGCAAAGCGAACGGAAGCGAAGCGAAGCGAAGCGAAGCGAAGCGAAGCGAAGCGAAGCGAACGGAAGCGAAGAGAAGCGAAGAGAAGCGAAGAGAAGCGAAGAGAAGCGAAGAGAAGCGAAGCGAAGCTAAGCGAAGCTAAGAGAAGCGAAGCGAAGCTAAGGGAAGTGAAGCGAAGCTAAGCGAAGCGAAACGAAGCTAAGCGAAGCGAAGCTAAAGCATTGTCGCTTGTCCAAGTTCTTGAGTGGTACCCCACCAAACAACAACAAGTTTTTTTCATTTAGGTACCTTGTTCACTAAAACTCTTTCTTTTTGTATACCTAGCTAGTGTATGGCCTCAAGATCATCATGGCTTGTGCTCAGATCCAAAATCCAAATGGTTGGGAAGTTGGAGTATGTCAACTATTGTCCCATGTCTAAACACTTGAGCGTTGCCCAACTAAACCTCAACTTTATGTGTTTTTTGAGATACTGAGCCATTTCTAGGCCCTTGTTTTGCATGAAGACTTAGTGCATGGGCACAAGATAATCGTGGCTTGTGCTCAGATCCAAAACCTAAGTGTGCAAAAAGTTCTGGTATCATATGTGTTTCTTGTTCCAGTACTCGAGCATTTTTCTACGAGGCCTCAAGTTGGTTATCTTCCTATTGAGCGTGCTCAAACATCTTGCTATTGAGCGTGCTCAGATCCAAAACCTAGTAGTGCCGCCCCAGCTTGCTCCTATCTTGTTTGTACTCTTGCTGACTGGTCTTCGGACCCCTGTCTCTGAGGTTGGACTAGTTGTGCCACCCTGAGCTGTGTGCTTTTTGCTCAGCACTACCCCTTATCTAGCCTAGGGGGTGTGTCAACTTATGCATACATTCTGCACGTTGCAGTTATAGGCTAGAATAGGTGTATGCTCTTAGAGAGTACAACCAAACCCTATATCTTGCTTGTTCTGTCTTGTTCTAGTCATTCTAGTATTCTAACACTTTGTTCGTCGAGGGAAACGCCACATGCGTGAACGCATGCACACATGAGTGCATGCATGTTTGGATGTTTCCTTGGCTACTACTCTAGTTATACTAGCCTAGCTTGAGTATCCTGAATGTTGTATTGTTTTTCGGCCAAAACAATTACCGTTAGATGTAGGTGGAGAAGATAACTACACTGGTGGGTGTGGTTAATGAGAGAAATCAATGCTGATGATATTGAAGTGACATGAAAACAGCAATGTGTACTTATGTATGGTATTTGTACTACTCTATGATAGTTATCTACAGCTTGAAAAGTTTATATCCGGGCAGATTTCCAGCCCCTCCACAACGCGCTCGTGCTTCATCCTTCCCTAGCATAGCAGTGTGATCAAGCGTACAAATGCGATCTGTCTCCAATTTCCTGGAGGGTAGTTTAGACCTAGTTCATCAGAAGATACCACTAAAAAAAGCGCTGCGTCATGTCAGCCAGTGACTGCATGTTTATGCCACAGTAGGTACCCGCCGCCTTACTCTCGGCCTTCAATTCTCAGTCCCTCCAAAATCGCACCTTTCCCAAATCCTCCATCTCTTGTTCTCCCATCGACTGCCATGTCAGATCGACTTTTGAGGTGACTCAAAAGTCTCTCTACCTCCAGTTTCTCGTTGTCCCATCGGCCGCCATGTCGGATTCCGAGGACGATTTCGAGCAGGAGTTGCTGCAGGCCGTGGGTCGCGCCAGCAGAAGCGGCGGCAGGAGCGGCGGAGGCGACGGCGGGCGGAAAGGCGGAGGCGGGGGAGGGAACAGGCGGAGCAGCAAGGGTGGCCGCAGCCGTCGATCTGGATTCCGCAGCTCGAGCAGCAGCGAAGATCAGCCGTCGGATAACGAGGATGATGACGACGACTACGAGGACATCGAGCAGCGGGAGCGCGCGAGAGGCGCGCGCGGATCGGCCGCTGCGGAAGCGAAGGGGGATTCTCGCAGCCGGGGAAACGGGAGTCCTCCGCGGGGAAGCGGGTCCCGCGGCGGCGGCGGCGGAGGCGGCGGGAGCCGTGGAGGGGGAAGGGGCAGTGGATCAGACGGGGAGAGAAGGGCGCGCGGGGGAGGCGGCGGGGATGGGGGGGATTCCGACAGCAGCGCGCTGTCGTTCGGTAGCGATTTGTACAAGGACGACGACGATCGCGAACGGTTACAGGCGATGAACGAAATCGATCGCGAGCAGATCCTGTTCGAGCGCGACGAACGGCGGCGAAGCCACCTGGACAAGCGCGAACTTCGCAAGAAGCTTCGCCAGCAGCAAAAGCTGCACCCGCAGCAGCAGCAGCAGTCGTTTCACCGCACCCAGGAGCGCACCCCCCGCGCCTCCGCTAGAGAATCCGCAGCTTCCGCCGCCGCAGCGTCCGCGCCACCGGCGGCGGCGGCGGCGGCGTCCACGCCAGAACCAGCAGCGCGCGGAGGGTCCGCGGTAGGATCAGCTGTAGGGTCGGGCGCAGGGACTTTAGAGACGTCTCAAAAGCCGGCGTCTTACACGCCGCCGGGATCGGCGGTGGCGCGGGCGCGCGGGTTTGGCGGCGTGGAGCGGAGCCGCAAGGAGGGCGCGCTGCAGCAGCTGGAGGCGAAAAAGGCGGCGAAGCAGCAGCGGCGGCAGGACCTGGACGCGGATAAGGACGCGGACTATAACGCGGATAAGAGCGCGGGTACAGGTAGAGACGCGGATAGAGCCGCATCAGACGCGAGTGACGATGCCCTGGCGTCGCGGCGCAAACCGCCCGCGCCAGCGGAAGGGAAGCCCCCCCCTGCCGCTCGTGCCCGCTCGCGCTCCCGCTCCCGCAGCCGCAGCAGCAGCCGGGGCAGGGGCAGGGGGAGCGACAGCGAGGCTAGCAGCAGCAGCCGCAGCAGCAGAGGCAGGGGCAGGGGCCGCCGCCGCTCGCGCTCCCGCAGCAGCGACAGCTCCGACCGAAGCAGCAGCAGCAGGAGCAGCCGGGGGCGCAGCAGCAGCAGCGACAGCGACAGGGGGAGCAGCAGCAGCAGCGAGGGCGGCGGGGGCAGGGAGGGGCGGAAGCGCGGCGGCGAGCAGTCCAGGTTCGCTGAACCGGACGAGCTGTCAAAGATTGTGGTGCAGCGGTCGAAGCTGGCGCAGTGGTGCATGGAGCCGTACTTTGAGACGCTGGTGTGCGGGTGCTACGTGCGCGTGGGCATTGGCACGAACCCGCACGGCCAGCCCGTGTACCGCATCTGTGAAGTGGTGGCTGTGGACGCCAAAGACCCCTCCAAGCAGGTTTGGGACCATGTTATTGCCAAGATCCCTTCTTGGGTTCATCACCTGTTGCGCGGTTGCCCCGTTACATTACATACAAACGGTTCAGTTTCCTGCGGTGATTTTGGATTCGACTAAAAAATCACCTACATAAAGCGGTTCGGTTTCCTGCGTCAAAGGGCGCATCCTGTTTAAGCTCCCAGACTGCAGGGGCCGTTGGAATGGAGAATTTCCTCCCGCTCTCCCCCCTCCGCCCGCCCCCCCTCCTGCCCCCTACGCCCCTCCCCTCCCCCCCCCCCCCCGGCTCCCTACACCCCCTCTGCCGCTGCTCTGTCTGTCCAACAGTACAAGTTCGAGGGGCGCATGACGTTCAAGTTCTTGGACTGCAAGTGGGGCGAGCACCGGGCGCGCTGGCAGATGGCTCGAGTGTCCGACAAGCCCGCCACCACGCAGGAGATCCTGCAGCTGTTTCGGGAGATAGAGAGGGCACACCTGCACAGGTGAGTTGATCAGGCACACTTCACACCTGCACATGTAGTGGATTTTTTAATCGACTCAAACATCATTGAGCGGGCGCACCTGCACTGCACAGGTGAGTTGATCAGGCACACTTAACACCTGCACATGCAGTGGATTTTTTAATCGACTCAAACATCATTGAGCGGGCGCACCTGCACTGCACAGGTGAGTTGATCAGGTCAGGCACACACCTGCACATGTAGTGAGAATAAGCAGTGAGTTTGGTTGCCCCATGTGTCTGACAAGCCCGCCATCAACCAGGAGATTCTGCAGCTGTTCCGTGAGATAGAGCGCGCGCACCTGCACAGGTAGTGGGAATATTCAGTGGGTTTGTCTTAGTTTGGCATTGGGCGTGTTCTCTTACTTCCAGCCAGCCCGCCACCACATAGGAGATTCTGCGGCTGTTTCGGGAGATAGAGCGCGCGCAACTACACGGGTAGGGGAGTGTTGTAGGCATTGGGACGAGCCAGGTAGGGGAGTGTTGTAGGCATTGGGACGAGCCCGCAACACTCAATGCCTACAACATGCATGTTGTAGACAGCGCGTGTCCGGCAAGGCAAGCCCGCCACCACGCAGGAAACCCTGCAGCTGTTCCGAGAGACAAGAGCTGGCTGGCTGGCGGTGTGGAGGTTGCGTGCAACCTGTATCCCTGGTAAAGGGAGAAACGTACCTGTCTGTATCCCCTTCAACTCCTCCCGCCCCTCCCACCTCTTCGCTCACCATCCCCATACACACGCCAGAGTGACAAAGGAAACGGTGCAGAGGAAAGTGGAGGAGTTGGATGCAGTGAAAGGGTACGTGTATTCGGCCGAGGTGGTGGCCTCGATGCTAAGGGAGAAGCGGGCGGCAGCGGCGCGGCCCAAGATGGTGATAATGGAAAGAGAGAGGATTCGGCTTGACATCGCTGCTGCGGAGCAGAGGAGCGATTTGGGCGCGGTGGAACAGCTAAAGGCAGAGGTGAGTGTGTGCTGGGGAGAGGGTGGCTGACTTGTGAATGGTAGGTGCATCTGTTACTGGCAGCAGCGCGGCCCAAGATGGTGGTGATTGAACGGGAGGGGATACGGCTTGACATCGCTGTTGCCGAGTAGAGGGGGGACCTGGGCATGGTGCAACAACTCAAAGCAGAGGTGAGTGCTTGTTGGTGATGGGGGGGGGAGGGGGGGAGGGGCCAGCGCGGCCCAAGATGGTGATAATGGAGAGGGAGAGGATACGGCTCGACATTGCGGCTGCCGAGCAGAGGGGCGTTTTGGGCATGGTGGAACGAGTCAAGCAACTAGGGCGCGCTCGTCTCACTAGGGCGTGCTCGTCTCACTAGGGCGTGCTCGTCTCACTAGGGCGTGCTCGTCTCACTAGGGCGTGCTCGTCTCACTAGGGCGTGCTCGTCTCACTAGAGTAACCCCCTACTCGTGCCGTACCCCTTTGGTGTGCTTTCCTCTGTGTGTTTGACGTATGTGCCTCATGCCTCATCATATTGTCTGACTCCATTGCCGTTACATGTATTACTGTTACATGTGTTACCGCACCATGTGGTACCAGCTGGAGAAGTTTGAGAGGATGTGAGAGGACAAGGGCGACGTGGGCAAGTGCCGATTTTACTAGTACTGTTGGTGTTACATGTGTTACCGGCTGCTCCTACATACTGCCCCACCCTCCTCCCGTTCCCATCGTGTGTTGCCAGTTGGAGAAGTTGGAGCGGATGGGAGAGGACAAGGGCGAGGTGGCCAAGGGGCGGCGCGAGTTTGATCTGGCAAGAATGAACAAGCGCAACCGGCAGGAGAACTTCCGCACCGCTGTCAATGCCGCCACTGGCGGCACAGGTGGGAAATACTTAGTTCAACCTGGCACGAATGAGCAAGCGCAACCGGCAGGAGAACTTCCGTACCGCTGCTAACGCTGGTGCTGGCGCCACAGGTTAGCAGTAGTACGCAGTGCCCCTCGTATCCATGTCAGCTGCCTTCCCCCATCCTGTCAGCCACCGCCTCTCTCATCGTAGCATCTGTCCACTCCACCCACCTTTCACCCCACCCAGAGAGTAAGACAGGGGAAGCTGCAGTTGATCCATTAATCCGGCGCTGTACTCGCTCCCAGAACTACTGCAAGAGCCCTGCAGCCCCCACTGCTGCTGCTGCTGTTGCTGCATGCCCTTCTCCCTCATTGTATGGACCTTCCCCCCTCTTCCACCCTGCTCCCCTATCAGAGAGCAAGACAGGAGAAGCCGCGGTTGATCCATTCATCCGGCGCTGGACTCGCTCCCAGAACTACTACAAGAGCCCCGCCGCCCCCACTGCTGCTGCTCCCTGGTCTGATGACGAGGAGGAGGGCGCGGGGAAGGGAGGCAAGGACGGCAAGGACGGCAAAGACAAGGGCAAGGATGCCAAGGAGGGGAAGGGCAAGGGCGACGGTGAGGAGAAGGGGAAGGATGGAGCAGGTGGAGGAGAGGAGGAGGAGGAGAAGGAAAGGGAGAAGGAGAGAGAGAAGGAGAGGGAGGCGCAGTTGGGGAGCTGGTTGGGGCAGCAGCTGGACGAGCGGGCGAAGCAGGTGCTCCGGAAACACGCCTTTGACCTGGAGATAGACCTGGGCCTGGTGGACAAGTGGGGGGGAGCGGGGGCAGCAGCGGCGGCGCAGAGGGGGAGTGTGGGGCAGGCGATGTGGGAGGCGGCGTTTATGGCGCGCAAGAGGCAGCAGGAGGCCTTGTATGGGGCGCCCATCGGCGTGCCGGCAGGGGAGACGCCCCGGGGGCTCAGGCTGCTGACTCTCAGTGAGTACAAGCGGCGCAGAGGGCTGCCGTGTGACTGAGTGGGTGTTGTGATGAGCAGTTGGCAGGCAACATGGGAGGCCGCTTTCATGGTGTGCAAGAGGCAGTGGCGGCGCAGAGGGGCAGTGTGGGGCAGGCAATGTGGGAGGTGGCGTTCATGGTGCGCAAGCCCCGCACGAGGCGCTGTACGGGGCGCCCATAGGTGTGCCGGCAGGGGAGACGTCGCGAGGGCTCAGGCTGTTGACTCTCAGCGAGTACAAGAGGAGGAGAGGGCTGCCGTGTGACTGAGTGGGTGCTATGGTGAGCTTTTGGCAGGCGGTGTGGGAGCCACATTCATGGTGCGCAAGAGGCAGCAGCGCAGAGGGGAAGTGTGGGGCAGGCGTTAGTGTTTATAAAGATTAGGGGTAGCTATGTTGGGCCCAGGTTAGATGGTTAGAGTGGGTGGGTGGCTCTGGGAGATGACATAAGCCATTCATCACGTTTTCTTTGTGCAATGGTATATATCAATGAGTCATGTTTGCTGCGAATTACTAAGGGCGGAATTCCTACTAAGTTGGATCCAGCAGAGTTGGACCCATCGCGCACAGTACAGTGCATTGCAATTGTTGAAAATGCACATTCAGTGCAGTTCGGTTTGGTAGTGCATGAAACTAGATCCGACCTCGCTGAATCCCACTTCGAAGGAATCCGCCCTAATAAAATGGATAGGAATGATGGGCGTGGGTGGATTACTTTGGGAGCTTGGGTGGATTTGTCTCTCCCAAGGATTAGTGTGAGCAGCCCACTCCCGAGGATAAGAGTGGGCTGAGCTTCCTATTCAAATGTGCGGATAGTTTTTAGATCTTGAAGCATCGCCTCAATCTGGTCATCATCAATCGGAGGATCCCTGCCGTCCATCTGCCAAGACATGACAGGATTGACAAGATGTGCTGAGTGAATGGTGAATGAAGAAGCCTAAGTGCATTGATAATGCGCATGAAGCTCAAACATACGGCTAGTGAAGGCACGAGAGACTTGGCTTCATCCACAGTGTCTGGAGCAAGGTTGCCTATTACACACACCTGCAAGTACACAATGCGCATTGTAAATGTGTAAATGTGTAACAGTCAAGTATTCACACTTATGTCTTTCCTGTGCAAGAAAAAATGGTTAAGAATGAGGAGAGGAAAAATGGTCAGGCAGGGAGGAGGTTGACGCTTGACAGGAGGAGGCGCCACTCACTTCAAATTCATGCAGCTTGCCCTTGCCAGCCAATGCCCTGCCACACCGTGACAGTAGGACAGACTATTACAGGAGTGCAGACGACAGCTGGAAGAGAACGGAAGGCAAAAGCTGACAAGCATGCTGCAGTAACAGGCAAGACTGGTGATAATTGAAACCAAGGAAGCCAGCATGACTGGAATCTTTCAGCGACAGACTTACTCCCGGACTTGTTTGACCGCCTGAGGGTTCTGATACCGGCTGAATCGCTTCACGTACTGTAGCGACTTCTCCAGCACGCTGCAAGCCGGAAGAAGCATGAAGGTTAGTGACCGTTGAACACCCTACAAACGTGTGTCAGCCACAGACATGCAGGGAGAGGAAAGCTCCTGCACGCTTTGATCAGGAACTCACGAGTTAAGCTGTAGCATGGGGTCGACGTTGTTTTCCCGGAGGCTCTCGAGCTTCTTATCGAGGATGAGAGCGACCTCGGCGTTCATGAGGCATTTGGCTCGACTGAACTCTGGCAGACGAGGAGGATGGAGAGACACGAAACGGAGGATTCACGACAGAACGAGAAGACGGTTCTAGTATTGTGGCGCCTCAAAATGAGCCACCTCGGCGTTCATGAGGCACTTGGCTCGACTGAACTCTGGCAGACGAGGAGGATGGAGAGACACGAAACGGAGAATTCACGACAGAACGAGAAGACGCTTCTAGTATTGTGGCGCCTCAAAATGAGCCACCTCGGCGTTCATGAGGCACTTGGCTCGACTGAACTCTGGCAGACGAGGGAAATTAGGATTAGTGAATCGAAAGGTTCACCACACGACACAACGCACGACAGTTCTAGGGTCAGCTGCGTGGGTGTCATGGTGGAGAAACGAGAAGCAGCCATGCCATGGTGGGAGTTAGGCTAAGGAGTGGTATGAGACCTGATCCAAGCTTTAGCTGGCCTGCGTCTTCCTCCTCCGCTACGTTATTGGTCGCCATGCTGCGATCGACGAGGCGACGCAAGATGATGCATTAATGCTCCAAAACGCGTTTCGACCACCTCCGAGTCGCAGCAATACTATAGAACCTTGCTGGAGCCAGGCAGGCTTGCTGGTTTAGCTTCAGGAATGGTTACTGCTGGCTAATGGCTTCAGGATAGACGTATATGACCAAGGCAGCAACTACTTGGGAGAAGCAGCTTTTCTTCTGATGATAATCGATGCTGCACGCAGCACCAACAATTCTGCAACACAGCATACCCGCTTTTGCAACGTCACAATCTGTACAGTAAGTCGCTATAGGTATCGTCCCTTCTTTATAAACTTGATACATTCTGGATTTTGGTCCCGAAAACCCCCCTTCTGTTCCAATCCATCCTTTGGCCTCGAGATCTCCAATTTCAGGTCGCCTGATACAATTCCTGGTCATCTCCGCCTTTTTCCCGTGGAAGCAGCCCTTTCAGGCCGGAAGGTATAGGCTTGCAGACGTCTTGGTAGGAAAGACGCGTCTTTTCTCGCAATTTTTGCTAGTACTGCCGGAAAATTGGATATTGGTCGTGGTCGTTGATCGAGTCTTAGCTTTCCGACATGGCTCCAGCCAAGGCTGCTGGAGCTGCGGGATCCGGTCCCGCCGCTCCCAAGTCCGCCACGGCGGAGTTGCTAGAAACTCTCGAGGAGAAATTTCGGCTGACGACGAAGCAGCAGGAGCTCCTGATCCGCGTCGCGACCCTCCTGTTAATCTACATCCTCGCATTCGCGACTCGCCTCTTCTCCGTGCTCCGCTACGAGAGCGTGATTCACGAGTTCGATCCCTATTTTAACTACCGCACTACGCTCTACCTCACCCGGAAGGGTTTCTATGAATTCTGGAACTGGTTTGACCACGAGACATGGTACCCGCTGGGTCGCATTATCGGATTCACTCTCTACCCTGGTCTCATGGTGACGTCAGCGCTTATCTACTGGGCTCTCCACGCGCTCTCATTGGTGGTTCACATCCGTGACGTGTGCGTGATGACGGCTCCGTTCTTCGCATCCAACACCGCCATGGTGGCGTATTTCTTCGGAAAGGAAGTCCGCGATTCCGGAACCGGTCTGATCGCTGCGATCTTCCTCGCCATCTGCCCGGGTTACATTTCGCGATCCGTCGCCGGATCGTACGATTACGAGTGCATCGCCATTTTCGCGCTCATCCTCACTTTCTTCCTTTTCGTCCGCGCCGTTAACACCGGCTCTCTCGCCTGGGCTGCCGGCGCCGCGCTCACGTATTTCTATATGGCGGCATCCTGGGGAGGCTACATCTTCATCATCAATCTGATTCCGATCTACGTGGTGGTGCTGCTGCTGACGGGTCGCTACACCCCTCGGCTCTATATCGCGTACAACGCGTTTTACATCATCGGCATGCTGCTGGCCATGCAGATCCGCTTCATCGGCTTCCAGCACGTGCAGTCCAGCGAGCACATGGCGGCCCTCGGCACATTCTGCCTCATCCAGGTAGGCACTTCACGATACTCGGCGCATTCTGCCTCATCCAGGTAGGCACTTGGCGGTTCTCCGCGCATTCTGCCTCATACAGGTAAGCACTTAGCGGTGCTCGGCGCATTTTGGCTCATCCAGGTACGCACTTAGCGGCTCTCGGCGCATTTTTCCTCATCCAGGATGGCACTTAGCGGCTTTCCGCGCATTCTGCCTCATCCAGGTAGGCACTTAGCTCTCGACGCATTCTGCCTCATCCAGGTACGCACTTAGCGGCTCATGAATCCAGTCGATGCTAGCAGTCATTCTTCTTTCGCCCAAATTCCATGGTGTAGCAGCACCCAGACTCAGCTGATGGAGGAATTGCTAGCAGCATTGAGGCATTCAACCCCACTTCGCGCTATTCCACCCCTGTCCGCCCGCGCGCGCAGGTCTTTTCTTCGTTGACTGGGTGAAGCACCAGCTGGCGGAACCGGACCTCTTCTGAGTCGACGCAACCGCCCCCCATTCCTGACCCCCCATCCCGTTCCCCCATCCCGTCCCCCCATCCCGTCCCCCCATCCCGTCCCCCCATCCCGTCCCCCCATCCCGTCCCCCCATCCCGTCCCCCCATCCCGTCCCCCCATCCCGTCCCCCCATCCCGTCCCCCCATCCCGTTCCTTCTTGGGGGCGCAGGTGTTCTTCTTCGTGGACTGGGTGAAGCATCAGCTGGCGGACCCGAAGCTCTTCCGCACCTTCCTCCGCGTCGTCGTCTTCTCCTTCGGTGGCGTCGGCTCCCTCGCCTTCGCTGTCGGCATGGCCACAGGTGAGGGGATAGACTAAGCATAGCGTAGTGAAGGGAGATGCCGAAATGCCTGGTTGGTTCAATGAATGCGCTGTTTGCACCACCTCAGTAATGCACATCCCATCGCCAAATCACCTGTCTATTCCCCCCCTCCCCCTCTCCTTCCTTATGTCCTGGCTACTTCGCCCCCTGGACCAATCTTTTCTACTCGCTGCTGGACCCGACGTACGCCTAAGGACCACATCCCCATCAGCGCGGCTCCTTCCCCTTTCCCCCCGCCCCCACGTCTCCCCCTGTCCCCTCTCTCCCCCCGCCAGGCTACATCTCCCCGTGGACGGGGCGGTTCTACTCGCTTTTGGACCCGACGTACGCCAAGGACCACATCCCCATCATCGCGTCCGTGTCGGAGCACCAGCCCACGGCGTGGTCCTCCTTCTTCTTCGACTTCCACATCCTCCTTATCCTCTTCCCCGCCGGTCAGTAACGTGCTCCCATCTGCCGCCGGTCAGTAACGTGCTCCCATCTGCCGCCGGTCAGTAACGTGCTCCCATTTCCCGCCGGTCAGTGCAGTGTTCCCATTCCCGTCGCCCCGTCTTGCGTGTAAGCTAGTCGATTCAAAGACAGCACCAGCCCACCGCGTGGTCCTCCTTCTTCTTCGACTTCCACATCCTTCTCATCCTCTTCTCCGCTGGTCAGTACCGCCCTCCTTGCCAGTTGGTCAGTGCCGCCTCCCCCCCGTCTTCCCTTCCACCCTTCTCTCTTCTCTCCCCAAACGCACCCCCCTTAACCCCCCCCCACACCCTCCCAATGTCCCCCACCCAACCACCACCGCCACTGTGCAATTTCCTTCCCCTCCCCGCCACCCCCCCGTTTTCTGGTGCCCGCTCTTTTTGAAGTTATGAAATCCGTATCCGCACCTTCCCCTGCCCACCAACCCCCCCTTCTCCCGCGTCCCCCTTTTTTAAAGCTATGAAATCCGTATCCGCAGCTTCCCCTTCCCACCGCCCGCCCCCTCTGTGCGCGCAAGCAGGGCTGTAGTTCTGCTTCAAGCGGCTGAACGACGCGTCCTTGTTCTTGATCATCTACGGGCTCACGTCCATGTACTTCGCATCGCAGTGCGCCTCATCCGCCCCTCTCCCCCTTCATCCCCCCCTTCACGCCCCCACCCGCTCCCCCTGCCTGCCGCCCGTCACTGTCCGCTGTCTCTCTCTCTGTGTGCGCGCGAGCAGGGCTGTACTTCTGCTTCAAGCGGCTGAACGACGCGAGCATGTTCCTGATCATCTACGGGCTCACGTCCATGTACTTCGCAGTGCGCCTCATCCTCCCCTCTCCCCCCGTCATCCCCTGCGCGCTGTGCCACTCCCTGTCTGTGTACGTGCAGGGCTGTACTTCTGCTTCAAGCGGCTGAACGACGCGAGCATGTTCCTGATCATCTACGGGCTCACGTCCATGTACTTCGCAGTGCGCCTCATCCTCCCCTCTCCCCCCGTCATCCCCTGCGCGCGCTGCCACTCCCTGTCTGTGTACGTGCAGGGCTGTACTTCTGCTTCAAGCGGCTGAACGACGCGAGCATGTTCCTGATCATCTACGGGCTCACGTCCATGTACTTCGCGGGCGTCATGGTGCGCCTCATCCTCGTCGCCACGCCCGCGCTCTGCCTGCTCGGCGCCGTCGCCGTCAGCGCGTCGCTCACACGCCTCTGCGCTATCGCCAGGGAGAAGGCGCCTGAGACTGGGGCCGGTGCTGTCACTGGAGCTGCGGCTTCCGGCTCTGGAAAGCTCTCTGGAAAAGCCAAGGATAAGCTGAAGGTGAGGCAGGGAGTGCATCAGGAATGCTGTGGGGAGCTCTGGGCGTGGGATGTGCCTGTAGCATCCCGCCTCTAATGACCCTCGCTCGCAGTCCACCCTTTCATACTCCCTTTCCCGTTCTCCTCCTCCCCTCTTCTTTCCTTGCTCGACCAACTCCCCCCCCCCCCCTTTCACACCATCTGCTCGTCACAGGGCGCTCAGGACAGCTCCCTGCCGTACCAGCGGGAGGGGGCGGTGGTGCTTATAGCGGGGATATTCTTCTGCCTGATCAACTTCGCGCGGCACTGCACGTGGGTGACGTCAGAGGCGTACTCGTCGCCGTCCATCGTGCTGATGGCCCGGCAGCACAATGGCGACCGCGTCATCTTTGACGACTTCCGCGAGGCATACTTCTGGCTCAAACACAACACCAAGCCCGACGCCAAGGTGGGTGGGTGGGTGGGGGTGTTGCTGCACTGCATGGGTTCTTTTCTTTTATCTCAAGTGGTTATTTTCTTCTATTTCATATCTCCCTCTTCTCTCTCCTCTCTCCTCTCGTCTCTCTACTTTTGACTATGAGCTCTACCAAGTTTTCTTCCCTTTTCTCTGCCGTGCCACATTCACCGCATCGCTCATTCTCTTCATGCTCTACCTGCCCGTTTAGCACTCTCTCACTCCCCACATTCTGCTTTTGAGTCGACTCAAAGCTCTCTCCCTCCCCACATTCCCCATACCACGCCACATCCCTTTCAACCCCTTCATGCGCATGCCCCTCTCCCCCCCCTTTCCAGGTGAGGCGATGTCGTGGTGGGACTACGGCTACCAGATCACAGTCATGGCGAACGCGTGGTAATAGTGGACAGCTGGACGTGGAACAACACTCGCATCGCCTCACCACCAACCCCCCCATATCCCCTCCATTCCCCACAACTTTTGAGGCGCCTCAAAAGTCATCGCCTCACCACCAACCCCCCCATATCCCCTCCATTCCCCACATGCGCCCTCTGCCACCGTTGCCCCCCCACCCACTCCCCCAGGTCATGTCGTGGTGGGACTATGGCTACCAGATCACAGCGATGGCGAACCGCACGGTGATCGTGGACAACAACACGTGGAACAACACGCACATCGCCACGGTGGGGCGCGCCATGGCGTCGTACGAGGAGCAGGCGTACGGCATCATGCAGCAGCTGGACGTCAACTACGTGCTCGTGGTCTTTGGAGGGGTCACCGGTTACTCATCCGATGATATCAACAAGTGAGTGGCTCTGTGTGCTTCTGGGTAGGGGTTGAGAGTTGAACGGCGCTGTCTGTCTTCGTGTGGGTTGGGCGCGTGCCATGGCGTCGTGTGTGCTGCTGGGTGGTGGTCAAGAGAGTCGAGCGGCATTGTCTGTCTCCATGTGGGCTGGGCATGCCTTGGCGTCGTACAAGAAGCAACGCCCACTGCCCATCACCGCTGATTGCCCGTCACCGCCCGCCCACGGCCCGTCCCGTCACTGCCCACCGCCCGTCACCACTTACTCGTTCCTCTCTGCACTCCCTGCCCACCCCCCATCTCCTCCTCTTTCCCCCCCTCCTCCCCCCTCTCCCCTTCCCCCACCCCCCCCCCCCGCAGGTTCCTGTGGATGGTGCGCATCGGGGGCGGCGTGTTCCCCGACATCAAGGAGCTCCTCCTTACCCCCCTCCTCTCCGCCCTCCCTCTCTCTTCCCTCCTCTCTCCCTCCCCTCCCGCCCCCGCAGGTTCCTGTGGATGGTTCGCATCGGAGGGGGCGTGTTCCCCGACATCAAGGAGCCGGATTACCTCAACAACGGGGACTATCGCACCGACGCCAATGGCTCGCCCAAGATGCTCAATTGCCTCATGTGAGCTCACTGGCCATGGCGTTTGATCTGGATTCACTGCCTGTCCTCATCCAGCCTGCCTTGTCTACTCTTGCCTCGTGCTGCTCATGCTGTTTAGCTGTGTTTCTGCTTCTTTCGGTTCCTTCATTTCTGCTTGTGCTGTGCTGCTGTGCGTCACGGCAGGTACAAGATGTGCTACTACCGCTTTGGTGAGCTGCAAACGGAGTACGGCAAGCCCACAGGGTGAGTCAAGGGTAGCCTATGTTCCTCATTATGCTGCATTTGCACACATCGTTCCCTCATCATTCCGTCCACATTCCGTCATCATTCCGTCATCATTCCGTCCACATTCCCCTCATTTCTCATCGCTCTCATCTCCCTCTTCTTGCCGACCATCATTTGGATATGAGATAATTTCAAAAGAGCATCTACCAGGAAGAGTTACACCTAGGAGGCACTTTTCCCGTGTGCTGAGAGGGAGAAGACCCCCCTAGCTCCCTTCTCATCCCGGCTTTCAACCCTTCAGGTGGGACCGGGCACGCGGGTACAAGTTTTCCAATAAGGACATCGAGCTGGAGTACATCAAGGAGTCATTCTCGGCCTTACATGGAGGCGTTCCTCCTGCACTTTCAAGCACCTTACAACACTGTATTCCCCGCCGCTCCACTTGCCCCTCCCCTTTCTCCAATGGCACAGGTGGGACCGGGCGCCAGGTACGAGATAGGCAACACGGACATCGAGCTGGAGTACATCGAGGAGGCATTCACATGCGGCTCAGCACCTTACTCTATGTTGCTCTCCCCGTGCCCCCCCCCCCCCCCGCTCACCCCTCCTCTCCTTCAGCTGGGACCGGGCGCGCGGGTACGAGATTGGCAACAAGGACATCGAGCTGGAGTACATTGAGGAGGCGTTCACGTCGTCCAACTGGATCGTGCGCATCTACAAGGTCAAGGACCTCGACAACCGGTGGTAGTGCGGCAAGGCCCGGATAACATGTGGGAGCGCCATGTAAACCACAGCGGTGGCGAGCAGTGGTAGTGATTCTTGGGTCCTCCGATTGGTTTGTGCGGTGGGCAGCAGTCACAATCGTCGGTCCTCCATTTGGTTTGTGCAGCAGTCACAAGGGCAAAGGCCTCGACAATAGGTGGTAGATAAGGGGTTTGGCTCGGTGGTGATGGTGATGGTCAACAACCAAACCATCACCACTGCGTGGAGGAAAGTTACTTATGACTGTTGCCAACTTTCTCATTGTGGCGATAAGGGGCGGCGGAAGGTCCACGGCTGTAGCAGTGGGTGGTAGAGGCGTGTGGGGCTGCTGCAGCTACAGCCAGGTCTATGGGCTGCTGGAGGCCATGTCGAGGCATGCCGTAGGCTGTGCAAGCACACGAGGCATGACATGGCTGCACGCATGCGATGCGACCTAGTGCAAGGTGCTCGTGTTGCTTGAGCACTTTTTATGATCTATTGTACCTGACCATTAAGTCCCTGACCTTTAGTGAGACATGAAGTTCATGTGGAGTGGAGGTACCAAAACTGAGCATTTCAGCATTGACATTGATAGTCTCCTATTGGTCAATCTCCTCCACCTCCCTGCCTTGGCCTTCTCCCTCTACCCCTGGTGCTTGTGCTTGTTGAGATCGGTCTGAAATGGCTAGAGCGAGAGCGTAGGCCTGCTTGCGTTTCACTCGCAATGCCTCTGCTGCCATTCTCGCTGCCTGCACAGGTGCCGTTGCGATGCGCACCAGCCACACAGCAGCGTAGAAGGGTAGGGGAAGAGGGGGTTGATTAACGACTTATGCTGAACTGGCTATAGCCAGAGCATAGGTCTTTTCAGAAAAGGTTTGGGGTTCAAAGAGCACGCTTTGAACTCACCTGGGATGGCGGGGTGCCGTTGCGAATGAGCCTCTCAAGGTACGCAGTCACCTCCTCCTCCCCTGCCTGCTGCGATGCATCCAGGTCCCTGCGGGGCAGCCCGTCAATTACCAGGGTAAACTCCCCTTTCGGCGCACGAGCTGTGAACTCTGATAATGCTTCCAAGAGCGTTCCCCGCCACAACTGAAGACGTGCAGCACAGTGGGTGAAGTGAACGGAAGGGTTGCAGTTGGATGCGAGAAGAGGGTGTTGATGGTTGAAGGCGAAGAGGAAGCTTTTGTTGAAGGAAGAGGAAGTGGTCAGCTTGCCGTGACTTCTTGAGACAAGATTGAGATTAAGGGCCCTTCCAGCAGGGCTAACCAACCTCTTCGTGCAGTTTGGTGAGTTCCCGAGCCACGAGGCATGGCCGGTCTGGGCCAAAGGCGTGGATGCAGTGGGAGAGCGAGGAGAGCAGCTTGTGCGGCGCCACGAACAGCACCTGCATTGTCTCCCCCTCCGCTGCCTCCTGCAACCGCCGTTGCCGCACAGCAGAGCGCTCAGGAAGGAAACCCACTGCCCAAGCAGGCAGGTAGGGAGGGAGGGAGTGGAGATGGGGACGAAGGGGCGCGGAAGAATGGGAGAGCGAGGAAAGCGGCTTGTGTGGCGCCACGAGCAGCACCTGCCAGTCGCCTTTGATGCACTGCTGGTTGTGCTGAGGAAAAAGCCACTCGGGGAAGAGCCATGGGGGGAAGTGAATAGGAGAAATGCAAAGAGAAAGCCATGGCGAGGAGATCAGGCCCCATCACAAAAGCTGATATCACTCTCAAGTAATAGAACAGTTTTAGAAAGTAAAAGAAAAGGATATCACCCACATAAACTTTTGAGGCGCCTCAAAAGTCAGCACTTGGTTGGTAAAAGAAAAGAAAATCACCCACATCACATACAGAAGGTGAAGCCGTTGGTGAGGAAGCCAGCAGCAGCAACAGCAGTAGTGGCAGCAGAAGGGCCGGGGATGACGCTGACGTGGACTGCTGACTCAGCGCACGCGGCTACCAGGTCAGCGCCGGGGTCACTGACGCCAGGCATGCCAGCGTCAGACACGAGCGCGAGCGACTGGCCGGCTCGCATGCGACCAATGAGAGCATCTCGGCGAGCCGTGGCGTTGAAGGCGTGATAGCTCATCTGATGGTTGCAAGTGGGGGGGAAGGAAATTCTAGAAGGTATGGTAAGGAGGGGAGCCGTTGAAGGCATGATGGCTCATTAGAAAGGAGCGACAGAGAGGGTGAATGTTTTAGACTCCATGGTGTGCGATTCTAAAGCAGAGCTTAAAAACGTTGGGGGGTATATACTGTAGTAGCAGCCCACCGTGGGCGTCGTGATGCCATACGCACCATGGGCGTCGTGATGCCGTAGTACCGCAGCAGCTTGACGGACCGCCGAGTGTCCTCCGCTAGAATGAGGTCTACACAGCGCAGCACCCGCAGCGACCTGATGGGTGAGGGCAGATGGAATAGGATGATGTGCATGAGATGACATGGAGGGGTGTGAGATGCAGCACACAGGGTGCAGCACGCAGGGAGGGCACTGGTAGTTCCCTCCGCTAGAATGAGGTCCCCACACCCGCAGCGGCCTGATGGGGTGAGGGCATATTGGGAGGCGCATATGGTGAGGTGAGGTTCTTGGAGGGAGGTACTTGGACGGATGTGCTTGGACGGATGTGCTTTGATGGAGGTGCTTCGACGGAGGTGCTTCGACGGATGTGCTTGGACGGATGTGCTTTGATGGAGGTGCTTCGACGGAGGTGCTTCGACGGAGGTGCTTGGACGGATGTGCTTGGAGGAAGTGTGAGGTGGGATGAGACAGAGGAGTGTGAGGTGGGATGAGACAGAGGAGTGCGAGGTGGGATGAGACAGAGGAGTGCGAGGTGGGATGAGACAGAGGAGTGTGAGGTGGGATGAGACAGAGGAGTGTGAGGTGGGATGAGACAGAGGAGTGTGAGGTGGGATGAGACAGAGGAGTGTGAGGTGGGATGAGACAGAGGAGTGTGAGGTGGGATGAGACAGAGGTGTGTGAGGTGGGATGAGACAGAGGAGTGTGAGGTGGGATGAGACAGAGGAGTGTGAGGTGGGATGAGACAGAGGAGTGCGAGGTGGGATGAGACAGAGGAGTGCGAGGTGGGATGAGACAGAGGAGTGTGAGGTGGGATGAGACAGAGGAGTGTGAGGTGGGATGAGACAGAGGAGTGCGAGGTGGGATGAGACAGAGGAGTGCGAGGTGGGATGAGACAGAGGAGTGCGAGGTGGGATGAGACAGAGGAGTGTGAGGTGGGATGAGACAGAGGAGTGTGAGGTGGGATGAGACAGAGGAGTGTGAGGTGGGATGAGACAGAGGTGTGTGAGGTGGGATGAGACAGAGGAGTGTGAGGTGGGATGAGACAGAGGAGTGTGAGGTGGGATGAGACAGAGGAGTGCGAGGTGGGATGAGACAGAGGAGTGCGAGGTGGGATGAGACAGAGGAGTGTGAGGTGGGATGAGACAGAGGAGTGTGAGGTGGGATGAGACAGAGGAGTGTGAGGTGGGATGAGACAGAGGAGTGTGAGGTGGGATGAGACAGAGGAGTGCGAGGTGGGATGAGACAGAGGAGTGTGAGGTGGGATGAGACAGAGGAGTGTGAGGTGGGATGAGACAGAGGAGTGCGAGGTGGGATGAGACAGAGGAGTGTGAGGTGGGATGAGACAGAGGAGTGTGAGGTGGGATGAGACAGAGGAGTGCGAGGTGGGATGAGACAGAGGAGTGCGAGGTGGGATGAGACAGAGGAGTGCGAGGTGGGATGAGACAGAGGAGTGTGAGGTGGGATGAGACAGAGGAGTGTGAGTTGGGATGAGACAGAGGAGTGCGAGGTGATGCTGCAGGGACAATAGGATGGCAGCTATTGATGGAAGTTATACATGGTGGTAACACTCTCCAGGCATTTCGCACCTTCTGGTAACCACACCCACCTTCTGGTAACCAAACCGACCTTCTGGTAACCACACCCAACTGCTGGTAACCACACGCACCTGATGGTTACGTCCTCCAGGTTGCCGATGGGAGTACCCACCAGGTACAGCCCGGGCGAGAGGCGCAGCTGATGGGGCGAACAGGGAGGGGCGAACAGGGAGGGCAGCTAAAGAGAGAGAATGGGGCGAGTGAAGTTTTGAGGCGCCTCAAAGCTGGTGGGGCGAATAGGGAGGGCGGCCAAGGAGAGCGAATGGAGCGAGTGAATGGGGGAACTGGTGGAGGGGGGAACTGGTGGAGGGGGAACTGGTGGAGGGGGGCACTGGTGGAGGGGGGCACTGGTGGAGGGGGGCACTGGTGGAGGGGGGCACTGGTGGAGGGGGGCACTGGTGGAGGGGGGCACTGGTGGAGGTGGGGGGTAGGGCCGGTGGTTGCCGTGTGGGGAGGGAGTTGGAGAGGTGCCCTTCTCAGGCAAACTGGGAAGGCGCCCCCCTTTTCTGCAGGGATCCTCCAGAAGTGGTTGGGGTGGGGGGGATGTGAGATGTGGAGCGAGGCAAGGGGAAGAGGCACTTTTCCAGCCACGAGTTTGTTTTTGAGGCGCCTCAAAAATAGACTCCTCATGGGGTGGGAGTGATGTGAAATGTGGAGCACGGGGAAGAAGGACGTTTCACACAGCGTGTTTGTCGGGAGATAGGCTGGGAATGGTGCACTGAGACGAAACTTCTGACAGCTCTTAATCAACCCTCACAGATTCCTGGGGTTGACCCACAGCGAAGCGTTAGCAGCCCAAGGCAAACCAAACCACCTGAACCATACTCATCATACCTTGTCGGGCCACTTGCACATGTCCTCGTTATAGAATGACTCGTTACTGTCCGCTCCATCGCCTCCAGTTACCTCCTCTTCCCCGTGTCCTCCATTCCGCCCCTCCTCCTGCCGAGTCCCCCCCTCTTCAACTCCCCCCTCCTCGCTACCCCGCTTCCCAATCTGCTTCCTGTGAGTTCCCCTCGAGTCAGCTCCCCTCGTGTCAACTCCCCTCGTGTCAGCTCCCCTCGTGTCAGCTCCCCTCGTATCGCCGCTTTCAGCGCGTGCCTTGACCCCGCCTTCAGCGCCGCTCTCCAATCCCCACGCCTCGCATCCCCCTTCGTCGTCAGCTAGCACGACTTGCCTCAGCGTGTCCGATGATGACACGTGGCCTTCCATCCCGCGCCAACCCGTCGTCCCAGTGCCAACCAGGCGGGATTCACGCCGCAATTTTCGGCTCGCCGTTCCTCCTTCCTGAGCACCTCTCCCGAAACCACGTACCCCTACATTCCACAGTCGCTCCCCGTCCCCATTACGGGGAACCTCTAGCCCCTGTTTCCCGATCAATTTTGTGAAATCTCGCATTCCTATCGCGTTGTCAACGTGAAGTCTTTTCCTGCTTTGCCCAGGGATCAGAGCGACTCCGCGAGTCGTCTTTCCTGTAGCCCTTGGAAAGACAAGCCTGGCTGCAACACGAGCCGCAGCCATGGCGCTCAGCCGCAGGAATTGCGGGCGCAACAGCACCTATGTTGACTCGTAGGAGTCGCTCAATTTCTGATGGCTGCTCTGATCGTTCCGCCACAAAGTGCGGCCCCCTTTTGCTGACTATCTCGTGCTTCACTATTGAGAACTGACTCGATTAGCGAACGCGATTGAGAAACGATCAAGAAAATCAATTCCAGGAGGCTAAGGAATGTGATACGCCACAGCTAATAGTGTTAGCATCGAACATCTAGTATCGAGTATGAATTGTCCTTGAATCTCATTGATCTTCGCGAGGTGAGTTTCACTGGCGTCGTGGAAACCCTATCAGTCCAGCCAGACATGACTCGGTCGAACCTTGGGATCATCATTTTGTTTCACCAAGAATTGTCGAGAACGCGCGAGTTTTTTCCCCCAAGCGCATGCATCGAAATCATGCCTACGTCAGCGGCACGTCCGGTGCCGGAGCGCCATTCTCTTGGAGCTAGCCTACTGCTAAACACGTGGTAAAATGTGTCACGATTCGCCTAGGTCATCTCCGCACTTCCACGAAACGGTTTTGCGCCTACCGCCCGCTAAGTGCACCTCCCCCTTTAGGTAAGCAACGGCTGCCGAAACCTAGCATTACTGTTCATGGGTGTCGCTGATTCGCATGGCATCGCAACTCATCAATGCGACTGATCTCACCATTTCGCCCCGGCGTGACCCATCTGCTGGAATTGCTGCACGGCACGACTCACACCTCTGCATTTCGCGAATCTCGCTTCACTTTCGCTGCACACCTACTTCCAGCAGGCACGCCGATTCGCGTGGCCCTCGCGAAGGCTGGTCGTGCCATTTTGCGAACCATGCAGTCGAGGCGCGTGTCGCCCAACCACAACCATCCGCCATCGCAACGACTTGTCCTATCCCACCGCAATTCCGCGCCTCGAATGTCCCACTCCTCCACCCTTGACTCTGCTGCCCTTGCTTTCGTCATGCGCCCCTCCCTCTCACACTCACCTCTGCCATTCAAAACCGCCCTGCCTACAACCCAGCCAACAAACACTGCAGTCGTCTTTATCCCATCCGTTTTCAATAGTGAGGTCTGGTAACTGGAGCGGCAGGAAACCACCAGCAGCAGCATAACGCAACTGAAGCTTCTAGAACAGAGTGACCTTGAGCACAATTTCTCGGGGAGCTAGCGTCGGCTGCAAGGAGTTGCAGGAAGCCTAGGGTTGAAAGGGAGCCCACCCTCACCTTGGCCTACAAGCCACCATCAGTCTCGACTTAGCCCCCTCGTCTTTCACTCCGCGTCCGTCGACAACCGCAAGCCAGAATGGTGCAGATCAAGGAATTGTAAGAAGCACAATGCTATTCATCGCGCCTTGTCTTTCCCCTGTAAATGGCTACTCAATTCCGTCGCTGCTTTGTGCATAGCGGTCCGTGTGATTCTCGTTGTCTGAAACTTAATTGTTCAAACAGCGCCTCACTTGCGTAGTGCCTATCCACGTGCTTGTTTTTTTTTTTTTTTTACCTATTCCTCGTGCTTTCGTTCCTTGTTTTGCGTGGTCTGTGGGCTCCTCCCTCGCGACGTCGTTGCGACAATGGCAACGGACGTCTGTGCGCTCTTCACTCTTCTCTCGTCGCTCGCCGTTGGTCGTGCGCGGCCCATCTCCAGCCGCATCACAATGCCGTTCACCCTCGACGAGGTACGCACCACGTGTGACGTAGTAACGATGTAACTTTTGAGCCAACTCAAAAGGCCTATTTCCAGCCATATCACAGTGCCGTACTGTTGGTGGTTTTTTAGAATTCTCAGATTTCGCCACGCAAATCCTCCTTTCACTCGCCCTTTCCCGTCCTCCCCGACTCAACTCAAGCCTAAGCGACGCATGAAGCCTCGCAAGAATCTTTCTCTTCTGACCCTCCTCACCATTCCCCCCTCCCTTGGTCCATCACCCTCCCCTCCATCCACCGTGCCAGTACCGCGTCGGCCAAACCTACATGCGGTCGCGGATGCAGATGGAGAACACCAAGGGGCGCGAGGGCGTGGAGGTCATCGCCAGCGAGCCGTTTAAAGACGACGTCTTAGGCGAGGGGCACTACTCGCACGTGGTCTACCACTTCCAGCGCCGCGCGCCCGCGTGGATCCGCGCGCTCGCGCCGCTCGAGGCGCTGCGGCTGGAGGAGAAAAACTGGAACGCGTTCCCGCGCTGCCGCACGGAGATCAGCGTAAGGCTGGGGGGACGGGGAGGGAGGGGGAGTGGAGGGGGAGTGGAGGGGGAGTGGAGGGGTAGTGGAGGGGTAGTGGAGGGAAAGGGGCAGCGGGGTGACTTTGAGTCCACTCACATGTCAGCTCGAGGCGCTGCTTCTCGAAGACAAGAACTGGATCGCGTTCTTGTGAATGCAGGGGGGAAGGGGGGGGTGGATGCAGGGTGCTGTAGGCAGTTTCGGGGGTTCAAGTGAACGGTGCGTGGGTGGTTGTTCCATGCGTTCTCATCCTCGTCCTGACCCTCCTCCCTCCCCTGCTAGTTACAATGCCCATACTTCCCATTTGCATCTCTTTCCTCTTCCCCCCCCTTCCCCCCCTTCCCCCGCTTCCCTCGCCCCTCCCCCTGGCCCCTCGCTGCATGCCACCAGTGTCCATATTTTACCAATTTCAAGATCACCACCGACTCGTACCACATCGCCGACAGAGGCGTCACCGAGAACGTGAGTGCCGCCGCGCATCGCATTGCATCGCATCGTATCGTATCGTATCGTATCGTATCGTATCGTATCGTATCGTATCGTATCGTATCGTATCGTATCGTATCGTATCGTCAGATCCTGGTCTGAACCCTCGAAACTGCTCAAAGCGCCGCAAAAGACGTGAGCATCGAGAACGTGGGAGCGTGAGGACGCACGTGAGCGCCGTGCGTCCTCACGTAACCTTGTCATTAAAAATATAACTCTAACAGCCAACTTCCCCCTTGGTGCTCTTCCCCTCATCCCCTCCGCCTCTTCCGCCTCCAGGCGCTGAAGCTGTCGGAGGCTGACCTGGCATTGCGCAAGGTGGACCACGTGGACATCGAGAACGTGGGAGCGTGAGGACGCACGTGAGCGCCGTGCGTCCTCACGTAACCTTGTCATTAAAAATATAACTCTAACAGCCAACTTTCCCCTTGGTGCTCTTCCCCTCATCCCCTCCGCCTCTTCCGCCTCCAGGCGCTGAAGCTGTCGGAGGCTGACCTGGCATTGCGCAAGGTGGACCACGTGGACATCGCGGCGGCTGACAGGGACATGTGGTCGCGAATCATCGCGCGCAAGCCCACCGACCCCTCCAAGATCGCCTCGCTCAAGCTCAACCGCGGCCCGCTGGCGCCCGGGTGGCGGGAGACGTGTCAGCCTGTGATGACGGTCTACAAGGTGGCACGCGTGGACGCGCCCTATTGGGGAATCGGCAGGCAGATGGAGCTCGCCACTGTGGCGGTACGTGCTGCTGCTGCTGCTGCTGCTGCTGTTGCTGTTGCTGTAATTCAAGTGCCGCCGCTGCAGCGGCACGTGCGTACCTGTTGCCGTTGCCCATGCTGGCCGATTGCGGGCGTTGCAACCCAACCGCTTACCATCCCCCCGCCCTCCCCGCCTTCTCTCTCTGTTGCCTCGCCCCCACCTCAGGCGCAGCGTGCTTTGTACCTGGAGGCGCACCGCAAGTGCTACGGTTGGGTGGACAACTGGTGCAACCTCACAGTGGCGGACGCCCGGCGGATAGAGCAAGAGAACATCGACATCATGCGCAAGGTGAGTCGGTGCTTCCATACAGGGCGTCGCGACCATCGACGTCATGTGAAAGGGGATAAGAATCCTGGGTTGGTCGGTGCCTGGTTTCCAGGGGGGTGTAACATTTGGGAACAAGTTTGGGTTTTCCTTTTATTTATTTCTTATACACGAAAACAAGGTCCACTTTGTGGCATTAATATTTATTTTCGAGTACAACCAGAACAGTGAAGATTGCCTAAAGCTATTCATACACTTGCCATGTGCATCCCAAGCTCGTGTCATCTACCCATGCCTTGTCTATCCCTTTTTCCACGCCCTAGACTCACCCCACTCTCCCACTCATTCCCCTTTTTCCCCTTATCAGAGCCTTTCCTTGAGTGACCGCTTGGACTCGTCTGAGCACTTTGATGAGGAAGCTTATAACGAGGCAGGGGAGGGGTCATCGGAGGGAGAGGAGGTAGAGGAGGATGAGGAGAGTATGTTCCAGGCGGTTACAGCCCTGCCTGCTGCTGCTCCTGCTGTGGCCGCATGACCGTGACTGGCAACAGGCCATAACGGCTGCATGAAGCTGCAGAATTGAGTAGTGGGTGCAGTATAACCACGACCACGACTGTACAATATGACAGAACAGTGGTCGGTGCAGTGGACACTGTGCAAGCATAGGCTTGTAATGGGGGCACTCCGTGCACTTACGACGACCCCCATCCCCAGGTGCATGTGATGCATGAGGCACGAGCTCTAAGTGGCGCCCTGGCTCGCTTCCAATGCTGCTATTCTTCCCATAGAACATCAGTGGGTAAGGGAACGCTCGGCTTTGTTAGCGTCTTGATTAGAACCAGCAGCAGTGAACTGGCACCTGACGGAAGTGAGTGCTTTCGGCGGTGGATCCTAGGGCTGCATTGAATAAAGCACCATAGAACTGTGTATGTCTCCTGTGTATGTATGCATGCCTATAGAATGCAAGAGGTTATATCCTGCTTCTGAAAAATGCTAACAGGTGTCTGTTCTACACAATCAATGTAAGGTAAAGAGCAGTGCAATACCGTGAATGACATTCTCTGAATACCATCAGCACCACTGCCATAACATCATTTACCTACCCTGTAGAATCCCCGCTTGGTCTGCCAGCCCACTTCGTTCCCCCACCACCTTTAATCACCTCCTATCACCCCTTACCACCTCCCATCACCCCTCACCACCTCCCATCACCTCCCACGCCTCCCCCTTGGTGACTCGTCTTCACTCTCGTCTTCCTCATCCCTCCCCCTCCGCCTCCTCCCTCCCTCGCTGTCCCTATGCCCACCCCTAAACTCAGGCGAGCGGTCCCTCCCCCCTCGCCCCTTGCCCTCGCCTCTGTTCCCCCTCGCTGTGCGCCCCCTCTCCTGGGGGCTGGGAGAGCGCGACTCAGGAGGAGAGTCACGCCTCACTGCACGCCCCTTAACCTCCCCACCGCTCCGCACATCCCTATCCCTCGCAGCAGGAGAGCCACCCCTGCCGCGCCTGGGGATTGGAGAAGCATCCCTGCCCTTGCCAGCATCCCTGCCCTTGCCAGCATCCCTGCCCTTGCCGGCATCCCTGCCCTTGCCGCCGTCCCTTGCAATAGGGGAGCCAACCCTGCCCCCCCTTGCAACAGGAGAGCCGCCCCCGCCCCTGCCGCCGCCCCTTGGAACAGGAGACGCGCTTCTGCTGTCGTGGCGGGGCCTGGGACCAGCAGGAGGAACCTGCCTGCGTTGGGGAGGCGAGGGCGAGCGGGAGGGTGACCTAGAGGGGGACTGAGAGGGGTCAGAGGAGCTGCCAGGGGAAGCAGCAGCAGCAGCAGCAGCAGCAGGAGCAGCAGCAGCAGCAGCAGCCCTTACTGGTCGCCGCTTGGGGGACTGGGGGGACGGCGAGCGGCCTCGAATGGGGCTGGGGGAGCGGGCGCGCTTAAAGCTAGGAGGGGGGGGGCGCCTAGGAGCGGGAGAGCGGGCGATAGGAGGACTCGGGGAGCGGCCTTTCTGAGGGCTGGGGGAGCGACCACGCTTGGGGCTGGGCGCGCGCTTAGGGCTGGGCGCGCGCTTAGGGCTGGAGGCGCGCTTGATGGGGGAGGGGCGCCTGGTGGGGGAGGGAGAGCGGCGTGCGGGCGAGAGGTCCCTAGGCTCGGCGCGGAACGACCTGTGCTGCCTGCTGCCGCGACCCTCCTCGCTCGACTCTTCCGCTCTATCCCCCTTCGCCCCCTCTCGCTTCTTGAACGATATGCTCTTGCCCGCCATCCACCTATCCTCGTCCCCCTCCACATCATCAGCATCAGCAGCAGCGTCCCTCCTCTGCTTCTTCCGCTCACTCCCCTGCTCCTCCTCCCCCCGCCTCCCCCTCCTCCCGTCCCCCCTCCGCGTCCCATCCTCGTCCTTCCTCCGCCCTTCCGCCCTCTTCCGCTCTCCCCTCAGCCTCTCCGCCTCCCTGCGCTCCTCCTCTTCCTCCTCCCTCCGCCTGGCTTCCGCCTCCGCCCTCCGAGCCTCTTCCGCCGCTTCTTCCGCCCTCCGCGCCTCCTCCAATTCCCGCAGCTTCCGCTCCTTCTTCTCCTTCCGCCGCATCTCCGCCTCCTTCTCCGCCGCCTCTTCCTCCGCCCTCCGCCGCGCCTTCTCTTCCTTCTTCAACCTCTTCTTCATCTCCTTCTCCTCCCTCCGCCGCTGCTTCTCCCTCCGCCGCTCCTCCTTCTCCCGCTCCCGCTCCTCCTTCCGCCGCGCCTCCTCCGCCTCCTCCCGCGCCAGCGCCCGCTCCTGCCGCCGCTGCTCCTGCAGCTCGCGGTCGAACGCCTCCCCTTCTTTAGCTGACTCGTTAATGCGCAGAGCGGCCTTGAGCGTCTCCATCTTCTTCTCCTTCCGCGCCACGATCTGATGCGTCTGGTTCCTGCGGACCAAGGGCGAACGCAAGAGCGAAAAGAATCTTAGTGAAAAATCCAGCACAATCAGGTGCGTCTAATTGGTTCTTGAGAATTCTCAAAAACCAATTCAACTCGCACGATCTGGTGCGTCTGGTTCCTGCGGACCAAGGGCGAACGCAAGAGCGGTAAAGAGCCAACGTGAAGATCCACCACGATCAAGAACCAAGAAGACCGACCCCCCGAGAACGATAATTGTCAAGACCAAGTGCAAGCTGCACGAGCCAAGAACCGAACATTCTGCAATACATTCGATAGCCGCCTCTGCAGACCATCTCCCCGAGATCGCGGACAGCCGCCTGCTAGCTGAAGCTAACGAAACAAAATCGCTCCAGAATAACCTATCTTAAAAAAAGAGTGAAGTCCACTCACCCTAGCGACTCCAGCGCCTGGTCCTCGGATTCCTCTCGCATGGCGGCCTCGAGCTGCGCCCGGCCCTGCTCCACCTGCTCCTCGATCTCGTCATCCAGGTACCCCTGCTCTTCCAGCGTCTCGCGCAGCAGCAGCAGCTTCAGCTCGATCTGCCGCTTGCGGTCGTGCTCGAGAATCTCCTTGTTCGCCTTTCGGCTCACGCCGCCCGTCCCCGCGCCCTCCTGGAATTCTTTTGACTCGACCTTGACGTGCCGGTGCCGGATCACGAATTTGTTCGCCTGCACGTACCCGTTAGTGCCGGACCCGCGGGCCGTCTGAAGACCGATACCGTTATACATGGCTGCTCAGCTCGAATTTGCTAACACCAATTCAGGATCTGCGGGGAAATTAACTGAGTGAATAAAGCGTCCCGAGACCTAAGGCGCTTTTAAATCAGATACCAAACGGTGAGGTATTTGAACAGCGAGACGCTAACGATTCGAGCATCGGAGAGGGGACGAGTCACGACAGTCTCGGACGCAGTCCAACCAAGAACGTCACGCGCACTCAGGAAATGAGCAAGCGAGTTCAACCAGCCAAGCTTTCAACAGGGAGCGACTAAGCACAAGAGTGGACTCGTCGCAGGCCGATGGTAGCTACGTCCTAGGGTTTACACATGGCCGACCGGATCTGCAGGTCTGCCCTGACGCGAGAAGCAAGGAACAGGAAATAGAAGAAATCAAGAATTGCCCTAATCAAAGAATGCATGTTCCGCTAATCATGCTTGTAGCGAGAGTCTGACCTGACCGCGTGGGAAACTTTGCCGGGGTTGACCGGGAAGGAGATGGTTGGCAGCATTGAGGCGTCGCGGCTGGTCGTGCTGGATATCGCGCTGATTACAGCCGTCGATCTCGTATTCTTTAGCCCTTCGCAATGCGCAAAAGTTGAAGCGCTGTAGATATTTCGCAGCATGCAATTTTGGTACGACCAACGTACATCCTTTAATGTAATCCAAGGACGGAAATTGCATCCTAAACACTTGCAACCTACATTTAGGTGGAGCCCATTCCAAGCGTACGAGGCAAGCAATTAAAAGGGTGCTGAAATTCAAATCACGGGCGCTTCAGCGTGAGGAAATAGACACAGCCGGCAGCTATAATACTCTTTACGAGGTGTAGTTCATCACCCTTCACTGTTGCTTGTCCAGTTTGTCTGATGCTCCTGAAGCTTCTGTGCTTGCATCCAAGCCTGCTACTTGCCTATCAACTCCACTTTCCTCCCCTTGAACCAACGGTACTGGTACCACGTCATCCGTCACAGGACCTGCAGCCACGTCAGCAGCTGCCGCCTCTGCAGCCGCCACCTCAGCAGCCTCTCGCCGCCGTTGCTCCTCGACGACCCTTTCAGCTGCCACCTGGCGGGCCTCCTCCACGTGCTGCCACACGTCGTCGCCTGGTTCGACGCCCACTCGCTGCATGTCGTTGAGGATCTCAACTGCTGTGTCGATCTCCAAGAGCCCGAGGCACGTGTTCACCACGGTCTTGTAGAGGTTGCTGAAGGGGGAGAACAGCGGAACAGCACAGGCAGGGGATGGGGGGGGGGGGGAGGGGGGACGGGGGGGGGCTTTGACCCAGACCGAGGCACGTGTTCACCACAGTGGTCTTATAGAGGTTGCTGAATGGGGACAACAGCGGAACAGCACAGGCAGGTGAAGGGGGGGGAGGGGGGGGGGGGTGAGCTTTTGAGTCAGACCGAGGCACGTGTTTACCACTGCCTTGTAGTGGTTGCTGAATGGGAAGAACAGCAGGCGCAGGAGGGGGATGAGAAACGTCATGTTCAAGTCAACTCAAAAAAATTCAAGAGCCCAAGGCACATGTTTTTTGAAACACATGGGAGCCTGCCTGCAATGCTCCGATGCAACTTGTACTCTTTTATTGTTGAATTCTCAGAAAAGAGCATGAAGGATACTGCAAGGAACAAGGGCACGGACGTGGCACAATGATGCGTGTGCATGAAGTCACTCACCTGTGGAATGTTTCTAACTCACATGCCAAATGTGTGGCCAACTGCGTGTGACTTCTGGACCACCCCCAGCATGATTCGACAATCATTGCCGTCCACTGCCGCCCACAGCACCATGCAGCAATCTGCCAGGGTTGGCACGCCGCCCAGTTCAATCACCTGGGTTGGTAACAATCAGCATAGGTAGGGGGAGGGGAGCCAGAGAAGAGGGGGGGGAGACAGAGAAGGGGGAGGGGAGACAGAGAAAGGGGGGGGAGAATGGGGGGGTGGGGGGCCAATGAGGTGCAGAGGGATCCCGAAGAAAAAGGGTACGAAGCATTGGGGGCGGGGGGGGGGCGGGGGGAGGGCGGGGGGAGGGCGGGGGGAGGGCGGGGGGGAGAGGGGGAAAGGGGAAGAGAGAGGAAACGAGTCAGGTTTCCTGGGCAAGCCAAACTTGCAAACTGTTTCAAATATTTGCATCTCCCCACGTTACCAGTTGGAAGATGGGCCAAGCCGTGTCGAGCTCCACAGGAAAGGCGGCTCGACAGTAGCACGGCCCTCTCCCTGCTTTTGAGTAGCAGCAGCTCCACATACTCAAAAGCACGCTCGACAGCAGCACGGCCCGCTCCGTGCGCTCCCCTCCCTCCAAACTAGAGAAATACGCTCCAACATTTCATAACACCTCAGCGAAAAGTCATCCCGCTCCTCCTGACCAGCTAGAAGATGCTCCAGGCCATGCCGATGAGCTCCATCCTTTCGCCCCATGGCAGCGCAACGCGCCATTTGACTGTGCGCTTTCCTCCAACTACAAAGAATGCTCAGCAACACCTCAATGCACGTCCACAAGGCCCAGGCGGTATCCAGCTCCATCCTCTCGCTCCACGGCAGCACAACCCTCTCGTTGTCCAGCGCCCAGCGCTCCTCGAGGGTGAAGTTGCCGCCCAGCGTGGTGGACACCAGGGACCTGAATCCCCCCCTTCCCCCCCTCTCCCCCCTACTCCTCCTTACCAATTGGAAGACAGCTCACGCCGTATCGAGCTCCATGCGCTCGCTCCACGGCAGCACGGCCCTCTCATTGTCCTCCCTCTCCCAGTCGTGCCTGGAAGAATGCACCACACCTTTGCATCACCTCGGAGCAATGCCATTCCCTCATCGTACCAGTTGGAAGACGGCCCACGCCGTATCGAGCTCCATGCGCTCGCTCCACGGCAGCACGACCCTCTCTTTGTCCGCCTTCTCCCACTCGTGCGCCCAGCGCTCCTCCAGCGTGAAGATGCCGCCCAGCGTGGTGGACACTGGGATCTGATCCTCCTCTGCCCTGAACTCCCGCATCTCATCGTCCTCCTCCGCTGCTGCCGCTGCCGAATTCGTGAGGATCGATGCCGCTGATGCATGCACTTCCCCCTCGTCATCATCGTCGTACAGATCCTGATGTGGGTGGGAGGGGAATGGGAAAGACGGTGAGGGTTGCACTCCCGCTGCCGAACTCGTCCTCCTCCTCGTCCTCCTCCGCTGCTGCCGCCGCCGAGTTCGTGAGGATCGACACCGCTGACGCGTGCACCTCGCCCTCCTCGTCGTTGCCGTACAGATCCTGAAATGCGTGTGTGGGGGGGGGGGGGGGGTGCGAGGGGTCTGTTTTTGAGGCGCCTCAAAAACGTACAGATCCTGAAATGCGTGTGTGGGGGTGGGGGGTGCGAGGGGGGGAGGGGGGAGGGGAGGGGAAGGGGAAGGAGAGGGTGAGTGGAACTCCCGCATCTCGGCGCCCTCCTCCGCTGCTGCCGCTGTGGAGTTTGCTAGGATAGAGGGCGCTGACGCGTGCACCTCGCCCTCGTCGTCATCGTCGTACAGATCTGAAGCGTATAGAGGGCGGGGGAGGGAGATTGAGAGGAGGTGTACGACGGGTGTGGGTGGGGGAGGGAGATTGAGAGGAGATGTGCGCGGGTGTGGGTGGGGGAGGGAGATTGAGAGGGAGGGAGAGAGAGAGATGGGGAGATGGGGAGGGGTGCACCGCATCCATGTCATGTGCCTCACCATTCGGAGCTCTACCTGCCATTCACCTGAGGGGTACCAGCCACGCACCATCCATCCCCGTGCTGCACTCGAAACACCCCCCACCTGCTACTTTCCCACCGATGATTTCGCCTTGGGTCTGCCAGCAGCGCTCCCGGCCCTGCCACCAGCAGCACCGCCCACAGGCTGCGAGATGAGCAGCCCCCTGCTGCCCCGCACACCCTCCTCCATCGCCAGCACCGACGCCTCCCTCTCCGCTCCCTAAGTTACCTCACAAACCAGCATCTCCATCTCCGCACCCCTCTCTCCACTTGTAAGGTGCCTCAAAAACCAGCAACTCCCTCCCTACCCAATGTCTACTCACCGACGACTTGGCCTTGGGCCTGCTGGCTGCGCTCCCTGCTCCCCCCCCGGCACCACCCCCAACGAGCTGCGAGGTGAGCAGCCCCCCCCCGCCCCGCACCCCTTCCTCCTCCATGGCCAGCACCGACACCTCCCTCTCCGCGCCGCCCAGCATGCCGCCCGCCTGGCCTGGCGCTACCTCCTCTTCGTCCACCGCCTCGTCCTCCTCCCCCACCGCCACCTCCTCCTCCTCCTCGTCCTCGTCCTCATCCTCATCATCCTCCATCACGTCATCCACCTCTAACTCCTCTTCCTCCTCCTCCTCTTCCTCCTCCTCGTCCTCTTCCTCCTCTTCTTCGTCCTCCTCTTCCAATTCCTCCTCCTCCTCGTCTTCTTCCCTCCCGCCGGACAGCGCCGCCCGGATCCGCCGGTCTTCCACACGCTGCTGCTCGTCTGCCGCCCGCTGCTTCTCATCAGCCGCCCGCTGCCGCTCGTCCTGCTCGCGCTGCTGCTGCTCCGCGCTCTTGCGCCGCTCACTCTCGCGCATCATCTCGATCACCTGCGTCCACGACGCCGCTGTGCCGTTCAAGGTGAGGTGCTCTAGCAAAAACTCAACCCTTGCACTCGCCTGCATGAGTGGGAGTAAGGAAGGGGGTTGAGAGTTCAGGACGGAAAGGGGGCGGCGGGGAGGGGGGGGGAGGTGGGGGTAGAAGTGTCAGTCCTCTCTAGCACCTGCGCCCACAACACTGCTGGGCCATCCAGACTGAGGCCATCCAGACTGAGGCCATCCAGACTTAGGCCATCCAGAGTGAGGCCATCCAGAGTGAGGCCATCCAGACTGAGGCCATCCAGACTGAGGCCATCCAGACTGAGGCCATCCAGACTTAGGCCATCCAGACTGAGGCCATCCAGACTGAGGCCATCCAGACTGAGGCCATCCAGACTGAGGCCATCCAGACTGAGGCCATCCAGACTGAGGCCATCCAGACTTAGGCCATCCAGAGTGAGGCCATCCAGAGTGAGGCCATCCAGACTGAGGCCATCCAGACTGAGGCCATCCAGACTGAGGCCATCCAGACTGAGGCCATCCAGACTGAGGCCATCCAGACTGAGGCCATCCAGACTGAGGCCATCCAGACTGAGGCCATCCAGACTTAGGCCATCCAGACTTAGGCCATCCAGACTTAGGCCATCCAGACTTAGGCCATCCAGACTTAGGCCATCCAGACTTAGGCCATCCAGACTTAGGCCATCCAGACTTAGGCCATCCAGGAGGGCGTACTCCACTCTCGCACTCACCTGCATGACTGGCTCCCTCGTCTGTGGCGTCCACAGGGGTTTCCCCAGAGCTTTATTGAGCCTCCTCGCCCTCTGCACCCTTGCATACAGCACCGCCCTGTTGCCGTCAGTCGGCAGCCCCTGCCCCGCCAGCTCCTGCCTGAGCTCGCCCACCACCATTTTACTCGCCGCCTTGGGTGCCCGCACCCCGCCCCGTGGCCCCATCAGCCCCCCGGTTAAGCCGCCAGTCAAGCCGCCTGTTAAGCCCCACGTGGAGCCCACACCACTGCTGCTGCTGCTGCTAGTGGGAGCCGTGGTTTCACTGGTGGTGGCTGCAGTGGTGGTGGTGCTAGCAGTGATGGTAGCAGTGGTGGCAGCAGCAGAGGTAGCGGTGCTGCTGGTGCTGGCAGCGCTGGGCAGCATGGCGCCTCCCCCTCCGCCCATGGAGCCGCCCCCCGCCCCGGTGGGCCCCTGAATCTGCAGCTCCATCTCCAGCCACTCCGCCACCTCCACTGCCTCCTCCTTGCTCACTCCTAACTCTGCTGGCCATGCCGCGACTCCCTGCATGGGGAGAAAGGGACAGTGACACAGCAGGGTGTGAGACAGCAGGGTGTGAGACACGTGTGCCGCTCCACTGACTGCGTGACTTGCTGTCCACGTGTCACAGCAGGGTGCAAGTCAGTGGATCCGCCGCTCCATCTCCAGCTACTCCGCCACCTCTACCGCCTCCTCCTTGGAGACCCCCAGCTCCGCCACCCATGCCGCCACTCCCTGGAACGGAGAGAATGGAAGGGGGGAGCGGAGAGAATTGAGACACGGGGGAGGGTAGATGAGACATGGGGGAGAGTGGATGAGACATGGGGGAGGGTAGACGAGATATGGGGGAGGGTAGAGGAGAGTAGATGAGAGTGTGAGGTGAATCTGCAGCAGAGCTGCTTGCAGTACGCCCTAAACCGCCGCAGCGGCGGCGGCGGCAGCCAGAAGCCCTTCCAACCCCCACCCCCTCCCTCTCTTCCCCCTCTTCCCCCTTCCAGCCCCGCCCCTCCCCCTCACCCGCCACTTGAGCGTGTAGTAGAGCTCCTTGCGGTACACCCGGAAGCGACGCACGAGGCTCTCCTCGAACGACATGATGGGCGGCGGCAGCCAGAAGCCCCCCCATCCACCCCCAATTCCCCCTTCCCACCACCCCCCCCCCCCCCCCCCCTTCTCTCACCCGCCACATGAGCGTGTAGTAGAGCTCCTTGCGGTACGCCCGGAAGCGGCGCACGAGGCTCTCCTCGAACGACATGATGGGCGGCGGCAGCCAGAAGCCCCCCCATCCACCCCCAATTCCCCCTTCCCACCACCCCCCCCCCCCCCCCCTTCTCTCACCCGCCACATGAGCGTGTAGTAGAGCTCCTTGCGGTACGCCCGGAAGCGGCGCACGAGGCTCTCCTCGAACGACATGATGGGCGGCGGCAGCCAGAAGCCCCCCCATCCACCCCCAATTCCCCCTTCCCACCACCCCCCCCCCCCCCCCTTCTCTCACCCGCCACATGAGCGTGTAGTAGAGCTCCTTGCGGTACGCCCGGAAGCGGCGCACGAGGCTCTCCTCGAACGACACGATGGGCGGCGGCAGCCAGAAGCCCGGCAGCTCATCCGTCTCCATCTTGAGGCGCCACCACCCGCCGTGCCGCTCCATGTCGCGCTTCTCCCGCCTCTCGCTAGACCAGTCCTGGGACTCCTCCGTGGCCCTGGTGGGGTGAATATAGAAGGTGAGCAGGATAGAGGGGAGAGCATCTTGAGGCGCCTCCACCCGCCGTGCCGCTCCATGTCGCGCTTCTCCCGCCTCTCTGATGTCCACTCCTCGGACTCGTCGGTGGCCCTGGTGGGATCAGCATACACACAAATTATGCAAGGTGAGGATACAGGGGAGCCTCCATCACCCCGTGCCGCTCCATGTCACGCTTCTCCCGCCTCTCCGACGACCAGTCCTGCGACTCCTCTGTGGCTTGGTGGGATGTGAAATGGAGGACCAGGGATAGACGGACAAGCATCTTGAGGCGCCACCACCCCCCGTGCCGCTCCATGCCGCGCTTCTCCCGCCTCTCTGATGTCCACTACTGGGACTCCTCCGTGGCCCTGGTGAGATCAGCATGCACACAGATGATACAAGGTGAGGATAGAGCGGAGACGCCACCACCCCTTGCGCCGCTCCATGTCGCGCTTCTCCCACCTCTCGCTAGACCACTCCTGAGACTCCTCTGTGGCCCTGGTGGGGTGAAGAACATGCAGCGATGAAGAGAGCATGCAGAGATGAAGAGAACATGCAGCAATGAAGAGAACATGCAGCGATGAAGAGAACATGCAGAGATGAAGAGAACATGCAGAGATGAAGAGATCGTGTTCAGCACGCCTTGTTCGTTTTGCCACCAGCAATAGCATTGCTGATGCTGATGCGGGCACTCTCACCTCTGGACGCAATCTGTTGCCTCCCAATAGTCGGGCTTCATGTGGCACGGCTGCCTCCATGCTGACACCAGTCAACTGCCCATCTACCATTGCATGCATGCACATGCACTCGACTCACTTCTGAATGCATGCATGCAGCACCATACATCCATTGCATGCCTGCACTCCACTCACCTCTGGATGTAATCTGTTGCCTCCCCGTAGTCCGGCTCCATGTCGCAGGGCTGCATCCACGCCGACACCAGCGTCCTCCTCATCCTCTTGTCCCCAGCAGTGCTGATGCTGATTGCGTCGATGCCGGTGCAAATGATACTGATGATTCTAGCACTCTCACCGTTTAATAAAGTCTGTGGGCTCCCCATAGTCGGGCTCCATGTCGCAGGGCTGCATCCACGCCGACACCAGCGTCCTCCTCGTCCTCTTGTCCACCAGCAGTGCCGACGACGGCAGCCTCACTCCGTCCCGCACCATTGCCTGCAGCACCTGCTGCATCTCCTGCACCAGACCTGAAAGCAGATCGGCAGGAGGAGAGGGAGGCAGGTGAGGGAGGCAGGGAGGGGAGGGAGGGGAGGGAGGTGAGGGAGGTGAGGGAGGGAGTGGCAGTGTGACTAATGAGCTGGGCAAGCAACCATCGCCTGCAGCAGCTGCTGCATCTCCTGCACCAGACCTGCACGAGCACCAAGGGAGGAGAAAAGCGAGGAGGCGAGAGAGCTCGAATTCCCTCTTTTGAGTCGTCTCAAAAGCTTCCAGCACCTGCTGCTGCATCTCCTGCACCAGGCCTGCAAAAAGCACAGCACAGCATGCAGACCTGCAAACAGCACAGCGCAGCATGGCAGGGCATGCCCTGCTGGCGAGATGCTGCAGCAGATCTGGGAACGGCACAGTATGGCAGGAGGAAAGGGGGAAAGCAGTGGAGGCAAGGAGGCCAGTCAGCCCAAAGAAACCCCCACACCACACCCACCCACCTGCCCGGCAGAGAGCACGGAGGAAGAGCGCAGTGGCATGGTAGCGCTCGCCCCGCCGCACGTCGAGCCAGCACATCTCGCCCGGTAGCCGCTGCAATGCACGGAAGTGGCGCACGGCTTCTGATAGGAAGTTCCAGTCCTTGCAGAATATCTCCACGAGGAGACTGGGGGGGGGGGTAGGAAAGGGGATAGAGCTTCTAAATTAGGGGGAGAAGGAGCGGGAGACGAAGTGGTGCACGGCCTCTAAAAAAAAATCCAGTCCTTGCAGAATATCTCCACGAGCAGACTGAGGGAACGTGGGGGGAGAAGACAAGGATATGGAAAGGGGTTGCTGGAAAAATAAGCAGGAAGCAGGAAATGAATGACGAGGTCAATAGATCCAGTCCTTGCAGACGGTATCCCTTGCGGGGGAACGAGGGGAGCAGAATGCGGGGGGGCGGGGGGGTAGAGGGGAGGAGGATATACATCGGGGGGAAAAGCAAGAAGCAGCAGGAGTGTCGCACACAGCTCTCTCTTCGGGTATCCTGCCACCCAACTAGCCGGGCTCTCCTGGTAGCAAGCTCCCTTACGCTACTCCTAGCCGAAGGCACTCCTTCACCCAGGTCCTGCACTCCCTCGAGCTTAGCCTCTTACCAGCACTAATGATTACGCCTCCTCGCTGTCCCCCTGAATCCGGCCCCTCACCTCTCTCACTCTTCTGCATGTCGACCTATCCAGCCGCTCCTGTCCCCACTGAGCTGGACACTGTCTCCCATTCGCCACCTCCAGCTGTCTCGCCCGCTCAATCCCATGAGCTTTTCGACCCATCACTGTACTTCCCCACATTACTCCGCATAACAATCCACTTTACGTATTTTCCTTACACTTTCTACACCTCTTCCCTTCCGCGCTGTCCCATATATCTCATGACACTTTTCCGTTCATGCGATTTATGCGACAGCTGTCGCACACAGCTCTCTCTTCGGGTATCCTGCCACCCAACTAGCCGGGCTCTCCTGGTGGCTGCCTCCGCTTGTATGTTATGAGGCTCTTTGCCCCACTCTCCTGCCCCCTCGCGGCCCGACCCACGTCCTCGTGATCAGGCCGTGACCTCCCAGCGCGCGCCACATTAGACACGTGGTCCCGAACCAGCTGCCCCTGCATATTCTGCAGCAACAGGACCCCTGACTCCCTTGTCTCACGTACGATCCACCGCTCCTTACTCAAACCTCTGTCTAGCGTGTCCTTCTTCCGCTCTCTCAGGTACACCTCGTCGCCAATCTGTAGTGCCAACGCCTGACCCCCATTGCCCTCCCCTTGCTTGCGCTGCCTGTACCTCCTTGCGTCTCGCAACTGTGCCACCTCCAAATTATCTAAGGCAGCCGGCATGGCGGTGCGGAGATAACTAGCCCTGGCTGCTGCGATCACGGCCCAAGTCCGCGGGTCCTCAGTAGACACCGCTTCCTTTATGATACGAGGAGCATCCACGGGCAGCACGGGCTCCTTCCCATATAGCAGGAAGTACGGGGAGTAATCCTTCAGCGCTTGCTGCTTACTAAAGCGATATCCCGCCGCTAACCAAGGGAGATGAGTGTCCCACCTTCAGGATCAGCCCCTCGCGCTCCTCCGGCCTGGGAACTATTCTCCATCCATCCCCCATCACTAACTGCAGTTGTTCATCCTGCCAACGGTAATGAATCCCCCGGGCCCTCACCCTCTCTGGCACCTCTCCTCCCTCTGGTCCCTTGCCTTGAACCCACTGCAGCACCGCAGCATCGTCCCAAATCTCCCGACAGCCTTTCGCCGCCTCGGACCTCCGAGTCCACCCCTCCTTCTCGGCGGACACCGCCATGAAGGAAAGCACAGTCTCCGCTCCCACCTCTGGTTCCCCAGCTATTGCTGGCCCCAGCCTGGAGAGCCCATCCACATGCTGCAGGGTTTTCCCGGGCCGATGCTTCACGTCAAACTCGAATTCCTGCAGCCGCATGGCCCACCTGGCATTCCGCCCTTGCAGAGTCTGATTAGTCATCAGCCACAGGAGGGGTTGATGATCAGTGACTAGGGTAAATTTCCTGCCTTGCAGGTAAGGCCGGAAGAGTTCCACCGCCCAGACTGCGGCTAATCCTTCCCCCTCATAGGAACTGTAGTTGCTTTCGGCTGGGCTGCATGACCGACTGGCATATGCTACTACCCTCTCCGTCCCCCCATCCAGCTGGCACAGTACTGCCCCCATGCCACTGCTGCTCCAGTCAGTGTACAACGTGTAGGGCTCATCCGGGCTGGGCAGTTTCAGGACAGGCGCGGTCTTCACTGCTTCCTTCAAGGTCTTCCACGCCAGATCCTGTTCTGCCTCCCACTTCCAACTCATGTCCTCTCTCAGGAGCAGATTCAAGGGCCTTGCCGTCTTGCTGAAGTTCGGCACGAACTTGCGGTAGTAGCTCAGAAAGCCCAGCTGAGCGCGGAGGGTGCTCCGATCCGTTGGCGCTTTGAGTCTATCAACCACCTCCACTTTGGCCTGCTGCACCGAGAGGCCTCCTTTCCCCACCTGAAACCCCAGGTACGCCACTGTCCTCACCCCGAAATGGCACTTTCCTGGATGGCACTTCAGTCCGGCCGCTTGTATTGCTGCTAGGGCGGCGGCTACATCTGCCACGTGCTGCGACCCATCTTCGCTGAAGATTACCACGTCGTCTACGTAACAGAGTGCTCCAGGTACCTCCCTCAGCACTTGATCCATCACTCGCTCAAACCTCGCTGAAGCGTTCTTCAACCCGAATGGCATATAATTCCATTCGTACAGCCTATCTGGCCCATGAAACGCCGTCTTAGCCTTATCCTCCTCCTTGATTGGTATCTGGTTGAATCCTTGACGGAGGTCCAAGGTTGAGTAGACCTGTCCTGCGGCCAGCTTATCGAAGATCTCCTCGGCCATGGGCATTGGGTATCGGTCGCTCTTGGTGATCCGGTTAATACCTCGGTAATCCCCACACATTCGTCGGGCTAACGTTTCTCCGGTTAGATCCTTCCTTGCGGCTACCACCGTCGCTGCTGCATATTCTGATGTGGACTCCCTGATCAACCCCGCTTCCAACAGCTCTGCGCATTTTGCAACCGCAATGTCTCTGTCCCCTGGACTCATGCGTCTCCTCCGCTGATACACTGGTTCGTTGCTTTGCAGCTCTATCTCCATCTCAGCTATGGTGCACTTGCCTAACTCCTTCAGAGAGTAACGAAGGCTCCCCTTGCCCCTTCCAGTACACGCCGCAACTCTCCCTTCTGCTCTTCCTCTAGCCCGTCTCCCATCTCCCAAGCCGGTGGACTGTCGACTTGCGGTGGCCCCTTTTCTTCTTCTACTGGCTCGCTCTCCCCATCTTCCCTTGTCTCCTCCACGGCTTCTGCTTCTTGCATAGCTTTGGCCAGGAGCGCTATCCCCCGAATGTTCAGCTGGTTTTCTCCTCGCTCTACCTCAGCCCAGGCCTCCGCCTTCATGCGTTGCCAGGCCTCTGCCATGTCGAGCGCCTGCGCTGGGTCGCTCTCCAGCATCGTTTGCAGGTCCTTCCACCTCCAGTGCATTAGCAGCTGCATTCTCATCACCTCCTGCCGTGCTGGTCGATGGCTCCCCCTAGCGCTGCCCTCCTCGCTTCTTCTGAAATCCCCTCCGCCGCCGTCGCGTTTCTCATGTATCCTAGCGCCCTCTCCCTTTCCACCGCCATATGCTCCTCCCATTGCCCCGTAGCGAGCACTTGCACCATCCCGGGTCCCGGCTCACTGCCTTGCATGCGAAAGGCATAACTGCCAGGTGTTGCCACCAACGTCGGCCAGGCTTGCCTCGGCTCTCCCACTTGGTTGCAGGGAAACTGTGTCTTGATCTCCGGGGTCGTTACCGGTGCCGGCCTCCTGCCCGGCTCTAGAATATCCTGGACCTGCCGCGGCACGGGCCGCTGCATCCTACTCAGTTGATCTCTGAGCACTGGCTCCGGGACCAAGTTCTGCCAGTAGCGTCTCACTCTGTGAGTCCGGGACCCCATTTGTGCTGCATCCCAGGCTACTCCGTGTCCCAACTCTGCCGTCACAGCTTGATGAGCCTCTCTCACCAATGCACGCTCATCGTCCGCCACATCCAAATTCTCCACTATGTAGGATAGCGGTCCTTGTTTCCTCTTTATCAGCTTCATCACTCGGATAAGATCCCGGAGAAGGCCGGTGCGCGGGTCCGATAGCCCCCTGCCCTTGCCCGCCCTGGACAGCCCCTGGCATTCCCATCCGGCCACTAGCAGGTCAATCTGCCCCCAGCTCTCCACCGTCTCCTGAGTAACAGCGCCGACATCGTTCATCGCACTTGCCTCCCTCTCAGCCCTCTCGACCACTTCCAAGGGCAGCCTCTCCGGAAATTCCCGACTGAGGAGCCTTGCATGATGAAATGCCATGCAGCGAACCTCTTCCTTCTTCTCCACGTGTATCCATCGTGCAATTGTGAGCCCCGTGCGTACGCACGCCGCCAAACCCGGTCCAATTCCCCCGAACAACTCTAGCAGGGCTATGGGTCGGTTGAAGGTTTCGAAGTCGTACGTGGGCTCGGTGAGCCCCTTCGCTTCCCGGTACTCTGCCAGTCGTGGCCCCGCCGCTTCCTCCCTCTTTCTCCTCTCGCTTGCTCGCTCCAGATATACTCCTGCGTCCTCGAATCTCTGCTCTGGCACCTTCTCCATTGGGGGCCCTCGATATCCGGGCGGACTCCTTAGGAAGCGTGCCGGCAGAGCCACTGCCAAGCTCTCTTCATGACTCAGCTCGTGGTCCCAGTAGCGAGGCTGGTACGTAACCTTCTCGGTCCAAGTGTCGACCACTGCTCCTATTTTGTAGCTCCATTCCCAACAACAGGTCATAGTCGTCTGAGTCTGAGACCAGGCAGTGCACACGAATCCTCGTCTCATCCTCTGCTCCTGGGGCCAGCACCACCTCCTGAGGCCTCAGTGTCCTGGGCAGCCATTTCCCAGCTCCTCCCTCTGCTGTCTGGATTCTGACCCCTTCAGGCGTCACATTCTCCTCTCGGTGCAACCCCAGCCTTTCGGCTAGGCGCCTTCCCACCAGTACTTGTGAAGCCCCTGAATCGATTATCGTAGTCCCGGGGTATTTCCCTTCCACAGCGACTGCTCCCTCCATAGCCTCAACCACGCATGGCTTCGCCGCCATCCGCTCAAATGGATGACGGTGAGGGCCATGCCTGCCCCCTGCAGGGGCCCCGGCTTCGGCTTCTGCTGGTCCCGTCCACCCTGGGGTCGGACTCACTCGGGCTCTCGGCCCTCGCCTCCCCTGCTGCACTTCACGTCGGCGGTCGATCCCTCCGCTGCGCAAGCCAAGCTCCTCTTTGTCCCGGCCCCCCCCCGAGGCCATAAAGAACGGCTCCCCCTTCTCTTCGGTGTCTCCCTCCCGAGATCGGGCTAGCATCGCTGAGCTGTCCTCCTCGTCACTCTCTTCCTCCTCTGCCTTCAGCTTTCTCAGTTCTTCCTCCAGGGCCTCAATACGGCCTTTCCGGCCTCCCTTGCCCTGCTCCTCTCGCTGCTTCGTGTAGCAGTTCTCCGCGGAATGCCCCCTTCTCTGACAATAGGAGCAGGTCTGCAGCTTGGGGCAATCCCTTTTGAAATGCCCTGGCTCCTGGCACTTGTAACACACCGGTTCCTCGCTCGGGGGAGGGGTCACCGTCCGGGATCGCTGCGGTTTTCCCTTGTATCCCCTACTTTCCGTCCTTTCCTCCTCTCCCTCACTCCCAGCCAGCATTGCTCCACCCCAGCTGACTCCTCTGCGGTCTCGTTCACGCCCCCCCGAACGCTCCGACCTCCTTCCAAGGTCGTACAGGCTCAGCGACTGCTCGTTGCGCCATGCGATCTCATACGCCTGCCTCAACGTTGCATTCGGTCCCAGGTTGTAGGTGTGGTCCCTTGCCGTTCGGGCCAGATCCCTTGACAGCCCTTCCAAGAATTTCGCCACCACTATCCGTGGTTCGTTGCAGCTGATGTCTTCCGCTAGCTGATCCACTCGGCGATAGTACACCAGCAACGATTCTCTGGGGGCCCTACGCAGCTGCTCGAATTCTCGTAGCTTTGCTGGGGTTTGCGTCGGGAAGTGCACCTGAAGCTCTTCCAAGAACTTCTCTGTCGGATCCTGCAACCTTAGCGCCCGGCCCTCAGCATCTCGGCGGACCCTTCCCAGGGTGTCCCGCTCCTCCTCCTGCAGCAGTAGGTCGCGTACTTCCAAAAAGAATGCCTCTGCATCCCCTGCCAGCGTATTGCCCAGCGACCGGAAGAAATGCCTGAGATCTAGGCCATCTTGCTCCCAACAAAACTTCTCGTTGCGCACGTGCATCGTGTACGTTTTCAGGCGAGGGCCCGACTGCTGGTCCCCCGTGAAGCGTGCGGGAACCTCCACCTTAGGTAGGCTCGTATAGCGATATCTGGTTCCTTCCTCCCATAACGACCGATGCGACACCCCGCCAGCAGTGCCCTGCACGGCCCCGGTGACGTTCCCCGCGCTCACTCCGCCGCTCCTCTCGGATCCGCTCAGCGCTGTCGGTCCGCCGACTCCTCGACCTGCGTCTCCGGGTGCGCGGTCCGCCGACGCCTCTCTCGCCGTCACGGAGAACCCCCCCCCCGCTTGACGATCCGCGCGCATCGCGAAACCGCTGGAATCACGACGCTCCCGCGCTCGATTCTCCTTTCCCGGGCTCGGCTCCTCGCGCGTCTCCTCGCGCTCCGCCGATGGCGACTCTGGAGCCTGACCTCCTTCGACTGACAGGTTCTTGTCTTCCCCTCTCAGCGAGTCGTCTCCTCCTTGTAGTCGGGTGCCGCTCCTTAGGGACATCCCCGTCATAAGACTTTGTTTGTATATGAAAGCCCGAGGCGAAATCTCTAAGCCAAAGATTTGCTCGCTACCCCTCAGTTTGGTCTCCCTTCATGGATCTGGTTTAGCTCAGGAAAATGCATTCACTAGCAAGAGCCATACAACCTTCCCAAATTACGAGAGAACAAACAGAGTAGCTGTCATACGACGAGCAAGCTCCTTTACGCTACTCCTAGCCGAAGGCACTCCTTCACCCAGGTCCTGCACTCCCTCGAGCTTAGCCTCTTACCAGCACTAATGATTACGCCTCCTCGCTGTCCCCCTGAATCCGGCCCCTCACCTCTCTCACTCTTCTGCATGTCGACCTATCCAGCCGCTCCTGTCCCCACTGAGCTGGACACTGTCTCCCATTCGCCACCTCCAGCTGTCTCGCCCGCTCAATCCCATGAGCTTTTCGACCCATCACTGTACTTCCCCACATTACTCCGCATAACAATCCACTTTACGTATTTTCCTTACACTTTCTACACCTCTTCCCTTCCGCGCTGTCCCATATATCTCATGACACTTTTCCGTTCATGCGATTTATGCGACAGGAGAAGAAATGACTCAACAATCACTGAAAGTTCCCAGCTTTGCCAAAGGTGGAGGTGGAGGAGGGTAACGGGAGAGCTGGAGAGGAAGTGAGTGAAAGCGTGTGATGGTAATTTCGTTTTGAGTCGACTCAAAGGGAGGGTAAAGGGTGAGTAAAGGGAGAGTAAAGGGTGAGTAAAGGGTGAGTAAAGGGTGAGTAAAGGGTGAGTAAAGGGTGAGTAAAGGGTGAGTAAAGGGTGAGTAAAGGGTGATTACTATCACACAAAGCGGAGGAGGGTAAGGGAGAGGTGGGGAGGAAGCGAGTGAAAGAGGCGCCCATTTGCGCATGGATATGTGTGCGAGGGCACTTTTGAGTCGACTCTAAAGTCACCTCGTGAAAGAGGCGCCCATCCGCGCATGGATATGTGTGCGAGGGCACTTTTGAGTCGACTCAAAAGTCACCTCGTGAAAGAGGCGCCCATCCGCGCACGGATATGTGTGCGAGGGCACTTTTGAGTCGACTCAAAAGTCACCTTGTGAAAGAGGCGCCCATCCGCGCATGGATATGTGTGCGAGGGCACTTTTGAGTCGACTCAAAAGTCACCTCGTGAAAGAGGCGCCCATCCGCGCATGGATATGTGTGCGAGGGCACGGCACGTACGCGTAGGTCTTGCCGTTGGGCTTCACGTTGCTGTCCTCCACCATGTGGCCGATGAACTCCAGTGAGTCCTCGTACCTGCACACAGGGACAGGGGCAGGGGCAGAATCGACGGACAGGGGGCAGTTTGTGGCAAAACGTCTGAGTGGCTGCTCTCCTCCACCATGTGGCCGATAAACTCCAGGGGGTCCTCGTACCTGGGTCCATGGGCAGGGACAAGCCAGAGGCAGGGACATGGGCAAGAAATCCAATGCATCCTTGTCGCATAGCCTCCTCCCCTCCCCGCAGCTCTCCTCTGCAATGCCTAACCTGGTTCCTTAGCAGCTTTGCCCTCCCTGCGCTTGTATGTGATGAGTTCCGACTTCCATGACTCTGTTTGTACGAAAAAGCCCGAGACTAAATCTCGCACCCTAATCCTCTTAACTGCACCTCTGTCCGGCCTCCCTACATAGATCTAGCATTGCTCAAAAATAGTTCCACAAGTAAGAGAGCATACAGGCTTTCCCATGATAACGAGAGAACAAACAGAGTAACAAAAACTACCCTTCCGTACTGTTTCTGTGCTCCTCCTCCTAGCAGTCCCACTCCCAAGCCAAACCCTACCCTCCCAGATGCTTCCGCCGCGCGCCGTTTCGGGATTTTCTCCTCCTGTGATGGCCCCGTGATTCCTGCCATCGACTCACCTCTCTCATTCGCCGCATGCCACTGTCCGAACCACTCCTCCTGCTTACTTACGTGTCATGCCCCAACCTGCTTCCTTCCCAGCTGGCCAACCGCTCCCAACTCGCCCATCACTGTACCTTAATCAAAAGTGTCGTCGGCTATGTACATTATATACACTTACTTACAACTTTCTCCGAACCTTGCATTCCGCACCTGCACCTCCCGCGCTGTCCCGTGAAACTCGGTAACGGGTACAACGAGGTTCATGCGACATCCTTGTATCCGCAGCAAGTGCGGCCAGAGCAGCAGCAAGTGCGGCCAGAGCAGCAGCAAGTGCAACCAGAGCAGCAGCAAGTCCAGGGGCTAAGGGCTAGGTGGGGGTAGCACTAGGTGAAGGGGTGCGCTGCCCACCTCACCTCTCCTGTGGGTGCGCTGCCCGCCTCACCTCTCCTGTGGGTGCGCTGCCCGCCTCACCTCTCCTGTGGGTGCGCTGCCCACCTCACCTCTCCTGCGGGTGCGCTGCCCGCCTCACCTCCCCTGTGGGTGCGCTGCCCGCCTCACCTCTCCTGCGGGTGCGCTGCCAACCTCACCTCTCCTGCGGGTGCGCTGCCCGCCTCACCTCTCCTGCGGGTGCGCGGCGAACGCCTCGAGCACCCAGTTGTAGGAGTGCACATCCGGCTTGCCCTCCCTGCGACTCTCCTTCAGCCCCTCTGCACATGTTGCACGTGGAAAGAAGGAGGGGGGGAGGGGTGGGGTGGGGGGGGGGGGGGGGACAAGCCACATGATACATGTGGATGTGCACATGATACACAGGAAAACACTGGGGGGAAAGGTGGGGGGAGGGGGGAGGGAGGGGGAAGCGGGGGGTCGCAAAACTGAGAGAGGGGAGGTGGAAAAAAGAGTCCTCTTGCCACAAACTGCGCCCGTTAAAGCAACCCATCAGCCCCTCTTACGTTTGAGCACTGAACAACCTCTCCCTACACCAATCCTCCCAACTCCCTGCTTCCTTACGTCCAATCTACTCTTGGCCCTCTCTTCCTCTGCCTCCTTTGTTCTTTAACCATCACCTCCACCCGCCCCTCACATCCACCCGCCCCTCACCCTTAACCGCCCCTCACATCCACCCGCCCCTCACCCCTACCCGCCCCTTACCCCTACCCGCCCCTCACCCCTACCCGCCCCTCACCCCTACCCGCCCCTCACCCCTACCCGCCCCTCACCCCTACCCGCCCCTCACCCCTACCCGCCCCTCACCCCTACCCGCCCCTCATCCCTACCCGCCCTTCATCCCTACCCGCCCCTCATCCCTACCCGCCCCTCATCCCTACCCGCCCCTCACCCCTACCCGCCCCTCACCCCTACCCGCCCCTCACCTCGCTGCTCCTCCACCATGGCTTCCAGCTTCTGCACTGCAATGTCCGGCACACCCGCCTTGCTCTGGCGGATAGTGGCGGGGGGGGAAGAGGAGGAAGGGACAATTGTGGTGCGGGGTGGATAGATACCCAATAGAACGACAGTGCGTAATGAGTCGATTTTTGAGTCGAATCATTACACACGGACAATTGCGGTGCAGGGTGGATAGTTACTCAATAGAACGATAGTGGCCGGGGGGGAAATCGGAGGAGGGGATCGCTGTGGTGGGGGTTGGGGGGAGAGGTTATGGTTAAGTAGGTTAGCTATGAGATGTCTCAAAACTAACCTACTTAGTGGCAGGGGGGGAAGGAGGGGATCATTGTGATGGAGGTTGGGGGGAGAGGTTATGGTGGAACGTAGCACCATCTTTCATCCCTCTCCACCACTGCAAACCCCCATGCCCCATGCCACACGACCTCATGCGCCAAGCCTTGACGCACCATGCTCATGAGCACGCAGTTGCCGTGGAATGGAATGCAGACGGCATCCGTGGAGTCATTTTTTAGAATTCTCAAAAACGGCATCCGACCCCTGTGCGCGTCACACGCCACCGCAGCCGAGCCCCCGTGCACCACACCCCCTGCCGAACCCACCATGCTCATGAGCACGCAGTTGTGGTGAAAGGTGGACGGCATCCACCCCCTCTGCGCCAGCACGTCCGTCACATCATGTGTATCAGCGTGCGCCATCCCAACAAACCCCCTGATCCCACGACGAACTTACCATGCTCATGAGCACGCAGTTGTGGTGGAAGGTGGACGGCATCCACCCCCTCTGAGCGAGCGCATTCATCACATCATGTGCGTCGGCGTGCCGGCCCTCCCGGCAGCTGCCCTCCACCACGGCGTCGATCAGCCCATCAGTGGGCCAAAGCCCGTCCTCCACCCCCCGTAGCAGCAGGGCTTTCCCCTCCGCGTGGTTGCCGGACGCAAACAGCTCCTCTGGGAGAGGGAATGGGTGGAATGGGTGGAATGGGAGGAATGGGTGGAATGGAGAAGCGGAAGGAGCAGCGAGGAAGGGTAGGGCGTGGTGAGGACTGGAAGGGAGGCCGCAGCACCAGCACGTGTGTCGGCGTGCCTGCTATATGACCCCAACTGGGAAGGGAGACAGCAGCATGCGCCAGCTCATACATTCATGGCACCAAGTGCGATTAGTTGGATGGCTTCGACCTCAGCGAGCCCGCTATAATCAACAAAAGCGATTCCGATCAATCATCCTCCTTACAACGTGATCCGAACCAAACCTCTTGTTGTTCAGCGCCGAAGCACCACAGCCACCCCAATCCCTCACACCCACCAATGAGTACGACCCATGCAGTGCGCTGGTTGAGCTTGAGCTCCCCCTTGAGCGCACCCATGAGCCCCAGCACCCATGAGCCCCAGCACCCCAGGACCTCAATCGCCAGCTCACACTCAACAATGGCCAGCCCCCAATTGACCCATGCTGCCCGCTGGTTAAGCTTGAGCTCCCCCTTGAGCGCGAGAATGCCCTCAGCACCCACGAGCACAAACACAAGCCAGCATCCACCAATCAGAAACACCCACCAATTAGGGTCACCCACCGATGAGGACGACCCATGCCGCCCGCTGGTTGAGCTTGAGCTCCCCCATGAGCGCGAGAATGCCCTCCCCCTCCGCCACCTGCCCCCGCCGCCCGCTCAGCCGCAGCACCGCCACCAGCGTCTCATAGAGGGGGAAGACCCCGCTGTTCAGCATGCGCCGCAGGGCGCGGCGCTGGCAAGGGGAAGGAGGGGGGGGGAGGGGGGGGGGAGGGAGGAGGGGGTAAGAGGGGGATGGTGGTGCCTCTCCGCCTGCTGCTCAGCCGCAGCACCGCCACCAGAGTCTCGTACAGGGGGAACACCCCGCTGTTCAGCATGCGCTGCAGGGCGCGGCGCTGGCAGGGGGGGAAGGGGGGCCGAGGAGGGGGTAAGAGGAGGGGGTAAGAGGAGGGGGGGAAGGGAAGGGGGTAAGAGGGGGATGGTGCCTCTCCGCCTGCCTCTCCGCCTGCTGAACAAGTCCCCCTTGGTCGCGAGCACGACCACAGCCGCGTGGTGCGCCCTTACCCCCTTCCCCTATCCCCCCTTCTCCCATTCCCCCATCGGTTGATAGATACGCCTCAACAGACAACCTACCGCTTCGAACAGGTCCCCCTGGGCGGTGTGCACGACCACCGCGGCGTGGTGCGCCCGGCCCCCCGCGCGGAGCCCCAGGCGCCGCATCTCCTCCATGCGCCGCTCCACCTGCGCGCCCTCGCCCGCGCGGCTGCTGCGCGACAGCGACTCCGCGAAGAACAGGCGCAGCTGCTGGGGGTCCAGCGCGGATAAAGGCACTGTAGAGGGGGGGGTAGGAGGGGAAGGGAGGCCGAGAGAGGGGGGAAAGAAGGAAGAGGAGAAGGTAGAAGGGGTGAGGGGGGCGGAGGAGGAGTGGCTGCTGCGCAACAGCGACTCCGCGGAGAACAGGCGCAGCTGCTGGGGGTTGATCGGGGCACTGGCGGGAAGGAGGGCGGAAGGTGTGGGGGGAGTGAGCAGGACAGGGGGAGCGGCGAGGGAAGCCATTACTGGGGAAGGGAAGGCGCGGAGGAGCCGAGTTAGCCCACTGACCAGGGCAATCAACGCCTCTCCACCACCGTACCTCACTACCTCATGCACTGCTGAGCCTTCAGAGCTCATTATTCATCCCTCCATTACATCACCCCTCCATCCCTCCATCACATCACCCCTTCATCCCTCCATTACATCACCCCTCCATCCCTCCATTACATCACCCCTCCATCCCTCCATTACATCACCCCTTCATCCCTCCATTACATCACCCCTCCATCCCTCCATTACATCACCCCTTCATCCCTCCATCACCTTCCGCCACATCCCCATGGCATCTTTCCCCGCCCTCTCTCTCCTTCTCCTCTCGCCGCTCAATATTCCCACCTGAGGAGCCAAGCTGGTCGAAATTCATCAGCCACTGCTCCGACCGCTGCCTCCTCTCCCTCCTCTCATCCTCACTCTCCTCCTCCTCTTCCTCCCCTTCCTCCTCCTCCCACCCCTCCTCCTCCTCTTCCTCCTCATCCTCATCCTCCTCGCCATCTTCCCATTCCTCCTCGTCTTCCTCCTCTCCCCCCTCCACCCCTCCGTCCAAAACCCTAATCGCCTCCGCCTGACCATTCACCCCCGCCTGTCCCCCCTCCGCCTTCACTTTCGCGTGCGATCCATCCTGCGACAATGCCAGCTGCTGGCTGCTGCTTGTCGCCGCGCCTGTCGCAGTTGTCGCACGCGTCGCATTAGCTGCGTCGCCGTCGCTTGTCCCTCCGACAACCGTCGTCCACGCCTCGGAATCAGACGACGACGCTAGCGACCGAACCACCCTCCTATCCTGTCTGCTCTCACTTTGACCACTGCAGCATTGCCGAGCCTGACCGAACCTTCCCGTGCCAGCTTGCCTAACCGTATCACTTCTTAATCTAGTCAAATAACCAGAATGGCTAGACGTCCCCGTGATTGTAGCCGGGACACTATAACGGGTGGTCACTCTTAAAACCGAGATCCTCGAGACTGGGAGCCGGATCCCTAGCAACTGGGAGCGAGAAATCGGAGGGGGGAGACCCGAGGGTTTGGGTTTATCAGACGGCTTGATCAGGGGTACCTGGTACGACGCCTGCGAGTGTGCGGAGATGGCGGGAAACGGATTCGCCATCACGGACATCGCGACGATTTAGAACCGTGAAGATGCTATCGGACGGCTCCTGGCGAATGCGAGACGTCAGGCACACATCAGGGACTCCGCGTCGTATCGCCTGCAGTGTCGTCAGGCTAAGCGAACGCGGTTGAAGCTAAGAGGGACTTTAACCACCTTCGGGGGGAGTCCTGACGACGAGCTGGGGAACAACCAGTGATAACAGGCTGGTAGCGACAATCCCAAGGAGCAGCAGCGGACCAGGCTGATAAGTATGTTCACTACTACGGCTGAAACTCATGCTCGGATGAGGGGACAATTGAGCAAAGCGGAGCAGGGCGGAGTGGAGGGTGAAATGGAGGGAATTGCAGCAGCGGTGAACCACACCAGCACACATTCGAAAAGTTACGCTTCGCCGCGATTTCTGTGCGACGAATTCGCAGCGTTACGGTTATCTGTTTGGTTTGTTCCAACCACATCAGAAAAACAAATCTCTGATTTGTCCATCTCATCAAACCTTGAATTTCCCCAATAGAAAGTACAGCCCCCCTGGCTCTATGGATGAGCATGGGTACCGGGCTGGATGTCACGAGACATGACAGTTTGGGCCTTCACTAGCTTGATGAGCAAATTCAAGCTCAGCTGTATGTATGTGCTACAACAGCATTCCTTGGCAAATGTGGCCTTCTCTTCTGCCTCTTGCATTGCCACAACGGCATGCATGATACTCTGCCATGTGCACAGCACAAGCCAGCAAGCAGCCCTAACCAGACACTATCATTTTCTTGCTAGCTGCTAAAATTGCATACCTGTCTAAGTTGTCTCTGCAAGTTCAACCAGTTCTAACAAGCAAGCACAGCAGTGCTTTGTTGATTTTTGTGCTGCCCTCTGCACTGGCACTGGCATGCACTTCATGATACGCGTGGACACATGCAGCAGCAGCAGTGTAGACACGCAAACTTCTTGACACACGGTTGTCGGGCATGCACGGGCACAAGTACTCACACATACAGGTGGACAGAGCACACATACCGCCTCACAGCACTTACAGGGGCAGGTAGTCAGATGTCCAAGCATGGTCACGTGAACAGGTGGCTCGAGGTCCAAGCAGTCACATGCACAGCACTTACAGGAAATAGGAGGTTGGAGGTCCAAGCACACTCATGTGCACATCACTTATAGGAACAAGTGGTTGGATGTCCAAGCAGTCACGTGCACAACATTTACAGGAACTGGTGGTTGGAGGTCCAGACACAATCACAGCACAGTAACAGTACCGGGTACGGGTGTAGACATTGTTAAATTATATATTTTGTTATATAATTGGTAGGCTTGGTCGGGTTATCGAACTCTACTGTAGAGGGTACAACTCCCTCCTTGTATGCCTCTCTCTTCCTAGTCTCCTCTCTTTTCTCTTGTAACATTCTCTCCTAGCTCCTAAACCTCACGCCATTCCATGGCTTCCTCCTACTCCTAGCTACCTTAGTTTAACAGACATAATCATGGGTGCAAATAGCCACGGAAGAAGGGGGTGGGGGGTTGGATGGACCCGCCACAGACAGAGTCAGAGGGTATATCAGCACAGCGGAGGGGGGGTGAGGTGGGGTGTGTTGTGCAAGGGGAAGGGAGGGGGGGGGCGGGGAAGAGGGGGGGGAAGGATGGGTAGATACAGATCCTAAGCCCCAAACCCAAACCTGAAAGCCAATCACACAGTCCCAATCACAAGTACATCTACAACATTGCTAAAGAACTGATGAACAATCAATCCTTGGGTCTTGAGCCATGACGCGGGATCATTTCTGTCCTTCGGACTTGTGACGTCCTGGAACCATCAAGGGGAAAAGGACGAGAGGTGAGGGAGAGGGCGGAGGTGAGGGAAAGGGCGAGTGAAGAGCAGCAAATTTGTGAACTCAAGACCCAAAGGTCAACATTGAAGCAAGGGGTGGCATTAGTCTGTGTGGGAAAACAAGGATCGACGCAAAGAATTCCCAAGGTCGCGATTCTCCACAAGCGTTTCGTTGTCCCAACCTCCCTGGTCTGCTGAATTACCTTTGCCTCACAGCGCATGTTGGTAGTGGCACTGTTCGATTTGGAGGGTCCATCTGGGAGGGTCAGGGCTGGGTGGCCCGAGGCGGTCGCAATGCCGAAAGGGCAGAGTAGAGAGGCTGAGAGGCCTTGACACCCGTCTCCCAGTGCCTTGTACGCACAAGCACGCATAGTCAACCACACACATGCACACACTGTGAGAGTACGACACCATTACACCAATTTCCCCTTTCCATATTTCCTTTCTATTTCATTCCTCTTTTTATCCTAATTCATTTGGTCCTTATCTCATCTCATTTGGTTTCCTATTCCTCTTTTTCCATTATCCTTTGGTTTATCTTGTTATTATAATTATATCACCGACCAGGCTCGGGATGTACTGGCGCGTTATATCTATCGTAATCCTGTCGTAATCCCTTAAAGTCAATAGCCTCACGTGGCTATACGCCAAGTGATTCTATTTCTAGAAGGGTCTATTCCTTTTTAATAGGATAAACCTGGTTACCTGATGTATTATGGAAGTATAAAGTACCTTTTACTGATTGATAGTGCAACATTGAGCAAACCTCATTCGATCCCGTGACACTTGGTAATCAGAGCCAAGGTTTCAGCTTAACGCTTAACCGCGGGGCCCCCAGGAGCACGCCGAGGATGGAGTCGAAACTTCTATTCCTGTAAGTACAATGCAGTTTCTTTCTAAGTTTCGACAAACCTCGCGCAATTGCACCTGAGGTTCCCTACGAAGGCGAGATGCCTCGCCGACCGTTCGATGGACTGCATCGACGGAGCCGATTTTTTTCGCGGGGGCAAACGGCCTCGACCTCGCGAACCCGTCAGTTTGGGCGGAACACTCCTTGCAACATTCCGAGAAGTTCGCAGTTCGCCACGACTCTTGGAGTTGCGCGGAAATGTGCGGAGCTTCGACCGACGACACCCGTCCGATGGAGATTCGACGCTTCAGATCGACCAAGGCGAAACGAAATCATAATGTGCGAGTTCGAGATACAGTGCGTATGGGAACGGGACCTCGCAAGCCGCAAAATTCTTCAGAGCGTCCGATCGTTCGACAGCCGACATCGACGACCGAGAATTGCTGTAGGATACGAGTCAACCCAGGTACCGAAAGCTGCTGAACGCGACTCTGGAATATCTTCAAATCGCTTGGAGTTTGGACCGTCGGATCGACTTCTAATTCAACGGACAAGATTGAGCGCGACCTCTGCACAAAGGGCGAATGACGCACAGAACAAGAAATCATCTGGACAACCAAATTCGAATTCCTTCATTTGGTGACGAATTTGGCGCGCAAATTATCTGCAAAGTCAGAAATCTACTAGAGTACTACCTACTTGGTAATAGCTGCAAGCAGAAAACTGACAAGAGAACGTGGATCGTCGGATCGTTGCGGAATCAACGGCAGGAATGCAGCAGAGACTACACTATGGAAAAACACCATCATGGAGACAACATTCGTGACCAGCAACTAAACAATCGAGGCATCTTCTAACTACAGTCGATAACGATCGATTTATTTTGACGAAGTCATCTTCGTTAAAAATTGATCGACATCAACACAGCGAGATCTTCACACAGGAAAAACAATGGAGCTGCGTGAAAACATGTTCTCCATCCACGATACACTTCTTCATATAAAATGATCAACAAGCTGTGGGATTGCAGATAAGTTGTCGTTTTCTCTTGCAATATTCCCACCATCAAGTTGCTGCGAAGGAGCAGATTTCGTACGCAATGACGGCGCAGTGAACCCGTCTCGTCAAGGCCAGCGAGACACTACTTCGTAACAGGAGCTCACCAATTCGTCTTCATCAAGAATCTTAGCCATCCGAAGTGATTGATTTGAGCAGTCTCAACATCAACCTCACGAGGCGACACACCAATCATGCGTCGCGATTCCATGTGTTAATGATCTGCGTGGAAAAACATGCCGTGCATATCACGATGCTTGACAAATTGAGGAGTAATTAACCTCAAATCCGGCAAGTACTCGTTCACTAGCGAACCTACGACACATGCATTGGAGGCGATTCTACTAGAAGCCGAAGCGTTACAAGCATCAGCGTAACTTCGACGATACAGGAGAATGCCAAGCAACACGAGGTGTCAACACATGAGGGAGATGTGGACTACTACAACATTATCAAGTGCACTACTGACCGTACATCGGAGGCACGGATGAGCACACCGGGAATTGCTACCCGTGGATACATTGAGGGGAGAAGCAAATCTCTCGTCATACCCTCAAATGAAACAATCACCGGCAGCAATGGAGCAACACATGTGTACCAAAATGCACGTGTTCCTAGTAGCTACGCATGTTACACCCATCAAGAACACTCTAGTGGGAAGAGGGATTTGATGGATTCTCCTTCAACCACTACAGTTGAGAGAATTCTCTGCAGCAGTTGCCGCCGTCGCAATTGTCGCTACTGCCGCAGCCGCGGCAGCAGAAGAATCAACACAGCAGTCACAACCAAATCCTGATTGATGATTCTCCACTCAATTGAGATAATGCTGGATTATATTCCAGTATGATCACATAAGACCCAGCCAGGCACAATACTATGATTTCCAGCTAGTGGGAAGGAAATACCACAATGCGAGGGAACAACATGGCAATACCCTCAAGAGCATGAGATATTTGCTCTTATGAGGATGGGAGGACAGCGGTACTTTACCTGTATACAAGTCCTCATGGCCTATGGCTTACTTTAGAGTCATAAAACCTGCGTCACAACCAATCCATCACCAGCACCAACTCCACGGAAGCAGATAGGCGTGAAATGGAGCGCCAACGCCACTCTGGATAGTGGACTTCGCGTATCTTCAACAACACCCCTGTTTGTCGAAATGGAGCAGACTTCGACACCAATGCTGAGTAGCTAAGACATCTTCGACATCATTTTCTACTTCAAGGACAGTAACAGAATGAGACAACACATGATGGCACCAGAACACCTATCCCAGTATGTGCGCCCAGACACTGATGCCTACCGATGGCCTCCGTGCTAAACTGGAAGTGCATAAGGTCATACTGGATTGGCTGTCAGCAATGCCCATTTGGAAATGGGAGAGGATTATTTGGGAATAGCCCTTATATTCCCAGATGTCCTTACCCATCACCGTAGGATATCTACACAGTAGAGATTCCTTGCTTGAGCAACCACCGAGGGAAACTACTTTGGCGCCGATTCTGGAAGTTACCAGCTCCGCGTTTATGTTACCAACCCCTTGCATGGTTCTGAACACAAGGGATACGCTGAGCAGCACTTCGCATGCGCTGTTGTACCCAAGGCAGTGTGACTAGCAGACCGCGTGGTGGATGGGGTTACTACTAGTAATTCTGCTCTCCATTCCGCAGCACTACGATGCCGAGAGGGCACGACTCGAGACAACACTAAGGCATGGACCAGCATTTGACAGAAGCTGCATGTATCGGATACAAGACTGCTACAGAAGCAGTACTACGACACGACTGCCATACCACCAACACTTGGTGATCTTCAGGCGTGGACGAGATGCAAGTGATCTTCAGGCATGTATAGAACATGCAACATAGCCATTCATCTGCACGTTACAGCACACTGTTCCAACCATTCACATCTCCAACTACAACTTGCACCTACCCATACATCATTGATGGCGATACACACCATCCTTCTTTGCTGTGGACGGAGCCCGCTCACTCCGTAGCAACAGACAGTTCTTGCTACAGTCCAACTCGCTTACAATTTTATCACCATCATCCACCATCTCGAGGATCGGCCACACAAGCGCCTCTTGGACATCCAACAGCAGCAGAAGCACTTGACCGCTTATCACTACAGTTATCCACACCATAATCTTGACATCAGTCATATTCCATCCAAGCTTCAACCTTGCTTCTGCGAGTCTATCATCGTTGAAGCAAAGTTCACTTCAGTCAACTCCCGCTTCCGCCAACCAGCCACTTGAAAGATCCATAACGCCTTCCATACCAGCATCTTAAACCCTATCAATACCAAACACGCTCTACACCGAATGCCAACCACCGTCGCCGCCCGTGTTCGTCCACGACATGGGACAACTACTTGCTTGGACACTGACGTAATCAGAATGGCACTCTGGAACTTCTTCCTTTGCTGGAAGGGTTCTGATCCTTCTGAGGCTGCGTCTCTGAATTCGACATAGGTAACGCCCGTCGTCCTCTTCGTGACTACATTGTCAAGCAGGGTGTTACTTCTACCACCCAGCTTTGAGGGGGGGAAGTGTGAGAGTACGACACCGTTACACCAATTTCCCCTTTCCATATTTTCTTTCTATTTCATTCCTCTTTTTATCTTGATTCATTTGGTCTTTATCTCATCTCATTTGGTTTCCTATTCCTCCTTTTCCATTATCCTTCGGTTTATCCTGTTGTTATAATTATATTACCGACCATGCTCGGAATGTACTAGCGCACAATATCTAGCGTAATCCTACCGTAATCCCTTCAAGCCAATAGCCTCACGTGGCTATACGCAAGGTGATTCTATTTCTAGAAGGGTCTATTCCCTTTGGATAGGATAAACCTGGTTACCTGATGACAGGGTATGACAGGGTAACGACAGAGTGCTTCTCCCCCCTCCCCCCCCCCCCCCTCCTCCCCATGCGCGTCCATGCGGGCTCGAAAGTGGTGAAATCACCGCCCGGGCGCTCGTGCTCGGCGGACCCTAGCTGCTGCTTGCAATTCCTGCCCCACACAATGAACGGCGAATACGGCAGAGGTAGAAGGGGGAATCTTTATGAATCAAGGATGACGAACAAATGCCAAGTGCAAGATCACGGACGAGCGAGGCGGCGAAGGGGGGAGAGAGGGAGGGAGTGGTCGGGGCCAGGCGATCTGCCATGCACAGCGTGAGGTGAGTCATGCACGACGATGTTTCGTACAACTTACAGCACTTCAAATTTACGCCCCTTGAATACGAGCTCGGATACACTGCGAACGCTGCTCGCCCCTCAGTCGCCCCCATCGATGGCGAACGATTCTTCACGGCTGCGTCGGACGCTGCTCTTCGCGGCTGCGACGGACGCTGCTCTCAATACTACAAGCAATCCATGCTCGTGGCGTTGTTGCTCTGATGCCCTACGCACGTTGAAACAAAGAAGAGAGGGGAATCGGGGGAAAAAAAGGGCAAGGGGGAGATGCCTTGAGTCAGTCCATGTGTCGTGTAGAGACTTGACGCAAAAAACACACTCCCTTCGAACAAAAGCTTCCCTTCACAATCGGGAAGCTTTCCGGCACTCGTTGTTGCTGTAGGACGCGCGAGGAATTTCCGCTCTTGTAACAAGAGCTCCTCTTTCAGCCGGCCCGGCTGTATCCGGGGGATACCCGTGCCATGCGCGATCTAGGTGCCTCGCACACAATATAACAATGGGGGGAGAAGAGCAAAGGAGATGCAAGCGTTAATGTGTGTGTAATCTCAAGAATCGACTCAAACGGAGTAGGGATGAGACTCTCTAGGTGTTCCTGTAGACACCCCTCCAAGTCCCATTTCCCCTTACATACCCTTGTATATCAGTCGCTTTGAAGCCATTTAGGTTGTTTTGGAGACAAAAACGCTCGCGTCCTCTCGCAACGGCAGAGGCAGCGTCGGACGCGGCTGACCAAACTGGCGACTAACGGTGTCAGTGCGTGGTGACCGGCAAATCTGACGCCGGTGGTAACTGCAGTTTTGGCCTCGAAAGAATTGCGACATTCCGCGTTACTCCAGACGCTTGGGAGCAACAGCTGTTGAAGGAGCCACCAAACAGCCGATGCTCGCAGTGCTAGGTCCGAGTCCGAATTCCTCGCACATATAGAGAAAGAAGAAGGACCGGAAAGAAGAAGGTACTTGCATTAGTCCGTGTCGATAAAGGAAATGACTCTACAGATAAAAACCCGAGACTCTCTAGGCGTTTCTATAGTCGACCCCCCCAACTTCTCTTCCCCCTTACGTACCTTACTGCCGTGTGAGCTAGCGCTTGGCCGTTTGTGTCGTAACGTTGTAGCGTCAGTACCATGGACCCAGAGCGTCCTCTCCTGACCAGCATCTCGCTGCTGCTGACTACCAGAGTCGGATCAGGTAGCGCTGCTCGCTTGTCGGTCAGCAAAACTGACAGCGAACGAGTCGTAATTGGTGGTCGGAAAATCCGGCCGTCGTCTGGGTTCGCCAACACTGTTCGTCACTGCTATTTCAGACTCTAAGGTATTCTGCATCTTATTTGGCGCTTCTTCAGTACGCAATAGAGCTAACCGAGGAAACGAAATATCTAGCTTATGATGTCTCAGGTTTCGGCATCCTTTCTTAGGTTCCATTGTAAGAGACCAACGGCGAGGTTCTCCATCAAACGGATTATGACAAGCTTCAGCACTATGAGGATCAACTGGGAGGCGGAACTGAGATAATACAGGAAAGCACAACCAAGAGAATGGAGAAGAGAGGAGGAGGCTGCTGTGTTCAGGAAAGTTGAGTTGTGGTGTGGTGCAGATAAGTGGAATGCAGTACGGTTTGGTGCGTTTTGATATGGTGCACTGACGGTTTCAAGCAACTTCATGTTTCCAATCCACACCGCCGAACTTCAGCCATTCTTCGGCGCCAAAGCTGTACTGTATTCTGACAAGGTCGAGGGCACTCGTCCAAACTTGGCGGCAAGCTTGACACGGTCAAGGGTTCGACAAGTTTGAAGTTCAACACGGATCTTCGCTGTACGACGGCCTGCTATGACATGTATAATTTGCAAGATTCACGTAATTTATTGTATGCGGTATTCCTGCCTTAACTTCAAGGTTGAAGGGCTATGCAAAGGGCAAACGGTTCTAGTTGAGCTCATGTTAAACAATATTTTACTTCATATGAAACTCTAATTTAATTATAATTGAGCCCACTACCGCACCCATTATGAAAGATGTCAATGGAAGGAGAGTGACGGTTATGTCGACCGCTGTGCTAATCTAAATTGAGCTGATGATTCTAGGAAAGAAACTCAAAATTGCAGCCGGCTTTTACAAAGGGCTAAACATTCATTTCCAAACTTGCTCTTCAAAAAGGTTATGAGAAAAAGGTTATTCAAGAACGAATTGCTTCCCACGGAGGTCCCTGAATATTCCTTCAACTTTGGGCCAAAATGCTACACGCAACCCCCTTTCAACCCCGCAGCCAGCTCTTCGCCACATCAACTGGTATGGTCAGTGACACGTCGGCCTAAAGGTAGTCTGAGGCAGCCGAATTCACGACTGTCATCCCACGCGACGCTGACGTGTAAGATCACGGGGGAAAGCCCCCTTCAACCTGCTCCAAGCCATCCCCCACCACTCCGCCAGCCTTGCGCAGGTCCGAAAATCTGCGGACTCTCTCCCGCCCAGATTCCCCAACTTCCGCGCTCCCCCCCATGCATCATCGCCAGCATTTTGAGTGCAGCCTTGGGAATGCCACAACAAGACATTATCCGAGGCGAGGTGCTTCGACCAAGCAAATTTTGGTAGTGAGCTCTGCGTCTACGATCCAGTCAATCTTCTGCTTCCTAGCTATCAGCAGCCAGCAGTTCTGTTCTGAGTCGCCGCTGCTCTCTCTGCTCGGACCTGCGTGGTCTGCGAGTATTCAGAAACTTCTTGCGAATCTACGGTCCCCTTTCTTTCGTTTGCTTGGTCTTCACAAATTCCACAAATTTCATAAGACAATGTCATCTGCAGTCCTTTCACTCACCAGACCAGCAACTGCTCATGTCCATCGCCTCTTCTCGCCTCGTGACTCAACATCCAACCAATCATGTTCGCACTCCGTAACAGCCGTCGTTTCGTCGTCCCGTGCGGTGTCCCGCTTCGCTCGTCTCCGCTCCAGCGAATCCCAAGGTCGCTCCGTCACACTCGTAGGAGAGAAACTCTCTCCCTTGCACTCACAGCGTCGGTCCCGAACTCGTGCACTGCCAGGAAGCTCGGAGTCGAACACGGCTGTAGCGGAGGAGAAGGAGAACAGTGTCGCGGTGAGAGCTTCTGACGACCAGCAACGACCGAGCAATGATGCTGACCAATCAGAAACTCCGAAAGCAGATTCGACCCCATCGCCTCCTCCTCCTCCTCCCAGTATGAAGAGCCTCGACGCGTACTTTGATAAGCTGAATGGCACCTCCAGCACGAGCAGCGGCGCAGGGAAGCAAGCAGCGGATTCACAAACCACGGAAGTAGTGCCGGCTTCTGCAGCTGCAGCCACAGGAGATGCATCAAAGGAAACTGCGACCTCGTCTGCCGCCAGCGCGCCCTCTTCGGCGTCGGCGTCCGCGTCGTCGTCGTCGACGTCATCATCAGCAGCCGCCTCCGCTGAGAGCAGTCCCACGGAGAAGAAAAGATCCACAAAGGATTTCCAAGCTCTCAGCTCGCTGAACTCGTACTTCGACAAACTCAACGGCGGCAAAGGTACGCTCTCCATGCATTGTTGCTCCTACTATCTCGCTTGTCCACACCGGTGGCCGTTGGCTCCCTAGCCTACTATCCCGGTGCTGTCAACTATTGTGCCGTGCATTGGGTAGTCATCCGAGAAGCGATTTCGCGTGTCCCTCCTCCGCCTTTCCATACAACCATCTCTTCCCCACCCCGTTCCGCAGAGAAAAAGGCGGATGCAGATTCTACGGAAGCGCCAGCAGCCTCGCAGGCTTCCGCTGCCACGTCAACCACCGCCGCTCCAGCATCCACGTCTTCATCACCTCAGGCTGACGTCAGCAGCAAGAGCGCGGAGGCGGGGAACGCGGGGAAGGCGGAGAAGGCAGAGGAGAGCGGAGGTAGCAAGGAGCTGAAGGCGGAGGACGTTGAGGAGCTGATCCGGCGGATTGTGGAGGACGTGGAGAAGAAGAAGGGCAGCGGCGCTCTTGACAGTGAGTTACTAGCCATAATGCCTTGCTGGTCGCCATGACTCTCTGTTCATAGATGGGCAGACAGAAACAAGAAGGAATACAAACATCTAGAAATGAGATGTTTATGGAAACAGCAAGAATTACCACATTTTGGAAAGAAAGCGAGAGGAATTCTGTGATCCTTGCCCGTATCATCAAGTTTGGTACCTTTACTATGGCCTGACCGTCTGCTGATCCATGTACTTGGCTCGTCGTCTGTCCGTTCCGTGCGTGGGCCTGCTTGCTGAACAGTGAACTGCCACGCGCGTCTGTTTGCACTTTCTGTCACGAGCGTCTGTTTCGCCCCCTTTTTATTAAACGCTGATCCCTCTCTTGCGCCCTGCAACCCCGCACCGCTCTGCACCCCGTTGTTCTCCCTCCAGGCAAGACTTCCGACCTGACCCTGGAGGCGATCATGGGCCCTCGCAATCTGCTGGACGACTGGATCTCCGCCAGAGCTGCCGCCACCGCCCCCACTGCCATGTGAGTCTGAGGACAGGTGCGAATGAGTGAGAGAGTTGTTTGGTGAGTGAGTGGGAGCACCGTGGCGTGTGAGTGAGTGAGTGAGTGGGAGCACCGTGGCGTGTGAGTGAGTGAGTGAGTGGGAGCACAGTGGTGTGTGAGCGAGTGAGTGAGTGGGAGCACAGCGGTGTGTGAGCGAGTGCGTGAGTGGGAGCGCTGTGGCGTGTGAGTGAGTGCGTGATGCAGCGGCGTGTGAGTGAGTGTGTGGGAGAAAGTGGCGTGTGAGTGAGTGAATGGGAGCAGTGGGGTGTGAATGAGTGAGTGACACAGTGGCGTGAGTGAGCGAATGGAAGCACAGTGGCTTGGCTTGAGGGTGAGTGAGTTATTGTGTGGGAACTCAGTGGCGTCTGAGTGAGTGAGTTGGAGCACAGTGGCAGGTGAGCCACGTCCTTCCCTCCCCCTCTCCTCCCCCTAACCCCCCTTCACCCTATCAGCCACGCCCTTGTGGTCATTAACATTGCTGTATTGAGCTCGCCAGTTCCGCTCCTACCCTAATACCTGCCCCTCACTCTCTTTCCCTCTCCCCCCCCTCCCCTCCCCCCGCCTTTCTTTTCACTCCCATCAGCTACACCCTGGTGGCCATCAACATCGCCGTGTTCCTCTTTGAGCTCGCCAGCCCCGAGGCCGTGCCCGGGGTGATCACCACGTCGCTGCCAGCGCTGCTCGCCGCCAAGGTCAACCCCCTCATCGAGGCCGGCGAGTGGTGGCGCCTCCTCACGCCTTCCCTTCTCGTAAGTTACCTCACGCCCTTCCTCCTTGTAAATTCCCTCACGCTCTCCCTCGTACGTCCTCACAATCGTCCTGTCTCGCCCTTATGACGTCTTCTCTTGGTCTCCAGTTCCCCCTCGCAATCCCCACCTATTGACCTCCCACCCTCCAGCCCTCTTCTCCCGCGCCCTCTCTCCTTCGGCTCCTTCCAAGCCTCCCCCGGGCCCCAGCACGCGGGCGTCATCCATCTGTCTGTGGACAGGTTCTTCCTGCTTGGCGTCGGCAGTGGTCTGGGTCCCTTTCTGCCATCATCCGTCTTGTATCCCCGCCCCACACTCCCCCCCTATATCCCCTTCCAGCAACCGGGCATCATCCATCTGTCCGTGGGCACGTCCTTCCTGCTGGGCATCGGCAGAATCGGCCCGCTTGCTGCTATCATCCATAATTCCTTTCCCCTCTTTCCCCCACTCCCTACCCACACGCCCCTCTCCCCCACGTCCCCTCTTCACCTTCCCCCCCCAGCACGCGGGTGTCATCCATCTGTCAGTGGGCACGTTCTTCCTGCTGGGCATCGGCAGCGTGCTTGAGTTTGCCATTGGACCCCTGGGTCTGCTCGCGGTGTACCTCTCCTCGGGCCTCGCAGGCAACGTCCTCTCCTTCCTGCAGACGCCCGATGTCACTGTTGGCGGCACGGTATGGGTCCAACGCCCTCTCGTTTCTTCCTCACTTATCCCGCGTCTCCCTCATCCTCTGTAATATGCCTGACCCTTCAGTATGCTTGCCCCTGTCCCTCCTGGGTACCCACATGCAACCCATTGAATGGCATATGCTTGTTTCCTCCATAGCTCCTGCCTCCAGGGTCCAGTCCACTAACTTAGCCCCACACTTGCACGCACTTCCTGACCTTACACTCATATATTCCTCATCGCTCTCGGTTGTTCCAACCCTGGCAACCCACCGCCCCAGAGTCTTTTGCACAGAGTTGCAGCAACCTACTGAGACAGGAGGTGATCGTTACTGAGACAGTGGACAGCAGCGTGCCCTGTTTTGTGACTCCTCCTCCCCCCCCCTCCCCCCTTCTGTCTCGTGCCCCCAACCTATGCCCCATCCAGGGCCCGGTGTACGGGGTGGCAGCGGCGTACGCAGCCTTCCTGATCAAGAACCGGGAGGTGATCGGCACGGAGACAGCGGACAGCAACGTGCGCGAGTCGCTCATCATCGCCTCGCTCTTTGCCCTCTTCGCCAACCCCCTGCCCATCGACCCCTCGTGAGTAAAGCTCCGAGTCAAACCCTCGTGAGTGAAGTGCTGGATAGACAGCCGACAGCAACGTGCGCGAGTCGCTGGTCATCGCCTCGCTCTTCGCCCTCTTCGCCAACCCCCTGCCCATCGACCCCTTGTGAGTAAAGCTCCTAGTCAAACCCTCGTGAGTCATACACTGAATCGACCCCTTGTTAGTGATGATACTGAGCAGTGACACCTGGTGTTACTACCCGTTGGCCTTTTTTTAGGGTAGATCGGGTCTCAATCGGCGCCATTTCTGGCAAATGAATGACGCACAGCTTTCTTCCTCATGGTGACGGGCACATGCCTCAAGAAATGCGTGCGATGCACACACCATTCGGCTGTCCCCCCAGGCTAGCAGGGCATGGCAGCCACCCTGATCATACAAGCACACGGGTATGCAATTCCACGATTTTGTGGAAGGGCGTGCTGCCAGGGCGTGCATCCTGACTAGACATGAGATGTGTACGCCAACAAGGCCAAATGTTCTACCCTCTTTCCCTTTGCCTCCATCTCCTGGCACCTCCTTTCCCCCCTCCTCAGCACCCATATTGGAGCGGCACTAGCAGGCTTTCTGTTCGGCACCATCGCATCTCCGACCATGTGCAAAGTGCAGATATCCAATGAGGAAGCAGCCAAGAGGCAACAAGGGCTGCTCACCTCGTTACTCAACAAGCAGTCGAATGAGGAGTCGTATGAGTTGGTGGTAGAACCAGCTGATTCCAAGAAACTGGCTACTGCTTTCGGGGCGTCTATGGCGCTTTCACTTGTGCTGTTTCAGCTGTCACAAGGAGTGCTTCCGGATGTTGATTTGTTGCAGTCGCTGCCGCCTGCAGATGGTGATGTATGGTTGTAAACCACCGGTTTATGTGTATCAAACTAGGCCTGAATCATGGCCGTGCGTTATGGGTTGGACTAATTGAGATCTACGCCACCCAGTGGCTGCGTTCTGCAGGCAGAAAAGGAAAGTGCAGATTACATCAGAGCACCTTCCGAAAGCCTGATTTTTTGCTTCGATCGAGGGTCAGCCCGTAAAATTTCGTCCAAACCTGGCACAAGGTACCCGAACCTAGTTACATCAACATGCCTGCAGAACAGGTCCATGTACAGATGACATCTACGTCAGGGAAACACCCCCCTCGCTTCCCTCCCTGCCAAATTTGACGCGAAGGTGACGCAATGCTGACGTTCGCTAAATCGTGGAGTTCACCTTGCGTGTGGTGTTACATCAGCCTCAATTTGGCTCCTCTCTCCTTTCTCTCGCGCTTTCCACAGTTTGGCGCGTTGCTTCCAAGAGAGGTTTGGAAAGTGCACCTGGTTTGAGTGGTAACCAGTGCTCTCGAAGTCGCTTGAGGAGCTTCCTCAATGTCGACGTCGACGTCGACGTCAAATGCCTGTAGAACACAGCCAGTGTATGCTACTTATTGGGCTGAGAAAAGCCCTTAGGATCTTTTGCAGAGACTAAGTCCCAGCTTGTAGAGACTTGAGACTTGGAGTAGTGCAGCGGAAGTTGAGGCAGTTGAACCCTTGTACTAGTATGTGAGAACAAGTGATTGATTAAAGAAACAAGCATACAGCAATATATAGAAGGTAAGAAAGCAGTTGCAGAGTACAGTTACAGGAACGGTTTATCGAGTCGCATAGCGACTCGATTGCCGCTTCGGTTACCATCCGTGATGCTGTAACGGTCAGTCGCAACCTCCAGTTGCGACCCTTTGAGTCCCAGACCCTTCGTGTTCTTTGTCCGCCCCCTCGTGTAACCTCCGTTGACTCGCGTACCCCTTGCAATCTTCCTCGAGTGTAGTGTTACACTTCAGAAACGCTTAAGTCTTTTGATGTACTTTCAACACTCCCCTTCGTTTCTGGAGTGCTGACTTGTTCAGGTCCGATGACGTTTGTTTGTCCGGTCAGCACCATGCAGTAGTCGAATTTTGCCTTCGCCAATTTCTTCGTCAAATAGTCTGCGGCCATTTCTGTCGTCGGGCAGTAACTGAGTTGAAGTCTCCCCTTCGCGATTTCATCCTTGACGAAGAAGTACCGCAGGGCGATGTGCTTGGTTCGGTTGGCGAAGCCGTCCTTGTTTGCGATTTTGATCGCAGATTGGTTGTCGCAGAAGAGTGAGAAGGCGGGCAGGGTCGCGATCTTCGCTTCCTCGAGTAACTCTCGCAGGTAGAGTCCTTCCTTGGTCGCGGTACAAAGGGCGATGTACTCTGCTTCAGCAGAGGATAGTGCGATTAACTCCTGCTTGCTCGACTGCCAGGAGATAGTTCCGATGGGTTCTAGTCGGTAGATGTAGCCCGTCCTAGATCGTCGATTTTCCCTATCTCCCGCGTGGTCGGCGTCGACGTATCCGAGTAGTTGTACGGACGATGTTGTAGCTTTGCTGTAGGTAAGTCCGATCGTCGGCGTGGAGATGAAGTAGAGTAGTGCCCGGTTGAGCTCCTCGAGATCCTCCTGTTCCGGTTGCTTCAGATGCGTCGCCAGTTGACTTGCACTATAGGACAGGTCGGGTCGGCAGGTTACTGCTGCAAATAGTAGGCAGCCGAGCTTCTGTTGATACTCCTGGATTTGCTTCGCGGGGAGTTTTGCGGAGGCGCTGTTGTTGTTTCCGTAGCGGTAGGGAGTTGAGGCGGTAGCCGGTGTTAGTCCGAATTTCTTCGCGACAGTGCCTGCGTACTTTCCAGCGTGTAGGTAGAACGCCGAGTTGTCTTCGACGATATTTAGCCCCAAGTACTGGGTCACTGAGTCGGACACTGTGAGCGTCAGGTCCCCTTTCAGCTCCCCTTCGAACCGGGTGACGATGTCGGTGGTAGAACCGATGTAGAGCAGGTCGTCGACGTAGACGATGAGCAGAATGTAATCTCTTCCCTTCTGCAGTCGGTACATGCCTTGGTCATGTGGTAGCTGTAGGAAGCCGATTTTTACGAGACGGCTGTGAAGATGCTGCTGCCAGAGCCGCGGGGCTTGCTTGATCCCGTATAGGGATTTTGTCAGTCGGCATATTTTCGTGGGGTCGTCGATGAATCCGTGGGGTTGTTCGACGAAGATCTCAGCGTCCACAGGTGCGTATAGGAACGCATTCGCGACATCGATTTGGCGTAGTGGTAGTGTTTTCGTGGCCGCGACGGCGAGTAGGATGCGTAATGAGGTGTGACGGGAGACTGGAGCGAAGGTTTCTGTGTAGTCGGTTCCGTATCGTTGATCGAAGCCTCGTACGACCCATCGAGCTTTGAATCGTTCGATGGAGCCGTCTGAGTTGGTCTTGATGCGGTACACCCATTTCCCCGAGAGAACGTTCTTCCCGTTGATGCTCGTTGCAGGTACCAGTTTCCATGTTTCTCGGTCTTGCAGAGCTTTTAACTCCTTTTCCATCGCTTCTTTCCATTTTGCCTTATGTTCCCCCCCCAGAGCCTGCGACAAGGTTGAAGGCTCACGCGTAGAAGGCGGCGGCGGATGCTGGACGGAGACCCAGAGGCCTAGAATCTGGAGTCCCGTGGGTGTGTGTCGAGGGGAATTGTCATTCCCCGAATAAGCTGCTTCGTCACCGTCTTCGGGGTCAGGTAAGAAATTGGGGCCGATGCGGTCCGAAATATTCGTGTCGACGGGGTGCGGTGTAGCGTAACCTTGGTCGGCGAAGTGGTAAAAGGTGTCGAGGTTGTTGCTATCGAGGGGATTATCTTCATCGAGTGGAACAGGTATGGAACAGAATGGGAGTGGCCCGGCAGCTTCCGAGGCTCCAGGTACGTCTTCTTCTGCTGCGTCAGCCTCGGCAGCATGGTCAGCGAAGGAGCGAAGGCCCGCGAAGCCGTCGGTGGGGTCGTCTGAGTTGGCAATGTTGTCCAGGTAATGCTGCAGCGTCAGTCGCTCGTAGAAGATAACATCACGTGATGCCACCGTATTTTTGTCTTGTATGTCGAGGATCTTCCACGCGTGAAAATGTTTGGCGATGCCGAGGTGTAGTCCCCACCGAGCTCGTTGAGTGAAGCGTCCTGCTCGAGCTGTGTGGGGTCTGTATTGTACCATGCAGCCGAAAACTCGAAGTAATTTTGTGCTGCCCCTTTTTCCCGTCCACAGCAGGTGTGGTGATGCGTTGTTGGGGAGCGATGACGAGGACAACAGGTTGTGCAGGTGGACTGCATGTGTCATCGCGTCTGGCCACAGTGCGTTGGGCAGCCTCATCCCCAGAAGCAGTTTTCGCATCATCGTCTGCAAGGTCCGGTTCATGCGTTCTGCTACCCCCTGCTGCTGGTGAGCATAGGGCAGAGACACCAGGCGTCGGATTCCCCTTTCCGCGAGATAGGTCCTGAAGCGTTGTGACTGGTATTCCAGTGCACCGTCTGACTGGAAACTCTTGAGTTTGGTTCCTGACTCTCGTTCGGCGATTGGAAGCCATGTGGTGAATGCCTCGAAGGCTTGATCGCGCGTTTTGAGATTGAAGTGCCAGACGTATCTGGTTGCGGCGTCGATGAACGTGATGACGTAGTTGAAGTCGGCTTCGGTGTCGTCTCGAGGCATGTTTAGAATATCGCTGTAGACCTTTTCCATCGGAGCGTAAGTGGGTGCGCTTGGATTGTGATGGGCTGGGAAAGGTTGATGAGGAAGATCTGCTTCGGGGCATGTGAAGCACCGTGCGCGTGGTCGTCGGAGTTCCTGGCCGCTCGTCGTCAGAAGGGCGTTGCGTTCTAACACTTCTGCTTGGATTGTTTGAAGTATCGTGCTGTTTGCAGGATGTCCGAGACGTTGGTGCCAGATGTCGTCGGGAGCGCGGTGACCGGGCGAGCGGTGGTAGATGTCGGCGTTGGAGAAGAACGCGACGACCGAGGCGGGACTTCGACAAGCTTCTCGTGTGGCGGGCATAAGTTGGTCTGCTTCGGTTGGCTGTCCTCGTGTCGCTGGTGGTGGTACTCGGCTGGGTCCTGCTGCCGATACTGCAGGTGATGGTTTTGTTGGGACACATGCGGGTACTTGTCTTTCTTGTCTGATAACTGCTAATGCTCGTGTTCTTTCTGCTGCAGGTATGGTGTTGGAGTGCCAGAAGCCGTCGCTGTCGAAGTCGGGATCAAGATCTGGCGGATGAGTCCAGGCGGCGAAGGATACGATACCGTCGCTGTCGGCAGTTCCGCGGTCGGGGACGAAGTCCAACACGAAGACACCGGACTTCAGGAGGGCACGACCGATGAAGAGACCGCCCTTCCCGTGGTAAAGTCGGAACTCGTTGGAGAAGGAGTCGCACTCCAGGTGAATCCCCTTAGCCATTAGTTGGCTTACGCTTAATAGGTTGTATCCCAGATTGTCGACGATGAGGACCTTGTTGAGCTGAAGAATAACGTTTGTCTCCATTGATTGTAACTGAACCACGCCTTGTCTATTTGTTTTCAGGTTTTCGTTGTTGGCGACGGTGATGACGACGTCACGGTTGAGGCGTCGCTCGTGTTGTACGAAGCGTCCGGAGGAGCACATGTGCTGACCGCAGCAACTGTCCAAGAACCAGGTGTTCCGCCCGGTGGGTTCGGCGTTAGCGACTGCAGCGTATGTCGGGTTGACCTGAAGTCCTTGCGAGCGCGGCGGCGGGAATTCCTCTTCGTCTGGTGCGTAAGTGGGTGGTGAAGCGGGTGCGCAGTTGTCGATGTGTACCATGCAGTTGATGATGTTGGGTGTTTGTTGTGCAGATGTTGAAGAGCGCCTTGGAGGACTTGCTTGAGTGGAAGCGACTTGTGGGTCTGCTGCACGGTAAACGCGAGGGCGGTTGCAGTTGACCTTGGAGTGCCCGGAAGTCTGACAGTTGTGGCAGAACGGCGGCACGATGGTGAGTCCTCGGTTGTCACGTTGATCTTGCTTGCTGCGTCGGTTGTAGTTGTTGTCATTTCTTCTTTGAGTGTAGAAGACTAACTGCTGTTGCTTCCTTGGTTGTCTTTCCTCGAACAGATCCATCTCCTGTTGTTCAGCGTGAAGCTCGGCGCAGAGGTGCATCTCCGAAATTCTTCCGTGGGCTCGAAGAAGTGATCGTGTGGTTCTCCATTCTGGCCCGAGCCCGGCGAGGACAAGTGTCACGAAGCTTTCTTCAGTGATCGTTCCTCCGCACCGAAGCAGGCGGTCGCGGAGGGTCTGGCAGCGACTCATATACTGCATCGCCTTTTCCCCGGTCTTCATCTGTATTGTTGTCAGCTGTTGCATGAGTCTGCTTTGTGTCACGCTGTCGTTTGCTTGGTAAAGGCATTTGAGGTGGTGCCATGCGAGCTCCGCGGAGTTTCCATAACTCCGATACGTTCTGATGCTCTGCTGCTCTTGTGGTGACAGGTTTCTCAGGAGTACCGTGTACGCCAGCAGCGACTGATATGTGAAGATCTCTTGTTCCTTCCCAGTGCCGTTGCTTGGGAATGGCAGGGACCCGTTGAAGTATCCCAGAAGATGCGCGGCCTCCATCAGCAGCTCGAACTCGAAGCTCCAGGTAAAGAAGTCGTGTCCGTTGAACGGTGAGGATGTCTGAAGTTTGATCACGTGTGAGAACTGCGCCTGTAAACTTAAGATTTCATTCGGTGTTTGTTGTGAAGCAGCTGCTGTTGGCTGGGCACGGGGCGGCATGAATTCGAACGTCCCCGGCGAAGAATGATAAGGCGCAAAGGTAGGCGCTTGATTGTGTCGCCCGAAGGATGAGTTGTCGAGGCTCATCGGCGCTAATCCCATATTCCCTCCATTGCTCTGTGTTGAGTGCGCAGGTGTCCTTGTCTGCTGCTGCTGATCGAAGTGTGACATGAAGCTGAAGAATCTCTCCATGAGATTCGGGTCCACACTTGAAGAGGGAGACGGGGTCACCATCTCTGGTACTCTTCCCGTTGTTTCTTGAGCAGTCCCGGTCTCTGTCTGCAGTCCTGAGGTGTGCAGACCAGAGTTGCCGTGTTGAGTTTCTTGGGCGCTGGGTGAGCCCGTAGAGACTTTCTTGCCCTTGTTGTCCATGTCTTGTAATCAATGAAGTCGTTGAATTGAGTTGAGTTGCAGGTTGTTGATAGGACGTAGTTGCTGGGAGTTTGGTCTCTGACCAGCTCTCATACCATATTGGGCTGAGAAAAGCCCTTAGGATCTTTTGCAGAGACTAAGTCCCAGCTTGTAGAGACTTGAGACTTGGAGTAGTGCAGCGGAAGTTGAGGCAGTTGAACCCTTGTACTAGTATGTGAGAACAAGTGATTGATTAAAGAAACAAGCATACAGCAATATATAGAAGGTAAGAAAGCAGTTGCAGAGTACAGTTACAGGAACGGTTTATCGAGTCGCATAGCGACTCGATTGCCGCTTCGGTTACCATCCGTGATGCTGTAACGGTCAGTCGCAACCTCCAGTTGCGACCCTTTGAGTCCCAGACCCTTCGTGTTCTTTGTCCGCCCCCTCGTGTAACCTCCGTTGACTCGCGTACCCCTTGCAATCTTCCTCGAGTGTAGTGTTACACTTCAGAAACGCTTAAGTCTTTTGATGTACTTTCAACACTACTTACTAACACACCAGATAGTAGTGCATTCACCAAGCCTCCAAGTCTCTACCATATGTAAAATAAAACAGAACATGTGTTCGTGCCATGACGGTGAATGTTGCAATATGTTCGCCATCGCAGCTTTCTTGCGTGCAGCAGAAGTAATGCAGCGCTCAGTAGGTGGGTCACCTGCGAAATCTGCGACGTGGCTTACTCTGATTCCACGCTTTGTCACGTGGTAGGGTTGGATTATAGGTCCGTATTGTTTACTTTCCCCCCTACTAGCGGGAAACACGGTGTTTCTGGCGAATGGTATCCCGAGAATCCCTGAAGCCTGGATTCCGCGCTCCGCCAAACGAATCGTCCAGGTCACGGGCATGCCATGCCTGGCCTATAGGAATCTATTTCCACATGACCAGGTACAGGCGTTGCGGCTCCTGAACCTGCCCCGCAAAATTGGTTCGTCTGCCTGCAGCACCTTGCCAGATGCCCAGAGCATGGTTTTGAGACCGAAGGATCCGAACCGAACTGGAAGAGCAGAACATTTCTTTGGCTCGGGCTGTTCTCCAAAGGCGGGCACGATTGCCCCGATGTTTTTGCCCCTTCCAGCCCCAAGGGGCTTCCGTGCCTGAGACAACCTCAGGTTCGGTAGGGTTTGGCTGCCGTTTGGTGCTGGGGCTCGGCTGGCTGACTTTCCGCTGTCTCCCTCCTTTCTTCATCAGAAGCCATACCTGTTGACTTCACAATTGATCCCATCACCCATTTTATTTCCTTGTCAGTATTTGCCATTGCTCAGGGTCCACTTTCGATCGTCACCTTGCTGTCCACGAGGACGCACCTTAACGCTCGCTCCTGACCATCTGTATTTCTTTGACTTGGCATTGCTTCATTTGATTAGCATGGCAACCGCGACGTCTCAGCAGCTCTGCAGTTTAGCGGGTATAAGCTTCAGGAGCAACGTCCGTTCGAATGAGTCAACATCGTTCAGCAGAGCTCTGTTTCCTTCCAGACTTTCTAGAAGCAACGCCAGTTTAAGGTCGTCATGGAGCGAGGCGGAGCGGCGGCGGCACGTTCCCGTGCAGTCCGCCATGGAGGCGATGGAGGAGGAAGCCACCTTCACGCCTCGTTACAAGCCTTGGGAAACCCAGAGCTTCTTAAAGGAGAATTTCCCTCGCTTGCCGCAGGTTCCTCGCGTCCTCTTGTGCCGAGCGACAGGGCTGACGATTTATCGCTTCACAATCCGCTGAGAAGACTGGAGCGGATGGGTTGCGGATGGCTGGCCGTTTTGTTGGAGTGGGAGGGGGTGGTGATTGACGACGATTCTGTGTTTGAACGGCAGGCATGGACAGCGCTTGCGGAGGAGGAAGGCCGACCCCAGCCTCCCGTTTGGATTCTCAAGCGGGCCGAAGGCATGAAGAACGAGCAGGTTATTCGCGAGGTGCTCTGCTGGTCTCGCGATTTCATCACCGTACGGAGATTGTCGCAGAGGAAAGAAGAACTTTATGAGCAGTTCCAGGGAGGTTGCTACAGGCTGCTGCCGGGCTCCAGAGAATTCTTGGAAACGCTGAAGCGGTGCAAAATCCCGGTTGCAATTGTTTCTACTCGTCCAGCGAGATACCTGGAGCGAGCTGTTGAGGCTGTTGGCATGGAGGGCTTTTTCGATGCTGTCATTTCTGCGGATGACGTGCGGCGAGGAAAGCCCGATCCGGAGATGTATCAGGTAGGTTTTCTTCGTTTCCTCTCCTGATCCGGTAACTCGGAGCGCTGCCGTTCATCTGTTATGGTTTTTTTTTTTCCCCCGTTTTCGTTTTCGGATTCTGTCTCGCAACGTGTTTCGTGATTCCTGTTTTGGGAACTCACTATGTTTCCCTTGCATTTTCATGTGTTCAGTATGCGGCACAGCGACTCCAGTTTATTCCGGAGCGGTGCATCGTCATCGGGAGCTCCAACTCCACCATAGAGGCGGCGCATGATGCTTACATGAAGGTAAGTACCTCGTCCGTTAACTTACCGTCCGCATATTTCAGATCATTGCGTTGTGAAAGTCTGACAAATCTCCTTGTTGCATGTGCAGGTGGTCACTGTTGCAGGAAAGCACCCGGCCTATGAATTGGGTGCTGCGGATTTGGTGGTCCGTAAGCTGGACATGCTATCTGTGGTGGATCTTAAGAATCTGGCGGATCTAGACTCTCCAGAGTTCACTCCACCGCTTGAGCTAGAGCCCGAGCTAGAGCCTGAAGTGAAGATCACTGGTGTGGGTACTCTGTGAAGATTGCACCGTTTGTCTGAGTCATACTGGTACATTTGTTCATCCTATTGGCTGGATGTTCCAGCTGTAACTTCATTGTACATATGGGCTGTGGGGACGCTCTCCATTTTAGGCATGCTGTCTTGTCCATCGGTGCCGGTGCTGTTGTTTGCTAAACTATCTATAACTTTATGACCTCAATGTTCTACCCTAGCTTTACATTGGGTTGAGACCAATTCAATCAAACGTGACACCAGATTTTAACAGGATTTCTCCACTACCGTATCACCACACTGCCGTCCTGGCCCTAGAGCCCTGCAGAAAGGAATGGGTGTGCCATCCCTTCTCTTTCAACCCCCCGAGCATGTGCGGCAGCAGCTGCTCCATCTCACCATATGCCTCCCTCACACAACTCTCCCAATCACCCCAACCGGCACCACTTGAGCTGCTCTTGCCAGCCACAGATGTCCTCCTGCTTATTGCCTGGCTGATGCAGGATGCTAACAGCCATCCTCTGATCGCATCCTGACCGTCCGCTGTCTTGTGCAGGATCAGATGCATTTTTTTAGGCACCCCCCCTGCTGTGTCCCGTTCCGGGCAGCTCAAGAGAAACTTCTCATTTGAGAACAGCTTCTTCAGTTTGGCCAAGTTGCTTGGAGATCCCAAGGCTTCTGAAAGAGGAGCCCCCACACATAACCTGCTGCTGCTGCTGCTGATGCTGCTGGTGGCGATGGTGGTGGTGGCACCAGCAATGCTACTGCTCCTGGCACTGCTGCTTTTCACGCCCTGCACTGCCGGCTGGAGAGCAAGGCGATGAGCGGCAGGCAGGATGTGTGGCGGGTCGGGCTTGACGATGTTCTCCTTCCACCGCATGTCCACAGGGCTAAGCAGCTCGCCGCTCTGGAGGGAGTCAGGGGTAAACGAGGGGGAATGTCAACAGCAGGCAGCGGGCAGCAGGCAGGATGTGTGGCGGGTCAGGCTTTACCATGTTTTCCCTCCACCGCATGTCCACTGGGCTCAGCAGCTCGCCGCTCTGATGCTCACAAGGGGGGCGGGAGGGGCGGAAGGGGAGCATAGGAGGACCATGGGAAAACAGGACGAGATTCATAGGGAAGTTGGGCGAGTTTTGGCTGTGAAGGGTTGAGAGTTGAGTTCGTTGGTTGGTGGGCTCGGCAGTTGTGAGTGGACTTGAGACATGGAAATGGCTGCTCCAAGTGCGGCTCATGGAGAGGAAGTGGCTCAGGAGGACGTTGGTGCGATGTGCGATGAGGTTGTTGGATGGCACCGCTGTTTTGAATGGACTCAGAGACTCGCAGAGAGAAATGGATATGACTGCACTGAGAGGAAGAATGGCTCACAGAGAAGAAGGGAGGCTCACAGAGAGGAAGGGAGGCTCATAGAGAGGAAGGGAGGCTCATAGAGAGGAAGGGAGGCTCACAGAGAGGAAGGGAGGCTCACAGAGAGGAAGGGAGGCTCACAGAGAGGAAGGGAGGCTCACAGAGAGGAAGGGAGGCTCACAGAGAGGAAGGGAGGCTCACAGAGAGGAAGGGAGGCTCACAGAGAGGAAGGGAGGCTCACAGAGAGGAAGGGAGCCTCACAGAGAGGAAGGGAGCCTCACAGAGAGGAAGTGGTTGATGAGGACGTTGGTGCGCTGCGCGTTGAGCGTGTTGATGGGCACTGCTCTCATCTCCTCTGTCACTGACCATAAATGTACCGCCGCCAGCACCGGCACCGCTGCTAGCTGCAGAAGCAGGGGGAGAAGAGATGAGGGTTTTGAGACGTCCCATAACATGATGGGCGTTGAGAGTGCTTTTTGGCACGCGCCGCATGGCTCTCATCTCCTCTGTCACTGACCACAGATGTACCGCCGCCAGCACCGGCACCGGCACAACTACTAGCTGTTAGGGAGATGGAGGACGAGATGGAGGAGAGGATGGGGGGAGAGCAGTCTGTCACCGACCACAGGTGCTACACCGCCAGCACCGGCATCACTGCTAGTTGTGGAGGGATGAAATAGTAGGGGCAAATATGGGGTAGAGGAGAGAAGAAAGTAAGCCATCACGGACTACAGGTGCACCGCCGCCAGCACCGGCACCGCTGCCAGCTGTGAAGGGGTGGTGGGGATCGTGAAGACTTGAAGTGAGAGGAGATACGGAGAAAGGAACGTCGCAAAGTCAAGAGGAGTGCAGCAGCAGCAGCAGCAGAAGAGGCATGACGTGGGCACTACCTTAGCTTGTGCGGACTGGCAGACAGATGAGGTGAGGTTGAGGCCGCAAGCAAGGCCTCCAAGGGACGAGGGCGCGCTGATGGCCTCGCCCTTGGCACGTGCATGCATGCTGGCATGTAGGTGCGAGACCCATACTGGCAAGATCTAGACTGACCTTGGCTTGCGCTGACTGGCAGACAGAGGAGGCGAGCTTGAGCCCAAGAGCAAGACCGCCGAGGGATGAGAGCACGCTGATGGCCTCGCCCTTGGCATAGAGGTCGCTGATGTTGCCCTCCCTGGCAAACGCGTCGTACAGAGGCAGGCGGGTGGCACGCGCTATCACAAGGGAGAGGCCCTGTTATGCACAATGGGTAGGCATGGGTTGGGTAGAGGGGAAGGGAGGGCAGAACAGTCTTAGCCCTTGGCGTAGGGGTCCCTGATGATGCCCTCCCTGGCAAATGCGTCGTACAGAGGCAGGCGGGTAGCGCGCGCTATGACCAGGGATAAGCCCTGTTGCGAATGGGCACATGATGGGGAGATGGAAGGCACCAGAGCACGCTGATGGCAAGAGCACAGAGGGCGTACAGGTCGCTGATGTTGCCATCCCAAGAGTACCCAATCTCAATCAAACCCACGCTCAAGAGCACCCACGCTCAAGAGCACCCACGCTCAAGAGAACCCACGCCCAAGAGCACCCACGCCCAAGACCACCCACGCTCAAGAGCACCCACGCTCAAGAGCACCCACGCCCAAGAGCACCCACGCTTAAGAGAACCCACGCCCAAGAGCACCCACGCCCAAGAGAACCCACGCCCAAGAGCACCCACGCCCAAGAGCACCCACGCTCAAGAGCACCCACGCTCAAGAGCACCCACGCTCAAGAGCACCCACGCTCAAGAGCACCCACGCCCAAGAGCACCCACGCCCAAGAGCACCCATGGTGCGACCCAGACTAGCCCCTCCGCTGCGACCCAGACTAACCCCTCTGACCAGTGGAAAATAACACCGACTCGACTCTCACCTTTCCAGCATTGGCCAGCCCGGCTAGCAGCAGGAAGCGGTGCGGCATGATGGGCGAGAGGCACTCGAGGAACGCCCCCACGTCGCACACCACGTCAGCAGCCACGCGCCACCGCTTGGGGTCCGCGTCCATGCTGCGCCCCAGGCGGCTGGCCGCTATCTTGCTGGCGTGCTGCATGCCGTCCTTCACCACCCAGCTCACGATTGTCGCTTGTACCGGGGTGGGGCGGAGACCTGCTGCGAACAGGAGGGACTGGGGCGCATTGACAAGGGTGGTGGGTGGCGGATGGGGGGTACGAAACACATGAGATCACTGGCCGCGATCTTGCTGGCGCGCTGCATGCCGTCCTTCACCACCCAGCTCACTATGGTGGCCTGCACCGGGGTGGGGCGCAGGCCCGCTGCGAAGAGGAGCTACTGGAGGGGGTGGGGAAACGGGAGCATGCATGGGAATGCGCATCACATGTTGTACGCATACTTACCTCCAGCAAACTTCGGGTACCAGATATAAGCACACCAAGGGTACCCGATATGAGCAGACCATGGGTACCCGATATAAGCACACCTGTGTGGAGAGCACGTTAAGAGCCGCCACGGCCACGTGCTGAACAGCCCTGTACTGCGAGAAGAGCATGTAGCCGTCCGCCACACTGCAGGCAGGGGGCACGAAAAGGGGGGAAGGGGCGGAAGGGGGGGAAGGGGGGAAGGGAGGGAAGGGGGGGAAGGGGGGGAAGGGGGTGAAATGCGACAGTGGTTGCATGAATGCGACAAGGGTGAGGGGAGACCTTCGAGTTGGCTCAGACGAATGGAGGGAGGAAGGGGGAAGGGGAAAGGGGGAAGGGGGGGTCGGAGGGGCGGGGCAGTACAGGGAGGCACCGGAGATGGAGCACCTGTCAGAATAGCTTTTGAGTCCACTCAAAAGTCAACAGGGAGGCACCGGAGATGGCCCTACCTGTCAGGATAGCCCTACCTGTCGGGATAGCCCTACCTGTCCGGGTAGCCCTACCTGTCGAGATAGCCCTACCTGTCCGGGTAGCCCTACCTGTCGGGATAGCCCTACCTGTCGGGGTAGCCCTACCTGTCGGGGTAGCCCTACCTGTCAGGGTAGCCCTACCTGTCGGGATAGCCCTACCTGTCGGGATAGCCCTACCTGTCAGGATAGCCCTACCTGCCCGGATGGCCCTACCTGTCTGGGTAGCCCTACCTGTCGGGATAGCCCCACCTGTCTGGATAGCCCTACCTGTCCGGATGGCCCTACCTGTCGGGGTAACCCATGGGGAAGAACTTGTCCTTGAAGGCTGCTATGAGACGATCGGGGATGGACCGGGTGTCTGGGACTATGTACCCCTGCCATGCCATGCCATGCCGTATGAGTCATGCCATGCCATGTCATGTCATGTCGTGCCATACAATGCAATGCACATGCACAAAATGCAGAGCAGTAATGGAGCGCCACGCCAGGCCGTACCATATCAGCACGTGTCAGCGTATGTCAGCACATGTCAGCACATGCCAGCACATGTTAGCACATGTCAGCACTTGCCAGCACATGTCAGCACATGTCATGGGCGCCTTATGGAAGAATGCGTGCATAATAAATTCATGGATAAGGGGGCTGTCGGGGGATATGTGACAATTCTCAACAATCACGGGCTATCGAGGGTTCAAGAAAGATTTAAAACAGCGGGGTTCGGACGGCGTGTAAGTGGGGTTTTTAGAGGGCTCGAACACCCCCTTAGCCTGCCCAAACCCCCCCTCCCTTCTCCCCTCCTCCCTTCTCCTCTTAGCCGCACTCTCCAAGCCCCTCCCTACAGTCACATTCACCTCAATCACACCACCGCCGTCGCCCCCCACAAGCTGGTACTCCCGCTTCTGCCCGTGATTGGACACTTCCACCCACATGGCCCGGCACGCGCCTTCCACGTGCTTCCCCACTCCCGCCACGTGGCGACCTGCCGCAGCCAGAGCCTTTTCTGCGGGTCCGCTGCTCCTCCCGGCCATTCTGAAAAAAGTCCACTTCCGCTTATAACTGGAGTCTTTGGCTTATTCGTGCTGTTCCCGGTAACAGCAGTCCTTTTGTTGATTCTATAACAGGCAGTGGATGGGTGGAGCAGCGGTATAGAGCGAGATTGCTAATTCGAGAACAGCCGCAATGCGCTTCGGGAGAAGCAGCCTAGAGGAGAAGATAACAGTCAGCAGGGAAGGAAAGGAGGATAGTTAGCCTCTCTGGTTTGGTGTGAGCAAAACGCTGCCTTTATTGCTGGTCGAGTAAAGAGTGGATCAGAGATAGCAGCATAGGTGATGGGATCATAGATGGGATGGGTTGAAACTTGAAGTCATTTGAGAAGACTGGCCCCTGGCAACACCAAGGGGCGTGCATGATCGGTTGCGACGGGTGGATGTTTGGCGACAGTTGACGACATCGACGAGGACGAGGAACACCTGAGTCACGTAACCAGTTTCTTCGCATGCCCTCAAATGTACTGAAAGCCTGGTTTCAGTGTAGCTACACTTTATTTATTCCTTCTAGTGAGGTCTGGTGTATTCTTGAGGGAGCCGTTCCACTGCTCCCGCCAAAATTGAGCATGATTGCATTGGCCTTGGGTTCTCCATTTCCACCTCCCAGCGCGGCTCCAGACTTTTCACCCATCTTCCATCTTCCAACTTCCCATACAGTGAGAAATCGGCTCACTCATTTCTCTCACTGCGATTTCTCTCAATTCGTGAGTGGAAAATCGGGTTTCTGTTGCTCGTTGTAGCGGTGTCTCCTCCCTCGATTTCCTACTCGGAGCCATCTGTTGAATGCGCACGTATTTGCGGTTTCGAGACAGGAGCAGTCTGGCTGTAGACTTGAGCCGACTTTAGCCGATTAGGGCCAACTTGAGCCGAGTTCATCTGTTGCTACGGAAACCCACTCCGTACTTCACGGCTCTAGTGCGGCCCTAACGAAGCAGGCAGCGAAATTCATCCGCTGCAGGGTCGACAGGTTCTTAACGAGTCTGTAGGCTCGAGCTACTCTCCAGTATTAGTGCTCTGGCGATCGTAATGCTGTTGACTCGAGACGAATCAGTTCGTCTATGAAGCGGCAGATCGTGCGAGAGCCAAGCTTCCGCATTACGGCTTCGCGCCAAGGAGCTCGCGAGTGTGAAACGCGTGCTCGCACCTCCTGTCGAAAGTGTCACTTCTAAAAGCGCCGCCTTTTCGACCGGCGGTCGTAACGCTCGCATGGTATAGACAGCTGTGAGGCTAGCCGCCGATTTAAAGGTGGCACCCAGGACCGCCGGCAAGGCAAGATGGACGCAAGGGTAGTTGCGGAGCAGCTTCGCTCGAGATTTCCCTGCCGGAAGCGACAGGTAGCAAGCCGATCGATTTGCTTGTTGTCGGGTCAGGCGATTTGCCACGGCCAGTGTGCTTCGTCGCTTGCTTTTCAGAAGTCGCTTGCTTTTCTGAAGTCGTTTGCAGCAGATTCTTTCTCTTGGACCTTCGGACTCCATAAAAACCATGCTCCCATGTTTTCGTTTTCATAATGTCCTCCACTACTTCGTCTGTTCTTGCGTTAGCGTCGCAGACCAAGGCTATCCCTTGCTTTTCGATCTCCCTCCCACCTTTTTTATTCTCTTTCCTCCACCTGTTCCAATTTCCGCCTTCCTATCGTCTCACGCCACGTGGCAGATCGAGGACATTCTCCTGCACGTCGGAGGACCGTTCGATCGCATGCCGCCTCTCTTCCTCTGCGGGCCTCCAGGCACCGGGAAGACCGCCGTGATCCGCGGTGCGCTCTCGCAGATGCGCCGTCCCCACATCTACCTCCCCCTCACCTCCGCCTGCGGCTCTTCCCAGTCCGTTTACCACGCAGTTCTAACCCAGCTGGCTCAGCAGCAGCAGCAGCAGCAAGGGGAGCAGAGCCTTGCGCGCACATGCGTGTTGCCCGCAATTTCCACCTCCGCCGTCCCCAACCGAGCTGCATTCCTGAGGGCGCTGCTGCGGGTGCTGTCGGGGGAAGGCGCGGACGGGGAAGTGGGGGAAGAGGAAGAGGGGGAAGGGGAAGGTGTTGATGAAGAAAGGGGAGGGGAGAAAAGAGAGGAGAGGGAAGGGGGAGAAGGAGAAGAGGAGGGTCAGGAACAAGAGGAGAGGAAGAAGAGACGGAAGGGCGAAAATGGTGCTGTGTGTGTGGGAGGAGGGGGGAAGAAGGTAGGAGAGGGGGTGATAACATGGGAAGGGGAAGAGGAGAGGAGGATCACTCGAGGGATGCTGCGAAGCAGAATGGCTGCTGTCACCGCCACCAGAGCCTGCACCGCCTCTACTGATGCCGCTGCTGCAATCCCTGCCGGCACTGCTGGGTTAGAGCACGAGGAGGCAGTGCTGCAGGCGCCAGCGTCGCCCCGCCATGCCAATCGGCCCACGGTTCACACGCAAGAAAGAGGGAAGGGCGAGCAGGAGGAGCGAGGAATGGGGGTTTGCAATGGGATGGAGGCCGGTGGAGACGAGATGGAGGAGGGGGAAGTGCGGGGTGAGGACGGAGAGGAGGAAGGGGAGGAGAGAGGCGAAGAAACGGAGGTGCGGAAAGTGGGTGACTTAGAGGAGGACGACGTGATTGAAATGGGTCTGGTTGATGCAGAGCTGTGGCCGGTACAGCAGCCGCAGCAGCAGCAGCAGGAGAAGCGGGAAGAGGAGGAGCGGGAGGAGGAGCAGATGCTGCGGTTGAATGAGGTGCAGGAGCAAAGGGTAGGCAACACGGCGAAGGACAAGGCCACGAGAGGTGGTGCTCCCACCCACCCGTCTGCTCGCCGCTCTCTGGCAGCTGTATTCGCACGCGCAGACAGCTCAGAGGCGGTAGACAAAAGGGAGCAGACAGTCATTGTGAGGAGACCAGCGGATGATAAGGGCCCGCACTGCAGGCCCGATCCTCAAGCATCGGCTGTGAAGGATCCCGAAGCCTGTCTGGCTAAGCCATGTCGCGAGGCGTCTCTAGTTCCTCCACAGACAGAGGCTGCTGGGCCGTTGGATGGCATGGAGGCAGATCCGATGCGAGCAGCGGCCAGATTTTCCATCCCCCCTACAGTCTACCTTGTTATCGACAACCTGGAGCAGCTCAAAACGTTTCCCGTGGGGGAAGGTCCGCAGCTGCTGGAGACTTTCCTCCGCCTGCCCGAACTGTTGGGGCAGCCGAACCTGGGGCTCATTCTAGTCAGCAAGTTGGACTGGGCTTCAACTTGTGGCCTTGGCGCAGGAGGGATGGGGGGTGGGGGCAGCTGGGGGGGAGGGTGGGGAGGAGGATGGGGAGGAGGGGGAGGAGGAGGGGGAGGAGCAGCAGCGGCGGCAGCAGCAATGGCAGTGGCAACATGTGAGCCGGTGACAGTATTCTTCCCACAGTACAGCGACACGCAGCTGGAAACGGTGCTGGTGGGGATGCGTCCCAATCAGCCACTCTTCCTCTCCTTCCTCAGGTACTTCATAGGCGAACTGCCGTCCTTAGTACCTTCTTGTTGCCGCATGCCCACCGCCCACCGCCCACTGCCCTGAATCTCTGTGAATCTCCTGACCCCATATTTTTCGCCCACATGTTCCCACTCGCCAATGCCCTTCACTCCCCCCTCTGCACCGACCCCAGGCAGGTGGTTCCAGTGTACTCCCGCTCATGCCGCTCCCTGCCCCACCTGGCATCTCTAGTGGACCACACCTGGCCGCTCTACACCGCGCCTATCTCCACCGGCTCAGTGCCCCCCGACCATCCCAGCTGCGCTCGCCTGCTGTACATGCGGGCACAGGAGCACATCGGAGCCACACTCAAGAAGCCGGTTTCCGCCCTCGTGCTATCTTCCGTGGTCAATGCTGGTGCTTCTGTTTCTCCTGCTGCTGTTGGCTCCCGATTCCACAGCCTGTACCCCCTCCAATGCCCCCAGCAGCAACAGCAGAGACTAGGATGGGGCCCAGAGGCCCCATTGGACGGTCCGGATCTTCCCATCATGGCCCGGTTCGCCCTCGTGGCAGCATTCACCTGCTCCCGCAGCCCAGCGCCATCCGATCTTACTCTCTTCAACTTTTCCGACGCCAAGCAGGCTGGAGGAAACGCTTTCCGGTCAAAAAGGAGGAGGGCAAGTGCAGCGGATATAGACAAGCAGGCTAGGGAGGCAAGAGAGGCCCAGCAGCAAGGGCCCATCCCCTTCCCTCTCTCCCGCTGGCTGCTCATGGCTCACCACTTGGCGAAAGCTCATTGGTCCGCTCCGCTTGCCGCACGCTCTCCTGCTGCTGCCGAGTCAGCTCCTGCTCTGGATGACAGCCTGCTGACTCAGCTCGCGACTCTCATTCGCTGTGGGCTCGTGAGCCAATCAGGGGATGACAGGCTGGCAAGCACGACTCGCTTCAAGTGCGGTGCCAGAAAGGGGCTTGTGAAGCAGGTATGTACCACACATACGTCTTTGCAAAGGAAGGGGGAGGGAAGCTTATTTAATGGCATTTTCTGCAAGTGCATAAGCACGTCAGTGAGCTGAATGCTGTATGTGCTTGTGCCTGTGGTGGTGTTTGCATTGTGAGCAGATGGCAACAACACTTGGCATTAGCTTGGAACAGCTTTTGCTATTTGGGTAGTTCTACAATGGTAATACAAGAGCTCAGATTATCAACGACCTGTTTGATCTGGCTGATGTGTCGGGGCATTATTGAGGGTATGAGATGAAACGCCAGTCTCGCTAAGATTTAGCTGGATTTTGGATTTGAACTATTATGGGTACCATAAACGTAGCGTAGCGATTTACCATGCTTCTCACATCTGTACCCGATATTGCTGAAAGTCACTAATGGTCAGTCGGCACCAGAATATCTCTGTTTACCAGCTTGTCGCTGCTGTCCACACAAGCTCGAGCCAAGTTTGACTTGGCGAGGGGGCTCCCGCCGATCCGACCCGACACGTGCCTTGCTCGGCTCAGATTGCTGGAACGGGTGTAAAGCAGCAATGACACTATCGAGGGGTCTCCCACTCAGTACAGGATCTAATCCACGTGGCAAGTTCTGTCAGTGAACTCTCTTTTCTACAGGTCAGTGATTTCCCCACTCCAGCCCAGATTTACTTCCTCTTATTTCTGACTTACACTTATCTCACAGTTGGTTCGGCAACTGATAGGTTTGTTCACTTCCGCTTGTTCTGCTCGTCGAGCTAGTCATGGTGCTCTGGTGCTGGAGTATTCATCGGCGGCTCCACGGCATGGTGCCATGACGTACCAGTACGATGATATACTTTTGCGTCCTCAACGTGAAGTATACGTTGGTAACCACGCGATTGCCATCGGTTACACGCACTAATACTGTATGGAGCACTCATAACACATTATTACTCGCTTGCAGAAGCACAGAAGGTAGACCCTTTCGATTGAGTTCGGATAATGGCGGCGGTTAACCCATCACCAGTCATATCGCACTTGGCATCTCGCCATCTGCCAACCGCCGCCTGCCAGCTGTCATGGGCCGTCCTGAGAGCCGTCAACCTCCCCGCATTGGTCGCCGCTTATTCCTCCGCATCTAACGGCGATCGGAATCTATCAGCCCATCTCCATACCACCGAACGCATTCCACCACCATCTCAAGAAGCCACCCTGCACAGAATTGCAGTCAAGGACTCACACACAATCGCAGTCCCGACCTCCGCATCCCATGGCCTACGGAACCCTTCCGATCTCCCCGGCTCCTCCCTCCACCAACCACCAGCTTCCCACTACCAACATTCCGCCGCCATCCGTCCTCCCCGAGCCTCTTGGCCCGGGCACCGAGCCTCAGGTTCGGGGTCCTCCATCGCTGTCGCAGGTCCGACGTGTGTTTCCCTCGCCGATTGGCTCTTTAGGCGAGGCCTGAGCATGGACCGGGACGGGGGGGAGCGTGGGGACACGGGGCTCAGCGATATGGGTCCGGGGATGGGCCTGGGGCGGGAAGGCCCGTCCGCTCAGGCGCTCATGCCGCCGGGTCCGCGGGACGATTTTCGCGTGGGAGGGGGGCGGGGGAGGGCGCGGAAGCGGAAGGCGCGGAGGTGGTGGAGGACGATCACCTACCCGCGGACGACCAGGAGGTGGTGCTGGACTCGGTGGTGAAGGTGTTCGCCGTGGGCAGCAGCCCCAACTACCGGCTGCCATGGCAGAACAAACCGCAGCGCGAAGTCACGGGCTCAGGTGAGGCTTGTTATGCTCATTGCTCCCCCTCCCTCTCCCCTGGCTGTCCCGCACAACTCCGCTGCCTCCTGCTGCCCTTTGTTGGCGCGCCCCAAAGCCCAATGCACCCTCTCATCGCCTCCCCTTCCCTCCCGTCCCCCCCCCCTTCCCCCATTGGCTGGTGCAGGGTTCGTGATCATGGGCCGTCGGATCCTCACCAGCGCGCACATCGTGGCCGACCAGGCGTTTGTGCTGGTCAGGAAGCACGGGTCGCCCAAGAAGTACCTCGCACAGGTGCGTGAGCGAGAGACCATGAGAGGGGTTTGGGGGTCAAACTGAGGCGCTCAGGAGAGTGGAAACGGGATCCATGCTTGCTGAGGAAAGCATGTGCGGCTGCTCACCTCTCTGGTCATCGCTGCTTACCTCTGTCACCGCTGGTTACCTCTGGTCACCGCTGGTTACCTCTGGTCACCGCTGGTTACCTTTGTCACCGCTGGTTACCTCTGTCACCGCTGGTTACCTCTGTCACCGCTGGTTACCTCTGTCACCGCTGGTTACCTCTGTCACCGCTGGTTACCTCTGTCACCGCTGGTTACCTCTGTCACCGCTGGTTACCTCTGTCACCGCTGGTTTTCCCCTTTCGCCCCCTCAAGCGCATTCCCAGGCAGTGCCACTTGAACGCCACCTCGCCGCGCTCCTTGTGGACCAGCCGTATGGTCCAGCCTTGGTCTGCCCACCTACCCCCTCCTAGCACTAACCTCCCCCTCCAACCTCCCGCTCCCTTAACCCTCTACTCTCCACGCCACCAGGTGCAGGCAGTGGCGCACGAGTGCGACCTGGCGCTGCTCACAGTGGACGAAGCAGGCGCAGGGGGCGGGGGCAGGGGCGGAGGGATGGGGGGGCGGGGCGGGCACCACGAGCATGAGCATGATCACGACCACCATGACAGATTCGGGGAGGATAAGGGAGGGGGGACAGGGGGGAGGGGCGGAGGGGGCGCGATGGGGGACTTCGGAGGCGGGGGGAGGGGAGGAGGGGGGGCGGAATGGGGAACCGGATGGGAGGGGGGATGGGGATGGGGGGGGACATGGGCGGGGGGATGGGAATGGGAGGAAGGGGGGAGGGCGGAAGGGGGGTGGGGGGGGTGGCAACGAGGAGTTTTGGGCGGGGCTGAACCCCCTGCCCCTGGGGGATGTGCCCCAGCTGCAGGAGTCGGTGGCCGTAGTGGGTTACCCACAAGGTGAGCTTAGAGTCGACTCAAGCGCAGTTTGAGTTCCGCTGCCTCTGGGGGATGTGCCCCAGCTGCTGGGATGAGTGGCAGTAGTGGGTTACTCGCAAGGTGAGGGACCTCTTCCAAGACACCACAACGAGCGTGGTATTTGCAGCGCCTTCATTCCCCCCCCCCCACTCCCCTCCCGCTCTCCCTCTCACAGCTCCCGCGCCATGCATTCTTCTCTCTCCCTTCCTCTCCCCCCACTTCCCTGCCTCAAATCCCCAGGTGGCGACAACATCAGCATCAGCACGGGCGTGGAGTCCCACATGGAGCCCACCAAGTACGCGCACAGCCGACCTCTCCTGCTCTGACTCTTTCCCCTCGTCCCCCCTCAACTCTCCCCTGCATACCATCCTCCCCCCAGGCGGCGACAACATCAGCATCAGCACGGGCGTGGTGTTGCGGGCGGAGCCCACCAAGTACGCGCACAGCCCCCCCTCCCTTCCTTCCCCCCCCTCCCGTTTCCCCCACTCTCCCCTCCGCCCACCCCCCCAGGCGGCGACAACATCAGCATCAGCATGGGCGTGGTGTCTCGTGTCGAGCCCACCAAGTACGCGCACAGCGGTGCGCACCTGCTGGCCATTCAGATCGACGCTGCCATCAACCCGGGGAACAGCGGCGGCCCGGCGCTCGTGATGACACACGTGCCCGTGCTGGCCGACAGCAGTGGCACCGGTGAGAGCTGCAGCAACAACGGCAGCAGCAGCAGCAACAACAGCAGCAGCAGGGATGTGACACAGTCACACCGCATACAGTCACAATTGCAGGGGACGCCTGGTGGGAGGGCAGGGAGCGGGCGGCAGAGATCGATACTGGAGGACGAGGACGATCTCCCAGGCTTTAAGGGGCTGGACTGGGGGGAGGAAGGTGGAGAGGGGATGATGCGGCTGGGGAGAGAAGATGGGAGGGGGGAGAGGGAGGAGGAGGGGGAGGAGGAGCGGGGGATTGGAGGGGGGTGGGCGGAGATCGAGGCGGAGCGGGCGGCGGAGGAGGCGGCAGCGCGGGCGCCAGTGGCGATGAGGGTGGAGTACCAGGCGGTGGGGGTGGCGTTCCAGAACCTCACCGGCGCCGAGAACATCGGGTGAGCGACCTTTGACAGGGGCAGAGAACATCGGGTGAGCGACTGCGGGTGAGCTCTCTTTGACAGCGGCAGAGACCATCGGGTGAGCTCTCTTTGACAGGGGTAGAGACCATCGGGTGAGCTCTCTTTGACAGGGGCAGATAACATCGGGTGAGCTCTCTTTGACAGGGGCAGAGACCATCGGGTGAGCTCTCTTTGACAGGGGCAGAGACCATTGGGTGAGCTCTCTTTGACAGGGGCAGAGACCATCGGGTGAGCTCTCTTTGACAGGGGCAGAGAACATCGGGTGATATCTCTTTGACAGGGGCAGAGAACATCGGGTGAGCTCTCTTTGACAGGGGCAGAGACCATCGGGTGAGCTCTCTTTGACAGGGGCAGAGAACATCGGGTGAGCTCTCTTTGACAGGGGCAGAGAACATCGGGTGAGCTCTCTTTGACAGGGGCAGAGAACATCGGGTGAGCTCTCTTTGACAGGGGCAGAGAACATCGGGTGAGCTCTCTTTGACAGGGGCATAGAACATCAGGTGGGTGACTAGTGTGAGCTGTGCTTTTTCTCCCAGTGGCAGCGCGGGCGCCGGTGGAGATGAGGGTGGAGCACCAGGTAGTTGGGGTGGCGTTCCATAACCTCACAGGCTCGGACAACATCGGGTGAGTAGGTAGTGTGAGCTGTGCTGTATCCCCCATGCTCCCCCAGCGGTGTCCCCAGGATCATCTCGCATGTGTGATGATCCTCTACCTCTGCTTTCTCCGCCACTCAGCTTGCTCCGCTCCTCTGTTTCCTAAGCACCCTCTTTCGTCCCTCCACCCCCCTCCCCCACCCCCACCCTCCCCCGCCCTGCTCCACAACTGCCCTCGCAGCTACATTGTGCCCACGCCCATCATCCACCGCTTCCAGTTACCCACTCACATTGCCTCTCCCCTCCCCCCTCTTCCATGCAGCTACATCGTGCCCACGCCCATCATCCACCGCTTCCTGCACGACGTGGCGTTGCACCACCACCACTTCCGGGGCTTCTCCTCCTTGGGGGTCTCCTGCCAGCCGCTCGACAACTGGCAGCTGAGGGAGCACCTGAAGCTGCCACGTGGCGCCACGGGCGTGCTGGTGAACGCGGTGCAGCCAATGAGCGAGAGCAGCAGGTGGCTCAAGAAGGACGACGTGCTGACGGCGTTTGATGGCGTCCATATTGCCGATGATGGGTCCGGTGAGTGTGGCGTCAGGTGGGGAGGGGGGGAGGGGGGGGGGGGGGGAGTGATGAAAGTGAAGAGTATTTTTTTGAGGCGCCTCAAAAATAGACTCCCCAAGATGAAAGTGGTGCTGGTGAGCGCGGTGCAGCAAACGAGTGAGCGCAGCAGGTGCTTGAAGAAGGACGACGTGCTGACGGCGTTTGATGGCGTTCAGGTGACGATGGGATCTGCACTGCATTGGCTTGGGGATGGGGGACTGTGGGTCAGGTGGGTGTGGGGATGGGGGATGGGGGACAGGTGAGTGTGGCATCAGCACGAACGTGGTCCCACCCACGGGCGTGCGGGTAGAGGCAGTGCAGCCAATGAGTGAGGTGAGTGTGGCATTAGCACGAATGGGGTGCCACGTGGCTGAGGAAACTTTTGAGTCCACTCAAAAGTCAGCTCGTGCCGGCACCCATTCCTGCATAATTCCCACTTTCCCCATCAGCACTCACATGCTCCCCTCCCACCCTTTCTTGCACCTCTCCCGCCTTCCCTGGTTCCTTGCACGCCCACCAGTGCTGTTCCGCAAGCGTGAGCGGCTGCCGTTTGACTATCTGGTGTCGCTCAAGGGGAGTGGGGAGCGGGCGCGAGTGTCGGTCTACAGAGGAGGGCAGCTGATGCACTTTGAAATCACCGTCGATACGGTGAGCTATGTTGCTTTTGGGCGCCTCAAAAATAGATTCGGGTTGGGGAATGGGCCGGAGTTTTGGTCTAAGAAGGGGAAGGGGTGGGGGTAGGGGGGGGGGCGGGATGATGCACTTTGACATGACGGTTGATGTGAGGCAGGTTCGGTGGATGTGAGGCAGGTTCGGTGGATGTGAGGCAGGTTCGGTTGATGCGGTGGACTGCACTGAAATGGTGTGCGGCACTTGATACCCAATCTACTTCATCTCATCTCTCTGCCAAACCTCCCAGCCTGTTCGTTTCTGGCGCGACTGCCATACTGCCAGGCATTTCTCATGCAACGCTCAGCTACTTCACACCTATCCCGACATATTCCCTCTGCCCTCTCTCGCTCCCTCCACCCCCCCTTCCCACTCCCCCTTCCCCCAGCTCCCCCCTCTGGACCCAGCACAGCAGTTTGACTCTGCCCGCAGCTGCTGCAACTTTGCCACACCACACACACTATGGCATCTCTTCTCTGCCCTTTTCTCCTCTCTTCCCTCACTCATTCCCCCCAGCTCCCTCCCCCTGGTGCCAGCACAGCAGTTTGACGCGGCGCCCTGCCACTTCCAACTGTGGCATATCTCCTCTTTTCTCCTCTCCCTCCCCCCTTCCCCCAGCTGCCCCCGCTGGTGCCAGCGCAGCAGTTTGACTCTGCCCCCAGCTACTTCATCTTTGCTGGACTTGTCTTCACGCCGCTCTCCCAGCCCTACCTGCACAAGTACGGCCCGGACTGGCTCCATCAACCACCCTCTGCTCACCTCCCCCCCTCCTCCTTCCCCCTTCCCCCCCTCCTCCCCCCCCCCAGCTGCCCCCGCTGGTGCCAGCACAGCAGTTCGATTCTGCCCCCAGCTACTTCATATTCGCGGGGCTGGTCTTCATGCCGCTCTCCCAGCCCTACCTGCACGAGTACGGCCCCGACTGGCTCCACGCCTCGCCCCGCCGTCTCTGTGACCTCGCCCTCAGGAACCTGCCGGAGAAACCCGGCCAGCAAATAATTATCCTCTCCCGGGTAAGAGGGGGTCTCTTGCGTCTAGAAGCACCACGAGTACGGGCCTGACTGGCTCGACACCTCCCCCGCCGCCTCTGCGATCTCGCTCTCAGGAACCTGCCAGAGAAGCCAGGCAGTGGGTTTGGGGAGGAAGGTGGATACTGGGGGTGTTGGTACCGGGCTTCTCTTTATACACTTGTCTTCAGAGTTCAGAGAAGCCGGGCAGTGGGTTTGGGGAGGAAGGTGGATACTGGGGGTGTTGTTACCGGGCTTCTCTTTATACACTTGTCTTCAGAGTTCAGAGAAGCCGGGCAGTGGGTTTGGGGATGAAGGTGGATACTGGGGGTGTTGTTACCGGGCTTCTCTTTATACACTTGTCTTCAGAGTTCAGAGAAGCCGGGCAGTGGGTTTGGGGAGGAAGGTGGATACTGGGGGTGTTGTTACCGGGCTTCTCTTTATACACTTGTCTTCAGAGTTCAGAGAAGCCGGGCAGTGGGTTTGGGGATGAAGGTGGATACTGGGGGTGTTGTTACCGGGCTTCTCTTTATACACTTGTCTTCAGAGTTCAGAGAAGCCGGGCAGTGGGTTTGGGGATGAAGGTGGATACTGGGGGTGTTGTTACCGGGCTTCTCTTTATACACTTGTCTTCAGAGTTCAGAGAAGCCGGGCAGTGGGTTTGGGGATGAAGGTGGATACTGGGGGTGTTGTTATCGGGCTTCTCTTTATACACTTGTCTTCAGAGTTCAGAGAAGCCGGGCAGTGGGTTTGGGGATGAAGGTGGATACTTTTTGTGACGTCTCACTTGTCGAGCTCACACTTTAGTCGGCTCAGTAGTCACAATTCGACATGTCTCACAATTCGAGCTGACTTTTGAGTCGACCCGAAAGTCACCTTGTGACAAGTGTCACAATTCGAGCTGACTTTTGAGTCGACCCGAAAGCCACCCGATGACATGTCGCACTAGTCGGGCGCTCCTTCTCCTCATCACCTGCCCATCCTTCCGTCCCTACCTCCCTCCATCCCTCCCTCCCTCCCTTCTTCTTGCACCAGGTGCTGCCTGACGAAGTCAATAGTGGCTACGAGCGCCTGGCAGACCTGCAGGTGAGATGAACTACTTGGCGCTAGACCTGCAGACCTGCAGACGCGGGGTTCTTGAAATTTGGAAGCCTGCAATACCCTCTTCTCCCAACTCAACCTTTCTGTGACCTGGCCTGGGGTGCTTGCAACCTAAGATGGACTTTACGTTTACGTGTACGTCGGTTTACGTTGCGCTTACGCTTACGTTATGTTACGTTTACGATTTTCTAAAATCCAGTTTATGTTTCGGGCAGAGTTTTATTTTTTAGGCTGCCCAAGAGTGCTCCTTGTATAGAGATGGCTTTCCACTCATTTTACCAAAAAAACAAACAAGTTAGTCACACCAGAAACTACCGTTTCTGGTGTACTCCCAATTGGTCAGAATTTGCAAGTGTATGTTCTGTGCTGCCGGGGAACTGGTCGACATGTCACTTACCGACCAAATCAAATGTGTTGCAGGTGCGACGACACGATGATGTTGACAAGGGTTGGTGACTCAACAGGTAGACATTAAAAAAGGAGTCAACCCCTTCTTTTGATCACCTCCCCTTCCCATCGCCCGCATCCTTTTTCCCCAGCAGCCCCCACTCTATGCTTGTCGAGCTACCGCTTCCCATTCCCTTAGGAAATCTGTTTGCGTCTGACTTTTGAGTCGACTCAAAAGTCACTCCCCATTCCCTTAGGAAATCTGTTTGCGTCTGCCATTCAACTGCTGGTTTCCCCCTGCCCGGTATAAGCACAAGTGCTCACTGTGGCTCTTTATATATATATATATATATATATATATATATATGTGTATATGATTTATTCCTGTAATATTTTTTCCATCTGCCAGGCGTAAATTACGCGTAATTTTACGTGTACGTGAGTTGAAAAACGTAATTGACCATCTTCAAAAGCCTCCTCGCAACACACACATGCACGCACCCTCCCTTGTTTGCCATCATCTCATCTTCCAAAGCCTCCTCGCCCTCCTTGCTTGACCCTCTTCCCTCACCCTCTTCCCTCACTCTCTCCTCTCCTCTCCTCTCCTTTCCACTCCTGTCCTCTCTTCTCCCCCACCCTCGCCAGGTGCCCAGGGTGAATGGTGTAGACGTTGACAATGACTTTTAGATCCACAAATCCTCAGGAACGCCTGGAAACATGCTCCCCTCAACCTCCCCCCCCCTCCCCTCAACCTCTCTTTCCAATCCCCCCCTCCCCTCTCCCCCTCCCCCCACCCCTCCCCCTCAACCCTCGCTAGGTGCTAAAGGTGAATGGGGTTGAAGTGGATAACATTCAGCAGCTCAGAGACGCCGTGCTGGAGACATCTGGACCGTTCGTGCGCTTCGATCTGGAGGACGGGCGAATCATCGCCATCGACATAGCAGCTGCCAGAAAGGTGGTGTTTTTTAACGAGTTGGAGAGAGCTCGAGCTGTGGCAGGAGCATTGAGGGCCCTTCTTTCCAATGCCCAGATTCTGCAGCTCGACTGCGTGTCAAGTGGACCCCGTATCACACCTCTCCTCTCCTGCCTAATCATCTCCCCGTCTTTGCCTTCCTGTCTCTATGCCGCTATGTGTGCTCATACGTGCTCCCCCCACCAGTCCAATGCCCAGATTCTGCGGCGCTACCGCGTGCCAAGTGCGTCCTCCTGGGATCTCCGCCAAATGGCTGACAGCCACAGCCATGGCGGCCACAGCCGCTTCTGACAGCCACGTCTGGCAGCCGTGTCTGGCAGCCGTGTCTGGCAGCCATTCTGGCACTGGCATGCACAGTCGACACGTCTATTCCGACACAGTAGGATGTTAGCACTGATATGTCCAGAACCCCTGGTACGGCCCTGGCTGTAGAGCGAAGGGATGAATTTGCACGGGTTGTAGGGGATCTTTATGTTGGGTAATTTCTTACTACGTGCTGGTACAGCATGTCATGTTGGCTGGCACCCAAGTTTACCAACTGTAAAACAGTTGGTTGGGACTAAAACGACTGATTGGCCGGCAAGCTGTAGGCACCAGTGAAATCGCCTGCAATTGCAATTCACGCACCCTCGTGACACAACCTGGGTTTTCCCAACCAACTGTAAAACACTTGCCCCAGGTTCTAGAAACCTGGGTCCCTGGCTTTTAAGTGACATTCATTTAATAGAATGGCTAGGCTGCAGCGTGTGGTGTCCATCCACCAGACGTGCAAGAATTTGGTTGAAGAATTTTATAAGTGATGACGAGACATCAAAACCTGGTTAACCTCGGCTCTAGGTTCACTCGAGCACTGAGAGATTCGAACTCTCGCGGGCAGAGCCCATGTACTTAGCAGGCACACGCCTTAACCACTCGGCCAAATGCTCTTGAATTATACTGTCTTAAAATATATATATCTTAAATTTAACGTATCCCCTCTCCTAAAGTTGTGAAATCCTCGTTTGTCATTCCAAATACTGGTATTCCTTCACCTAAAAGCGAAACAATAAAATGAGCTGGAATTTCGGTTAACTGACGCAATCTTGATAGTCAATCCATCTTTCTCAGCTGCATCTTGCCATTTTCCCCCATAACCATAACCTGCTGCCTATACCCCCCCCTAACTGACAATAATGCAACCATGCCCCTGCCTCGCCCTCTTCCTGGCCCCCGTCCGTTCCCGACCCCCTGCCCTCTTCCCCTGCCTCTCCCGCCTCCAACCCCTGCCTCTCTCCCTCCCCCTGCTCCTCTCCCTCCACCACCCCCTATCTCATCACTCCCATTGCTTTCACTCTCCTCACTCTCGCTCCTCGCCCCATCCTCTCCCTCCCCACCACCCCCACTCTCCCCCCTTTCCTCCCCGCTCTCCTCCCCGGGCCCCGCTGCACCTTCCACGTCCCCTCCCTCGAGAGAGTCACTGTCAGAGTCATCAGTCCCCTCCAGCACCCTACCCCTTCCTCCGCCTCTCCCTCTGCCTCTGCCCCGCCCTCTGCCCTGCCCTCTACCCCTCCCCCTTCCCCGTCCCACCCCATATCGCTTGTCCTCGGGCTCATACAGATCTTCTCCCCCCTCTGATACTTCCCCTTCCCCAGACTCACTCTCTTCCTCCCCACCCTCATCACTCTCCTCCTCCCCACCCTCATCAATACTGTTTCCACCACTCGATTCCGCCATACTTGCAGTACCCACTCTCCTTCGTTCACTCTCTTTTCTCCTGCCCCTACTGCTGCCCCTCCCCCTGCCCCGCCCTCTGCCCCTCCCCCTTCCCTTCCCCAGCCTATCGCTTTTCCCCTCAGGCTCATACACATCCTCCTCCTCCTCTTCTTCTTCGTCCTGCGACTCGTCCACTTCCTCTCCTTCTCCTTCCTCCTCCTGCAACTCTTCCTCGCCCCCCTCACCAGTCTCACCCTCATCACTCGATTCCTCGTCGCCTTCACTACTCTCTCCTCCCCTTTGCCGCCCTCTTCCCCGCCTGCTGCGCCCATCCGCACCCTCCCCCCGCCCACACCGCAGAGCAGCATTCGCCACCTCCCCCGTGCGTCGCGTATGAGGCCCCTCAAAGGCAGCAGCACTCGCCACCTCCCCTGTGCGTCGCGTTCGAGGCGCCTCAAAGGCGCACCGCATGGCAGCGTTTGTCACCTCCTCTGTGCTTCTCATCCGGATCACACCGTCACTATCGCTACCCCCCTTCGCACACACCTCCTCCTCTCCTGTGGAAACCGTGTCCCTCCTCCCTTTACCACCCACCCGCACCCCTTTACCTCTGTCCTTCCCCTCCTTTTCATTCCTACCGTCCTTATCACTCTTCCCCTCAATGGCACTGGTTCGCCTCATCAAGAGGTCCAGCCCTGTCTGCTTTCTCTCCAACCATTCCTCTCCCTTCCCCCCTGCACTCTCTCCCTCACTCTTCTCTCTCCTATCTTCACTCATGCTAACCACTCCCTCGTCCCCACCCTGCCCCTCCTCTCCGCCACTCCCCTCTACCACTTCATCAAAAACCATCTCATGCTCCCCCTGAGCCCCGATTCCCCCTGTCACCTCAACTTCCGTGTCGCCCTTCTCCTCTTCCACACCACCCCTGCCACCTTGCCCCTTCCTCGCCCTGACACCTCTCATCCCTTGACTCCCTCCAGCAGACAAACCCGGCCTCTTCCTTCCTTTATCCCCCGCACTCAGCTCTCTATGCTCCTCCTCCCATCCCTCCTCCTTTTCCTCCTCCTTTTCCTCCTCCTTTTCCCCCTCCTCCTCCTCCTCAGCAGCGCTCCTCCGCTTCCTTTTGTGTGTCCCACTCTTCGCCAGTAGGCTGTGCACCATCCAAGGAATGCAGTCACTCCTCCCCTTTGCTCCGCTGCTAAAAACCGAGAATCTTCCCTCTCTACCCTCTCCAGCCCTCGCCACGACTTTCGGAGCCTTATTTAACTCAGCTTCCTTGTTATCCTCAGCATGCTCAGGTACGCTCCCCTCCTCCTCACGTTCAGCTTCAGACCCCACTTCAATGCGTTTACCCTCTAGAAGCTTATCCTCTACGTTATCCTTGTTATCCTCTACGTGTTCTATTCCCCCCTCCCACGTGCCCCTCCCGAACCCAAGCACGGCGCCCCAGCCACCAACTCTTTTCCGTCTTGCCGTCCCTCCCCTCCGTCTCTTGCCAGACAGCAGAACCGCCCCCTTTTCCTCCACTGTCGGATTGGAAAGATAAGCTTCAACGTGCTTCGACTGCTCCTCTTTCTCCCCCTGCTGCCACTTCTTCCCCTTCTTTCCCTCCTCCTGCTGCCCCTGTCCTCCTCGCCTTCCCTGCACTTCCCGCTGCTCGTCTCTTGTCTGCTCCTCATCAGCTCTGCCCCATCTTGGTCGCTTTGCTTCTCCATACTCCCCTGCCTGCTCGTGCGTGGGTGCATCACCACCACCAGCAGCGCCGCCAGCACCAGCAGCAGCAGCAGCACTTCTTCCCACTGCCTGCTCCTCTTCCTGCTGCTGTCTTCTTGCCTGCTCCTTTTCCTGCCCATTCTGCATCCTTCGTTCGACTTCTCCCGTTTTCTCTTCCTGCTCGTGCGTCGATGCGCCGCAAGCACCAGCAGCACTTCCCACTGCCTGCTCCTCCTGCTGCTGGCTCCTCGCCTGCTCAGAGGATTTTTGAGTCGACTCAAAAATCACCTGCTCAGAGGATGCAACGCCCGCACCAGCGCCAGCGCCAGCGCCAGCGCCAGCGCCAGCAGCAGCAGCAGCAGCAGCAGCAGCACCAGCGCCAGCGCCTGCAGCAGCAGCAGCAGCAGCAGCAGCAGCAGCAGCGCCAGCACCAGCAGTGTCCGCTGCCTTGCGCTTTCTCACATACTTAATGCTCGCCCTGCCATCATCACTACTGGCACCAGAAGCAGCAGTGGCAGCGCCAAGAATCGCACTGGCAGCAGCAGCAGCTTTGGCAGCAGCGGCAGCTTTGGCAGCTACAACAGCAGCAAATTGGGCAGGCAAGGCGAGGCAGATGGGGAAGGTGTGTCCTTCCACGCCTGGTGAATCATGGTGCCCACCGTTGGCCCGGGTCAAAGGTAGGGGGTTCTGACAGGGTGAGAGGCCTGCGGTGGGTGATTGCTGGGTGGGTGGTTGCTGGGTGGGTGATTGCTGGGTGGGTGGTTGCTGGGTGGGTGATTGCTGGGTGGGTGAAGGTCGATGGGGAGAATGACACGAGTCAGGCGGTTGGGATGGCTGGGGAGGGGGTGGATGGGATGGGTTGTGAGAGGAGTCAACGAGCACCTCAGGATGGAGTGGTTTGTCTGGGTTTGGAATGCCGTAGGAGTGGGAAGGGTCGTGTGCATGGTGGTTCAAGGGTTCGGGTGCATGGTGGCGTGGTCGCGTGCGCGCAGCAGAGCTGCAAGAATCAACAGCCAGTATTTCTCGCTTCACATCATATGCACTAGCACTATTCACATCACTCCCCAGGGTGTCACAAGCAAACGCCACTCGCCGCCTCTTCCTCCCTCTCTCTCCCTCCTCCTGCCCGTCAAAAACGTCTCGCCCCTCCTCCGCCTTCCCCTCACCACTCCCCCAATTCTCCTTCTCCCCGTCACCACCAACATCCCACACCGAAGCATCATAGTCCTTCTCTGGAACCGCCACAACAAAAAGAAGGGGTTCCTGCTGCCCCCCCACCCTCCCGTTCTTCCTCTCCTTCCCACGCCTCCAAGTCTCAACCCCACGCCCTTGCAACTTCCCAATCACCATCTCCTCGTCTGCCTCCGCTCCCTCCTCTTCCTCCTCGTCCTCCTCGCCCCCCTCGTCGTCCTCCTCTCGCTTCTCTGGCTCTGTCACTTCCTCCCAGCTCGCACAAGCCACCCAGCCCTGCTGTTCCGAGTCCCCGTTCAGAGCCACCCAATCTGCGCCACCCCTCTCCCCCTCTGCCTCACCCCTCTCCCTTGCCTCCCCACTGACTTCCTCCTCCACCACCTCAACCTCACTCTCTTCCTCTTCTCCTCTCTCCTCTTCTCCTCTCTCCTCTTCTCCTCCTCTTTGTTTCTCCCCCCTTTCATCCACTCTTCTCTTCTTTTCTCCTCCATCGTCGCTTCCTTCCTTCTTCAATTCTACAGACCCTTCCCGCCCACCCCCAGCATCGCCCCCTGGCCTCTCATGCTCATGCCCTTCCACCGTGCCTCTGACAGCATTTCTAAATGCTTGCGTCACAACATCACCCTCTGCTTGCCCCTGACATGTTGCCTGTTCCTCTCTCTGCCTCCGCTCCTTGGCTTCAACCAAGACCTCGACTTCCCCTGCACCAGCCGTCACCACCACACTCTCAGCACCATCTCCTGCTCTCACCACCGCTGCTTGCCTAACGACCTCTGCTTCTGTTTCACCACCAATCATCACCACACTCTCAGCACCATCTCCTGCTCTCACCACCGCTGCTTGCCTAACGACCTCTGCTTCTGTTTCACCACCAATCATCACCACACTCTCAGCACCATCTCCTGCTCTCACCACCGCTGCTTGCCTAACGACCTCTGCTTCTGTTTCACCACCAATCACCACCACACTCTCAGCATCATCTCCTGCTCTCACCACCGCTGCTTGCCTAACGACCTCTGCTTCTGTTTCACCACCAATCACCACCACACTCTCAGCACCATCTCCTGCTCTCACCAACCCTGCTTCCCTAACCACCACTGCTTCCTCAGCATCAGCCGTCACCACCACATTCGCAGCACCATCCCCTGCTGTCAGCATCACACTCTGTGCACTATCCCCTGCTGTCACCACGCCTGCTTGCCTAACCACCTCTGCCTCCCCTGCAGCAGCTGTCACAACAGCACTGTTAATAGCAGGCCCCACTGCCACTCCTGCTGTAGCAACTGCAGCTGCCCTTATGCCCTGCGTTGCCTTTGCTCCCTTCTCTGCATCCCCTGCACCGTCCTCCTCCTTAGCTGAATGTAACACGGCTCCAGTGGCAGACTCAATGGCATCAGGAGCAGGAGCCGATGCACCAGCAGCAGCAGCAGTACCAGCTGCTGCTGCAGCAGCAGCAGCAACAGCAGCAGGAGCAGGAGCAGCAGCATCAGCATCAGGAGCAGCAGCAGCAGAAGCAGGAGCAGGAGCAGGAGCAGCAGTAAGAGCGGCAACAGCAGCAGCACCCTCTAATGCCGACGCTGCTGCCCCACTTCCTGCCTGTTCTTGCTTCATTCCTCCTTCCCCCATACCCTTTTCACCCCGAGGCTTCTCTTCCTCTGCTTGTTTCTTCTCTGGCAACTTGTCTTGTATCGAGTGTGACAATAACGGGGGGAGGGACTCCAAGTGCGGCAAAGGCGCCACCCCAACCGCACCAAACACCTGAAGCTCGGCCGCCTGGCGGTAATTCCGGGGCAGGCTCGGGACCTGCCGAACCACGCTGACAGATCCGGGGAAGACGAGGAGCGGGAAATCCCGATGCACCTGAGTGACCTCTTCCTCAGTCATCACTGAAAAGCCAAACCCTTTTATCCACGTGCCCTCTGCACCCGGGGCAGCGGGCAGGCAAAAGTTTTTGACGCCCAGGAGGGAGAAGAGAACATCGAGTGAGTTGAGCAGAATCTTGCAGAGGCCCTGGTGGCGGAGGAGAGAGAAGGGGCGAGAGGAGGGGGGGGGGGCGAGCAAAGAGAGGAGAGAGGGAAGATGAGGAAGGAGCAGAGAGTGGCGAGCGCGGAGGGAGGGGCGACGGTGAGCGGAGGGACGAGAGAAGAGTGCAAGAGGAGAGGCGCGGGAGGCTGATTGTGGACCACAAAGCTCCCACTGTTCTTTGAGTGGACTCAAAAATAATTACTGTGGAACGTACCCGCCTTCTGTGCGAGTACGCAGTAGACACAAGGGGCATTTCGGCAAGCTCTTGCCAGAAGATGCGGATGCATGCGGCACACACAACACGGTCGCGGGGCTTGAAGGGCAGGCAACACACAGTGACTCACAAGCTGCAACCCACTCACCCTCCGTCTGTGCGAGTAGGCCGTGGCGACGAGGGGCATCTCGGCGAGCTCCCGCCCGAAGATGCGGATGCATGCGGCACACACCACGCGGTCGCGGTGCTTGAGCACGGTGCAGAACATGCCCTGAAACTCATGCTCCCGGCTGCTGCGACTGTTGTTGGGGGGAAGACGGGGGTGGGTGGGACAGCAGAAGGCAAGGCATGGGTTAGGGGTGGAGAGGGATGGAGAAGCAAGGGAAGAGGAGGGCCCCTGTGTGCTTGAGCACGGTGCGGAACATGCCCTGGACCCCGTGCTCCCGGCTGCTGCGACTGTAGGGGTGAGGGATGGGCGAGGCATGAGAGGATAGGGAGGCAAAGCAACAGGGGGAACACCTGTGTGCTTGCGCACGACGCAGAAACATGCTCTGGAGCTCGTGCTCCTGCTGCTGCGAGAGACAAACTGCCACGAAGCAGGGATAATACGGAATTTACCTGCGAATCATGAGGGAGGCGAGGGTGTTTACCTGCGGACCATGAGGGGGATGAGGTCCTTCCCCGTGAGCCCATCTCTAATCGGGTCAAACGACTCCGCAAACAGCTGACATACGCCGCCCAGCGTCAGTCCGTTGGCTTCCGAACCCCGCCGCCCCTTCAGCACCTGCCACGTCAGCTCGCCGCCCCGGGCCCTGCTCTGCGCCGCCCGAGCCTGCGACGAGTTGGGCGTCGGGTCAAAGGTCGCCGCCCGGGCCTGGGACATGATTGGAGTGGTGTCAAACGTTGTTGCCCGAGCCTGGGATGCACTCCCGCCCTGCTGAGGTGTGCTTTGAGGCAGCTCCAATCGGCACGCACTGCTGTGCTGGCTGGGCGGCGTGCTGCCCGGAGGGAGGGGCGAGGCGTGAGAGACAGGAGTGGCAAGTGGGCCAGGCGTGGCAATAGCCCGAATATGCGGCTGCAGTGTCGCTGCTGATGCTGCTGCTGCTTCTGCTGCTGCTGGTGGCAAAGCCAGTACTGCTGGTGCTGGTACAGGCTGAATCAATTCTGGCTCCAGCAGGTGCGGCTCGGCCATTTCATCCCAATCCGGGAGGTCTGGCAGGTGCATGGTGCCCCGTGCCAGCACGGCCTGCAGCGCATCATACACCTCCTCACACGCCTTGCAACAAAACCAATTCCCCTCGGGCAACTGCAGCAGATCCTGCACCCCATGCTCCTTCAAGCACCCCACGTGGTACTCCTTCTCGCACTGATCGCAGAATATGATGGTCCGCGGGCCAAACCCCGACGGGACAAAGTCGTGCGACCCTGAGTGGCACAAGACGCACCCTCCCCCGGCGCTCTCTAGCTCCTTTACCAGTCGTCTGCACCGCTCCACCTCCACATCTACCTCCCCCAGTCCCTCCCCCCCCTTCCCCTCCTCCCCGCCTCCCCAGCCGCCGCCGCCTCCCCTGTCGCTTCCCCCTTCCGCTTCCCCTTCCCCCCGGCGCCCCGCAGCCTCCCCTTCCCCCGCGTGCCCTCCCCTTTCACCGCACTCGGGGGGAGCGGGGCCAGGTGGCGGGAGAAAGCAGTAGAGGGCTTGCAAGTGGGGCAGTACCAGTCTTGATCGGGGATAGCAAGCAGGCCCACGCAGTCAGGGTGGTACGCCCCAGGGCAGCTCTCGCAGAGCAGCAGAACGCCCCCGTCGCCGCACATGATGCAGTCGTCCGAGTGCCCGTCCGCGCCCATGCCCAGGTGCACGCGCGGGCTCGACTCGCGGGAGTCGCGGGCCTCTCCTCCTGCGGCGCCGCGCTTGCTGGCTGATTTCCTCCCAGCAGAGCCGGCAGCAGAAGCAGCAGGCGTGCACGGTGGGCGGGAGGCGGCCAGCTGGACTGCCAGGTCGTGCAGGCTGTAGCCCTGGGTGGTGAATATGCGGTTGTAGCTGGAGGGGTGGGTGGGGGATCGGATTGGGGGCAGATGAGAGGGGAAGGAAGGGGTCTTGCAGGCTGTAGCCCTCGGTGGTGAATATGCGGTTGTGGCTGGAGGCGTGGGTGAGGGGACAGATGAGAGGAGAAGGAACCGGGGAGCAGGGTGGGTGGGTGGGGAGGGTGCAGGGCAGCACTTGATTGGCATCAGTCACCGCATTAGATTGCTGGTAATGCAGGCGGCAGTAACTGCTTGGGGAGCACTTGTATGGAATAAGTATGCTTATACGGTATCTCTTGATCTCTTAGTCTCATAATCTCTGTCACAATAGTGCTGTGTTGCGGTTTCAGCTCATGCAAGAGACTCACGGGTTGCGGTGCGCTCCCTTCCCAGCGTGCGCCTCGAACTGAGAGCTGCTGATCTGCACCACGGAAGACACCATGGGGATGCCCGATGGGGAAGGGCGAAAGGGGTAGGGAGGAAGCAACTTTTGAAGCGCCTCAAAACTCGAACTGAGAGCTGCTGATCTGCACGGGCGACACCACGGGGATGCCCGATGGGGAAGGGCGGAGGGGGCAGGGAGGAAGAAGCAACTTGGTGCTTGCCCCATTGTCAAGGAAACGAGGAGGGAGGCTGAGCAACATGGCTTTTGAATCGACTCTAAAGCACATGCCTTGGAGCACATGCCTTGGAGCACATGCCTTGGAGCACATGCCTTGGAGCACATGCCTTGGAGCACATGCCTTGGAGCACATGCCTTGGAGCACATGCCTTGGAGCACATGCCTTGGAGCACGTGCCTTTGAGGACATGTCTTGGAGCACATGCCTTGGAGCATGCCTTGGAGGACATGCCTTGGAGCACATGCCTTGGAGCACATACCTTGGAGGACATGCCTTGGAGCACATGCCTTGGAGCACATGCCTTGGAGGACATGCCTTGGAGGACATGCCTTGGAGGACATGCTTTGGAGCACATGCCTTGGAGGACATGCCTTGGAGCACATGCCTTGGAGCACATACCTTGGAGGACATGCCTTGGAGGACATGCCTTGGAGGACATGCCTTGGAGGACATGCCTTGGAGGACATGCCTTGGAAGAGAGCGGGGACAAGGGGGTTGGGAAGGGTGCGGGAGGTGGGGCGGGAAGGGAAGGGTGCGGGAGATGGGGCGGGGGAGAGTGCTTACCACTTCGTTGCAGCAGCTGCAAAGAATGCCGCTGCCCTGCTTGACTCCTTTCAGCAGGCACTGGACTCACGGGGAGAGGTGGTTGGAAGGGATGGTGGGGAGAGAGGGAGGAGGGAGGGTGACGAGTGAGCGAGCCCATCACTGGGCCACAGAATGCCACCGCCTTGGTCGACTCCTTTCAGCAGGCACTGGACACACAGGGAGAGGAGGTTACAGGGATGGCGGGGAGCGAGGGAGTAGGGAGGGCGACGAGTGAGCGAGCCCATCACTTGGGCACAGAATGCCGCTGCCGTGCCCTGTGCAGCCGACTCAGTGCAGCCGACACAGGGAACTAGGGGGGACGAGGAGAGGGGCCGCGGCGGCAGATTGAGAGATACCTCGGAGCGACGGACAGAAGTGAAAGGCGCACATGAGTGAGAGCACAGAAGGAGTGAGTGAGATAATGCGGAGGGACGGAGAGAAGAGAGAGTGAAAGGAGCGACATGTGCACAAGATAAGGTTTGGTCCTCCTCGCCCTACCATTACGTAAACATAGCATGATATGAGTTTCGTTTTGAGTCCACTAAAAAAGCAAACATAGTAACGCCTTCACACGGTAACCACCTCACCTGCCCCTTCATGTAATAGCCTAGCCCTGTGCCATCCTCTATCCCGCCTGGTCGGAACAGTGCCTTGTGCGTTGACCCCGACTCCCTGGCGCACACGCATGCACATGCAGGCACAAGCACACATGCATTATGCATACACACACCAACACAAGCACACACAAGATGAATGGGAGAGCTGGAGCATGAGAGGGGCGAAAAGGAGACGCCACAAAGTCTGACACCACTATTTCCCCTCTCCAACGGACCCCCTTCTTCCCTCCAATCTACCCCAGCGTACCTCTTCCTCACCGGCGTGTAGCCCTGCTGCTTCCGCACTTGCCCCTCACTCACACTCCCCCCAGCACCGCCAGTTCCACCTCCCCCAGCCATCCCTGCACCAGCAGATAGCCCTCCCCCGGCTGCAGCCTTGCCGCCACTATAAGGCGACCACACAGCTCCTATGGGCGACCTTGGGATCACCCCAGGAGACCTTGGGATGCCGCCAGGAGACCGCATACCAGGTGACCTCACACCCGGTGCCCACACACCCGCAGCAGGAGATGCCCTTCCTCCCGCCTCTCCCGCACCCACCCTTCCCCCCACCGCCGCCCCTCTCCCATCCCCATCTCTCGCCCCCCCATCCGAGCCTCCTCCCCACGCCCCTTCCCCAAACGCCCGCCTCATCTCCCGTTCCACCGCCGTCGAAGCAGCGCCAGGCTCGGCAGCACGTCCGGCAACCAGAATAATATCCTTCAGGCACGGCCCTCGGAGGCTCGCCGCTTCAGCAGCTGACATGGTCCGGCCCTCCCGCTCACACTCACTCGCAGCACACGGCACGTCCAGGAACGTGTAGTTGGCTGCTTTCTTGGCCGCACTCCCCGCATGCAGCTCAAAGGCGGCGCACGGGACTATATTTCTCCACCCGCACTCGGCACACCCGCACGCCACGGCCCCCCTGGTTACCACGCCGCGCAGCCGGTTACGCCCGTCGTCGTACACCAGGGGGATGCCTTCCAGTAGGCCAGATTCGAGGAGGGATTTCACGTTCTTGGGGACAGTTGTCAGCGTGACATTGGTCGGGCCGGGGTAGGGGGGCGAGGAGAGGGTTGTGGTGGCGTTGGTGGGGTCACCTGAAGGGGCACCTGAAGATTGAGCTGCACCTGGGGCATCAGGAGAGTTCTCTGTTGTTTCACCTGGTGCAGATGGTGTGGGTTCAGATGCACCTGCGGGCTCAGGTATGGGAGGCGCAGCAACAGACTCCACAGAACGCGGTTGTGCTACGGCAGGGGACATGGCCGGGGCAGGGCAGACTGATTTAGCAGGCGGGGGTTCTTTGGTAGGGGTAATTGCCCCTTGTAAGGCTTCTTGAGGCGGGGCAGCAGCAGAACCAGCAGCAGCAGAACCAGCAGCAGCAGGAGTCTCATCAAATCTGGTCCGGTCTGCAATGCCTTCAGCTGCCGACTTGTTAGCATCAATGCTGTTGGCTGCAACAGCAGTATCGACAGGCCCGGACGTGTGGCGTGTATCGTCCACTACCACCTCCACCTCCACATACCATTTTGAATCCTCTTCCTCACCTGCACCCCCGCTCAATCCACCCTCCTCCACCGCCACACACCCCTCTGACTCATCCTCCTCCACCTCCGCATACCCGCGCGACTCACCCTCCTCACGCTCCTCTTTTATCCACTCGATTTCGTCTTCCTCTGTCGTGCTCCCATGCTCCTCATCCCCATTCTCCCCATTCCATTCTCCGCATTCTCCTTCCCCTCATTCTCCTTCCCCTCACTCATCTTCCCACTATCCTCTTGTCCTCTATCCTCATTCTCGCTCTCTACACTCTCTTTCAACCCATCCCCTTTCCCCTCAGCCCCTTCCTCCCATTCACCTTCCCCTCGTTCACCTCCCCTTCATGACGCCCCTTCGCCTCAATCCCCTTCAACTCACTCCCCGCCCCCTCATGCCCCTCCTCACTCCCCTTCCCCCCATTCTCCTCCCCCGCACACCCTTTCCTCTCTATCCCTTTCCCCTTATCCCTCTCTGCGCTTCCATTCACTGCATTCCCTTTCCCATCAATCCCCTTCCCCTTACTCCCCTTCCCTCCATCATCCCTCTCCCCATCCCCAGCCCCTCCCCCCTCATTCCCTTCAAAATTTCCACTTTTCGAATCCTCATCCCGCCTATCTCTCCTCTTATCACTTTCCCCATCCTCATCCTTCGCATTCCCTTTCACGTCGATCTCCTTCCGCTTTCTGCCCTTCCCTCCATCATCCATCTCCCCATCCTTAATCCTTCCCCCCTCGTTGCCCCCTAACCCTCCAACTTCCGCATATACAACCTGGTCATCTCTCCTCTGCTGTTCCTTGACCTCCATCACACCCCCTCCCCCCTCATTCCTTTCCATCGCTCCACCTTTCGCATCACCACCCAGCCTATCACGCCTATCTAGCCTCTGCTGCCCCTTCACTTCCATTTCACTCCCTCTGTCTACTTCCCCTCCGTCGTTCCCTCCTTTCTCCGTTTGTTTATCCGCCTCCCCTTCCTCCAACTTCCATCCATCCTTCTTCCCTCTTCTCTCCTCCCCATCCTCCTCCTTCCCTCCTTCCTCCTTCCAATCCTCCTCCTTCCCTCCTTCCTCCTTCCCATCCTCCTCCTTCGCTCCTTCCTTCTTCCCTCTTTTCTCCTCCTCATCCTCCTCCTTCCCTCCCTTCTCCTCCCCATCCTCCTTCTTTCCGTCTTCCTCCTTCCCTTCCTCCTGCTTCCCTCTTTCCTCCATCCCGCCTTCCTTCTTTCCTTTGCCCCCACACTCCCCCTTCCCTTTCTCATCCCCCTCATTATCCTCTTCTCCTTTGTCCCCGCCTCCTTCCTCCCCTCCTCTCTCCCTTCCTCTCCACCCCCTACCCCATCCCCGGGTTTCTCCTTATCATCTTTATCCCCATTGCCCCATTATCATCATCCCCCCCATTGCCCCCTTATCTCCCCCCCATTGCCCCCATTATTATCATTCCCCCCATTGCCCCCATTATTATCACCCCCCCATTGCCCCCATTATTATCACCCCTCCCATTTTCCCCCTTATCATCATTCCCCCCCGTTGCCCCCCTTGTCATCACCCCCCCCATTGCCCCCATTATCATCACCCCCCCCATTGCCCCCCTCGTCCCCATTGCCCCCACCACCACGGCCCCCACCCTCTGTCCCTTCATCCCCTTCGTCCCTATTCCCTTCACCTCCATTCTCCTCTCCATCACTATCCTCCCCCTCGGACTCTTCCCCTCCACTCTCTTTGCTCCCATCCCCTTCCCCCTTCCCGTCGTCCCTACTCCCTTTCCCCCCCTTCTTCTTGCCTCTCCTCCCTCTGCCAGCACCCCTTTGTCCTGCTCTCCTTTCTCCTCTATGCTCCCCTCTCTCCCCACCCCTGCTCCTATCCCCATCCCTTCTCCTCTCCCCATCTCTCTCCTTGCCCCTATCCCCACCGATCTCCCCCCCAACCAGTGGCAGTATCTTGATTCTCTTCACCCGCCTTGCCCTCTCTACCCTACATCCTTCCTCCACCCCTGCATGCAGACCTGCGTCCCTGCCTTGCATGCCAGTCCCCCCTTTCTCCCTCCCCTCCTCGCCCCCCTCACAGTCCGCCCTCCTCTTGAATCTCCTCCTTCTCGTCTGCTCCTCCTCTCTATGCGTCTCCCCTGCACCTTCCTCCCTGTACTCCTCCCCACCCTCCTCGTTGTCCACGCATCCCTCACTCCCCTCCTCTCTTCTCTTTACTCCTGCCTCTACACGGGCAACCACCCTACTTCCAAACCGAACTTTCAGAATCGTTTCTCCCCTTCCCTTCCCTGCTGCCTCCGGCTGCCTGTGTACAGCCCTTGGCACCTCTATCCCACATCCCAATTTCGCCTCACCGCAATCTGTTCTTCTCCTTCGCTCTGCTTCTGCATCTTCTCTAGCTTTCTCCACTCCTGCCTTCTCCTTTGCTTCCCTCTTCGCTCTCCGCATTTCTGCCCTTCCTTTCGCCTCTGCCTTCTCCCTCTCCTCCCTCTCTGCTTCAGCCCTCCTCTCCGCCTCTACTCTACCCTTCTCTGCCTCGTCTCTCACCTTCGCTTCCGCCTCTGCCTTGTCTTTGGCTTCTCTCTCTGCTCGAGCTTTCTCCTCTTCAGCCCTCCTCTCTGCCTCGGCTCTGGTCTTTTCTACATCATCCTTAGCCGTCGCTTCTGCCTCTATTCTCTCCTTCGCTTCCCGCACTCGTCGAGACCTTCTCTCCGTTTCCACCTTAGCTTTCTCCGCCTCTGCCTTTTCCTTGGCCTCTCTATCTGCTCTAGCCTTCTCCGCTTCAGCCCTTTCTCTTGCTGCTCTCTCCGCGTCCGCCCTTTCCTTTGCTTCTCTCTCTGCTGCAACCTTTCTCTCAGCCTCCATTCTTCTCTCCTCGGCTTCAGCCTTCTTCTTCGCCTCTCTATCCGCTTCAGCCCGCCTCTCAGCCTCCATTCTCCTCTCCTCCGCTTCAGCCTTCCCCTTCGCCTCTGCCTCTGCAGCAGCCTTCGCCTTAGCCACTTCAGCTTTCTCCGCCGCTGCCGTTTCCTTGGCTTCTCTATCTGCTCTAACCTTCTCCGTTTCAGCCTTCCCTTTCGCCTCTGCCTCGGCAGCAGCAGCCTTCGCCTTTGCCTCCACCTCAGCACGCCTCCTCTTGATAATCGCAGCCTTCGTTTTCCCTTCCCTCTCTGCCCTCCCCGCACCGTCCGCCTCCTCCTTCGCCCTCTCTTCCGCCCGTGCCTTTGCCTCCGCCTCTTCCCTCTCCTTCCTCCTTTCTGCCTCTGCTCGAGCAGCCGCCCGGATCTCTCTCTCCCTCGCAGCACTCTCCCTCCTCGCCCTCTCCTCCCACATCGCCTGCTCTCTCGCCTCTGCCTCCCGCGCTGCTGCGTCTCTTCTCAGCGCCTCCCGCGCTTCTCCTTCCCTCCTGGCGGCCTCCCTAGCTGCTGCTGCTGCTGCTTCTCGTGCTGCTGCCTCAGCATCAGCCACTGCTTCCATCTCCTCCGCCTCTATAGCAGCAGCATAGGCGGCGTCATCGGCAGCCGAAGCAGCGGCAAAGGCAGCAGCGGCTGCAGGGTCGGCCATGCAGACGTGCCCTTTCTTGGGGGCGCCGCACTTGCGGCACATGTACTGCTTCTTCTTGCCAGAGGGGCCATACACCGCTGATCCCCCAAGCGCCCCTGATAGCCCAGGAGTCCCTGATACCCCAGCCGTCCCTGGCAGTCCGGGTGTGCCTGGTAGCCCTGGCGTGCGTGGCAGCCCTGGCGTGCCGGACCGCATACCCCCCTCCACCAACCTCAGTGATTCAAAGAGCACGGGCGTGTGGGTGGTTGGTTCCCCCCTCCCTGACTCCCCCTTCCCTGATTCCCCCCCCAAGATCTCAGCACCATCAACAGCCCAGGAGATCTGTGCTTTCTCTGGTGTGGCCTCAGCACCTGGCCCTGCCAGCCCCGCTCCCAGAAGACCCGGGTTCAACTCCTGCTGGCGCACATTATCCCAGCCCAGAATCAGGTGCGGATTGGCCCTGATAAACCTTCTTCTCCAGAGGTTGATGTTGCGGCCAGCAGCCGAGCCCGGGAAGAGCAGGCTGAAGCCCTCAACCCCTCCTGCTGACGTCATGTGAGCCATAAACTGGCGGTAGTACTCTGCCTCCTGCTCCCTTGACTTGAGATCAAACCGGAAATCGAATCCCCAAACCGTCCATTTCTCCTCTTCTGCCTCCTCACTTGCCTCCTCATCTGCGCCCTCCCAGGGATTCCCTGCCAGCGCCAGCTCACCACACTCAGCTTCTCCCAGGCGTCTGTTTCCTTCTGCTCCCCCCTCTGCCATTGCTCCTGCTTCTGCTACGGCAAGCTCTGCGGTGTTCTCTAGCATATGCTCTATGCCATTTTCCTGGAGTGTGTTCTCCACAGTAACGAGCGCCAGGCAAGCCCCCTCGTTACTATCACCATGCTTAGTGGCATCGGTTCCTCCCTCCGCCTCCATCATGATGACGTCATCCTGCTCGCCGTCCCCCCCAAAGCCACCCACCACATCCCCCATTAAAGCCCTGTCAGCAGCACCTATCGCAACTTCTGTATGGGGGATGTTTAAACCCTCAACCACTGCCAGTTGCACCCCTCCCTCCGCCTCGCCCTCCCCTTCCCCCTCCCCACCTGCCTCCATGCCTGCCTGTTCCAGTACCCCTGCGCCTCCCAAATCCATTGAACCTCCTCCCTCCGCCACTACCCCCTCTGTTTCCGCTCCCACCAACGCCCTTCCTCCCACCTCCACTACTTCCTCTGCTCCCTCCTCTTCCTCCCCCCCCCCAGCCTCAAAAGAATGCCCGAGAATCACACCTCCATCCTCAGTTGAACCTGCCCCAGTAAAACCCGCCTCAGCTCCACCTGGCCCTGCCACAGCCTGGGTTTGTACGCCCCCTCCCTCGCCCTCAGGTGCAACACCAGTGGGGCCCACACCCTCATCCTCAACAATGCCAGCATCTTCAGCTCTCTCCCCCTCCACCCCTTCCTCCTCGTGTGCTTCCTCTCCCACGTCTTGGTCGCCCGCCTCCTCTCCCCCTCCCCCCTCCTCCCAGTCTTCCGCCTCTTGCCCCTCCCCTGCATCCTCCTCCCCTTCCTCTCCTTCCTCACCCCACCCCTCCTCCTCTTCCTCCCCGTCCTCGTCCTCTTGCCCTTCCCCCCCGTTCTCTTCTCCTTCCTCCGCTTCCTCCTCCTCCTCCCCTTCCTCCCCTTCCTCCCCTTCCTCCCCTTCCTCCCCTTCCTCCCCTTCCTCCCCTTCCTCCCCTTCCTCCTCCACTTCTTCTCCTTCCTCTCCTTCCTCGTCCTCCTCCTCCTCCTCCTCCTCACTTTCCCATCCTCCCCTCTTTCTACTCAGCCTCTCAGACCTCCTCACAGCAGCAGCTTCCGCTACCCGTCTCTTCCTTCCCCTCGCCCCCCCCTCCTTCCCCACGCCTTCCCCCTCCTCTTCCGCGCCCTCCCCCCCCTCCTCCGCGCCCTCTCGCTCCGCAACCCCCTCAAACTGCTTCTGGAGACTCATCCGCGCGGCCACCCCGCGGGTGATCCGCCTCTCCACGACCCCCGCGCTCCCCCCTTCTGCGCGGCCTCCTTCCGCCTTACCAGTCGCGGGGGAATTCGACTTCCGCGGTCGCCCGCGCCTCTTCCCCGTCTGGGGGAGCGCATTGGCGGGATCGGACAGGGGGAGCGCACCAGCGGGGGCGGACGAGGGCAGCGCGAAGATGTTACTCAGCGCGAGGCTCCCCATCCTGCCCACATTTCCCGCGGATCCCGCGAAGGGCGGCGGAGTGACAAGGCTTGCGCTTTGCGCGGAAGCGGGGGGCGGGATGGGTGCGGCGAAGGGTTGCCAGTGAGAAAAGCCCGCCATGTCTACCCCAATCTGCTCTGACATCGCCTCCATAAACCCCCGCCGCGGCTGCTGCTGCTGCTGCTGCTGCTGCTGTTCCTGTTGCGCGTGCTCCTGTTGTGTCGCCGAAGGGATCTGCGACTGGCTTGCGATCTGCTCCGCGACCGGGTGCGACTGCAGCTGCGCCTGCCCGGGCAGCGAATGCGGGAGGTGCTGCGCGGACTGCGCGGAAGGGCCTTGCTGTCCCGCCCCCTTGGTCGGACTGACGTCAGCGCGTTGGCAGGCGGGATCGGGGGAACCGGATAGCGGATGGGGCGTCCCACAGGGAATCGGCCCTGCTTCATCCGCTCCCTTCTCGCGCTCTTTCCGTGATAGCTCTGAGCGGTCCGCGGCGGGCTGGGCCTCTACTAGCGGGGGAAGCGGGGAGTTGGGGGGCGGCGACTGTTGCGCAACCGGCTCGGGAACACGCGCGAGTTGCTTATCCGCGCCTGTGGGCAACTCTGTCGCCAATGGGGCGTCTTTCCCCGAGTGACCCGCTTCCAATGCGTCAAGCTCTTCGCCTGCGACAGCATGCTCTTGGTCGCTCGGTACTGTGCGATCGGTACTGTCACACGCGACCGTCGCAGGCTCGTCGCCTGGCCCGTCGCAGCTCCGTGGCGACACGCATTGTCGCAAGGCAGCTTGCGAGCATGGTTTCGGTCTATCGTCCTCCTGCGACGGGTCGTGAACGAACATCACTCGCAGAGCTGAGCGAACTACGAGGACCCTTCGCTCACTCGCACAGGTCATGCTCGCGAAGCTAGGGTTACGACATGACAAGAATCCACTACGCGCGAAAATGACCTTCCTGCCAGGACCTCTCTACCTAGAACGACAACTTGGAAGTCCAGAATGAATTGTTACTCGGAAACAATAACTACGTCCTGTGAATTAGTCGCAAGCTACTTAGGTATACGCACAAAGCTTAGTCAGCGGCGCGTCTTGGCGTGGCAAGAAACGGCTAGGTCAAAGTAACGAGATTAGAACGCTAATTCTATCGCTAAGTGCGACTCGAGATGTCAACAAATTAGAGTCGAAGGAATTTTGAGAGGCTTTTGCTCCGATATCGTGCGACAAAATTCGCGCAAGAGAGCAAAAGCACGAAGGAAACAGGAGACTTTTGCGGACAGGTGTGGGTGTTGAGCGGGAAATAGCGACCTGCGAGCAAGAGCGGAGCACAGAGCTGCTGCGGGGTTTGCGTGGGGCAGGTCCCGAGGTGAGGAGATTTGAAACACCAAAGTCGACGTTCAAACCAACCCTAGAAACCTCCGAAAATCGTCAGTGTCGAATGTGATTGTACGGAACAGTATACTTTATATATAAATCTTCACTTTCATGTTTAATCATCTCGAGCTAGCACACCTTGTCTGAACCTTTTATCCCAAAATTAGAGAACTTGTATCGACAATTTCCAGACGACGCTTACGAAGTTCGTGAGCCTTTTCGTTTGATGTCGTCGAGCCTCGCCAGGCATGCCCAACCACCACCCTTGCCTTGCCTGACGTTTGGTTAGGTCTGGTTTTCTTTGAAAATCTGCCGTGCGCATGAGTCGTCGTGCGCCGCCGAAATCCCACAAGCCGACAACCAGCTCGACCTGGCTGCGCTGCCTTCCTGCGCGCGCGCGGCAGTCGAGCAGAGCAGAGACGAATTGGTTCGGACGGACGTCCGTACCGCGTCAGCACGTTCGGTCCGGTTCGTTTGGTTTGGGGGGAGGTGGGGGCACTGGGGGGTGTAGTGGAATTGTGGTTGGGGCGAAAGGAACTTGCGTGGATGGGGGGGACGGGGGGGGCTGTTCATTGGCGCTCTGGCTCTGACTCGCACATTCTGCATCTGCCTCCCTCGCCGAATCGCCCAAATGGAAACTCGTCTCGCATAAGGCACAGTGGAGGCAGGCAGGCAGGTGGTGCTGCTGGTGTAATTGGCTCCACCCGCTCAATTCAGTCACCGGATTCGCTCGGTTGGAACTTGGAAGGCAAGAGATGGGGGAGGCGGAAAGCTGAGCTGAGAGCGATCAATACACTCGTGGGTTGGAGCTAAGCTCTGCACAACACAAATGAACAACCTTCTTCTAGTTAGCCGATCAGCCGCCATGTTCTACCAGCATCGCGTTAGTCATCTCATGATATTCCCATGCTCGTGAAACAAATAGCAAGTCGCCATCGCTTAGTCGTCGCCGCTAGTACCGCTCCCTCCAGCCGCACTGACTCACACGCGAATGTGTTAGCCATCGCTTTCGCGGGCCGCGACCTCCTCACACGCTACTAGAACCAAGCTCCTGCAGCAAATATCTAGGGTCGGAAAAGATCCATACGCCGCTTCGGGCTGACTTTTGAGTCGACTCAAAAGTCCACGCTTTTCGAGCCCTGCTAGAACCAGGGTCCTCCAGCAAAATAGCTAAGATCGGGAAGGAGCTATATGCCGCCTCGGCTGCGGCGCAGCGCTACTACAGAAAATAATTCTGCGCCCTCCTTTGCACCATCGTACCCCGCACCTAGCCGCCACCGTGAGACCCGTCGCCCTAGTAGTAGAACCTACCAAGTGGTCCCGAAAGGGCTATATCTCACCCTCTCCCCGCCCATCGTCCCCTTTGTCAAAGTGATCTAAGTGATCTCAGTGATCTAAGTGATTAGTCTTTCCTACGTTCCAATAGCGGAGGTCTCGCCAGTGGTGAGTTCAATTTCCCCTCCGCGTCTGTTTCGCCGATGGCGCGCCCCCGTCGAGCCGCACTTAGCGCGATGGCTGCGTGGCTTCTGCTCCTCATCGCAAGTCCCGCGGCTCCCCGCCGGGCCTCCGCGTTTCGCTTGACGCAGGAGCCCCACGACCACCGCTATGCGTCCGCGTTTCAATCATCTCCGCGGCAGCGCGACGCGGCGCATGATCGTCATCGTAACGATGGAAGCTCCACGACTCTCGGCGAGTCCGCCTACCGCGATGCATTCGACCTGGATTCCACCTACCGCGATTTCGCTCACGACACGTTGGATGATGACTCCCTACGAAGCGCCCCTCTTGAATTTACCTACCGCGACGCGTTCAGTGGAGACGCCTCCACCGCCGCCTCCACCGCCGCCTCCACGAGTGGGAGTCGTGATCCCGCGGCGCTCATCGCCACGTCAGCGGGCTTGGCGTACCCAATGGCGGCTCCCATCTACGTGGCCAAGTCGCAGTGTGAGCCTAAGGAACCTGGGACGTCTCTCAAGGATCATCTTTCCCCGCCAACGTCACCATGTTACGAGACCAATGGGCGTGTGTGTGCTAGGGGTACTTGACAGGGTTAACCACGTTGGAAGAATCGCATCTTTCCCCCACCAATGCTTTTGCGAGGCATGACGTGGTAATTCTGAGTGCACTCAAGAATTACCCCCTACCTCTCCCACTTTCTCCCCCCAATACCCCCCTCCCAACGCCCAACGCCCAACCCAACAACCCACCAATCCTCCAGTCTATTTTTGAGGCGCCTCAAAAATAGTCTCCCACTTTCTCCCCCCAATCCCCCCCTCCCAACGCCCAACGCCCAACAACCCACCAATCCTCCAGTCGTCCCCCAAGGCCACGGCCACGTCCCCCAACTCCCCCTTCCCCCCCAGTGCCCGTGATGATGCCCCTCAACGCCACGCCCTCCTTCCCTTTTCTTCCCCAATCTACCCAAAACTTCTCAACTCGCCCCTCTCTCCCCCCCCCCCCCTCTTCCCCCAGTGCCCGTGATGATGTCACTCAAGGCCACGTGGTCGAAATACGCGGATCTCAGCTCGTGGGACGGCTCCAAGCCGTGCGATCAATGGACTAGAATCACGTGCTGGACCGACGGCACCATCAGGTCCGTTCATCCCGCCCGTGCTGCACACGTGGCAACATCCTGCCCGTTCATTCCGGCCCTGGTTGTTGGATGAGAAGGAAGCGTCCCGTTTGTTGATCAGTGCGCATGGGGACGCGAAACCCGTTTCTCCTCGTCGTCTTTAGTTGGTGTTGGTGTCGGTGTTGGTGTCGGTGTTGGTGTCGGTGTTGGTGTCGGTGTTGGTGTTGGTGTTGGTGTTGGTGTCGGGCGCGCATGGTTACTTGTGTGCGTCTCCTCACATTTGTGTATCCCCCGTGTGCATGTGTCCTGCACGGCGTCACCCCAACAGGCGCATGGAGATGAGCGGTCTGGGCCTGAAAGGCAGTCTGCCCGGCATTATCGGCGACCTCACCACCCTACAAGAACTGTCAGTCATCCCCCCCCCCCCCTCGCGCCCGTGGCTCACATTCGCTATAACCGCCTGGCCACAATCACCATTGTCGCTCTGGATGATGCGTCGTGTGGTGGTTGTCATGCGCTGCCTGTGGTTGTTGTTGTGTGTAAGGCTGCCTGCTGCGTTGCTAGCTACCAGCCAGTGACAGACCCTCCCGTTTCCCTCCGCATGTCGCTCATTGCTACTGCTCCTCATGTTTCCCTCCCTCATCATGAGAAAGGACCCTACCTCTCCTTGAACCCAACCTTCCTGGTCCTTATCCCCGTTACTGGCAGCCTCATTACCAAGAACTGGCTTACCCACGAGTTCCCCAACTCGCTCTCTAAGCTCGTTCGCCTGCAGAACCTGTGAGTGCGGAGTGTGAGTGTGATAATGGGGGGTTGGCTAGCTAGCTATCTGATATGGCCTCTTCTGTAATATTGACGCCATACCGTATGCGGGCACCGTACCCTAAGCCCTGCTCGCTGTTTCGGGTCGGGCTCGTCTGCTCTTTCATTCCCTTGCCTGATCACCCACCATGCCCAACATGCCTACGATGCCCCTCACCATGCCTGTTCCTCTGTCTCTCATCTGCATCCATCTGCGCTCATCTGCATCCATCTGCACCCAGCCAAGTATGGAGCAACTACTTCAACCACACCATCCCGCCTGGGCTGGGCAACTTGCGCAGCCTGTACCAGCTGTGAGACCCCCCCCTCTCTGCCTGTACCATCGCTAACTACATTCTCGTCCTCATATCCCCCACCGCTTCTCCCTATATCCCCCGCTTCGCGTCCTCATATCCCCCACCGCTTTCCGCTGTCCATTTCTGTACTTGCCTTGGCTATCCCACACCGCTTCTCCCTGGCTGCCCTCCTTTCCCTCCTCTTCCCTTCCCCCTTCCCCACCTCCCCTCTGCTTGCTCCTGTCCCCGGGCTTCAGAGAAGAGCTGAAAGGCAGTCCCCATCGCCCCAATCCCCAGTCCCCATCGCCCCAATCCCCAGTCCCCATCGCCCCAGTCCCCGTTTCAGCACTAGCTAGTTCACTCTCTCGCTTCCTTTTCGTCCGTGTCTCTTTGGAGTCGAGTCAAAAGCCACACAAAGTTACAAGTGGGTGGTGCTCCCTCCGTTGTCCTGATCCTCCCTGTCTCTTCGTGATTCTCTTCGCCTACAGCCATCTCAACATCAACTATTTCAAGGGCGGCATTCCCAGCACCTTCTCGCGCCTCACCAACCTCTACAGGCTGTGAGTCCCCGGCAGAGGTGATCTTTTCCACCTGTAGCCCCGGTAGCGAGGTCCGCGAACTGTATCACCTCTACAGGCTGTGAGTCGTCAACACCTTTGCCCATGTTTTACACCAACCACTTTTGAGTCGACTCAAAAGTAGGCTCGTTGCTCTTCCCCAGGGTCCCTCATCCCATCCGTTTACCTTCATTCCCCCTCTCCCCATTCTCCTCTCCCCATTCTCCTCTCCCCATTCTCCTCTCCCCATTCTCCTCTCCCCATTCTCCTCTCCCCATTCCCCCTCTCCCCATTCTCCTCTCCCCATTCTCCTCTCCCCATTCTCCTCTCCCCATTCCCCCTCTCCCTATTCTCCTCTCCTCTCCTCAGCGTTGCATGCGTCCTCCTAGCCTCATCTGCATTGGGGCGCTTTTGAGTCGACTCGAATGCGTCCTCCTAGCAACATCTGCATTGGGGCGTCTCAAAGCAATTCACTTCCCCCAGACCCCTCCCCTCCCCTCCCCTCCTCAGCTTTGTGGCGTCCAACCTCCTCTCCGGCACCTTCCCCAGCGTCATCTGCACCATGACCACTCTGAGGGAATTGTGAGTGCCGTGAGCCTGTGAGTGCCGTGAGCCTGTGAGTGCCGTGAGCCTGTGAGTGCCGTGAGCCTGTGAGTGCCGTGAGCCTGTGAGTGCCGTGAGCCTGTGAGTGCCGTGAGCCTGTGAGTTCCGTGAGCCTGCGAGTGCCGTGAGCCTGTGAGTGCCGTGAGCCTGTGAGTGCCGTGAGCCTGTGAGTGCCGTGAGCCTGTGAGTGCCGTGAGCCTGTGAGTTCCGTGAGCCTGCGAGTGCTTTGGTGGCGCCTCCAGCTTTGACGGAGCCTCCAGCGTTGACGGAGCCTCCACAGTGCTCTATTTCCATCCCGTGGCATCTGCACCATGACCCCTCTGAGGAAGCCGTCTGTTTCTCTTGAGGCGCCTCAACACTTCGCTACTTGCACCCACTGCTATATGCACCATATGTTGAAAAGGGCGCTGAGAACAGTACGTGCTGCATCACACACACGGCAATGTTGCATGATGCAAGCAAACGCCTCGACGCTCTGATCCATGATCCCTAGATCCATCCCTAAACCCATGATCCATCCCTAAATGATCCATCCCACCCATGATCCATCCCTAAACCCATGATCCATCCCTAAACCCATGATCCATCCCTAAACCCATGATCCATCCCTAAACCCATGATCCATCCCTAAACCCATGATCCATCCCTAAACCCATGATCCATCCCTAAACCCATGATCCATCCCTAAACCCATGATCCATCCCTAAACCCATGATCCATCCCTAAACCCATGATCCATCCCTAAACCCATGATCCATCCCTAAACCATATCCATCCTAAACCCATGATCCATCCCTAAACCCATGATCCATCCCAGCTACTGCCAACCCCTTTCCCCCTTCCATGTAACCCACCCCTTCCCTCTCCTCCCCCCAATCCCCAACCCCCCCCCCTCCCCCAACCCCCTCTTTCCCCATACCTTCCCCAGCTCCCGGCAGTCACACAAACAAGAACCATTTGGATGGTTCACCCTGTGTGGCATGGTACCACCCTCTTATCCCCCTTCCCCTGCTGCCACCCCCTTCCTCCCCCCCCTCCCCCTGCCCCCCTCCCTGCTCCACACCATCCCCGGCTCGGACCAGGCGCATCAGTGGCAACCATTTCGAGGGCACCATCCCTGCCTGTGTCAGCCGGCTGAAGCTCCTCTACTACATGTGCGTGCCACCCTGCACGCCTCCCCAACATGCATGCCCCTTCTCCAACATGCATGCCCCTTCTCCAACATGCATGCCCCTTCTCCAACATGCATGCCCCTTCTCCAACATGCATGCCCCTTCTCCAACATGCATGCCCCTTCTCCAACATGCATGTCCCTTCTCCAACATGCATGCCCCTTCTCCAACATGCATGCCCCTTCTCCAACATGCATGCCCCTTCTCCAACATGCATTGCCCTTCTCCAACTTGCATGGCCCTTCCCCAACATGCATGCCCCTTCTCCAACATGCATGCCCCTTCTCCAACATGCATGCCCCTTCCCCAACATGCATGCCCCTTCTCCAACATGCATGCCCCTTCTCCAACATGCATGCCCCTTCTCCAACATGCATTGCCCTTCTCCAACATGCATGGCCCTTCTCCAACATGCATGCCCCTTCCCCAACATGCATGCCCCTTCTCCAACATGCATGCCCCTTCCCCAACATGAATGGCCCTTCTCCAACATGCATGCCCCTTCCCCAACATGCATGGATTGTATGCACGCACGCACCTGACCCTCTAACCCTCCTCATGCATGCCTCATCACTCTCCCCCCCCCCCCCCTTGCATATCCCCCTACCTGTGTATTTGGATACCAACTGCTTCACGGGCCGACATCTATGTGTGCATGGGGACTCCTCATTCACGGGCCGACATGTATGGGTGCATGGGGACTCCTCATTCACGGGCCGACATGTATGTGTGCATGGGGACTCCTCATTCACGGGCCGACATGTATGGGTGCATGGTGTACGGTCAGCCCCTAACCCTCACCATGCATGCTCCGCACTTACCCCCCTACTCCCCCCCCCAGGTACGTGGACACCAACCGCTTCACAGGCCGGCTGCCCAACTCCATCGGCACCATGGCCAACCTGCAAAACCTGTACGTCCCTCCCTTCCCTTACCTCTGCGGCCCTCCCTCCCCTCACCTTCCATCTCGTGCAACCCACGTCCTCCCCACCTCTAGTCTCTCTCACCCGGCTCCTGTCTCACAATGTCCAACTTGCAGAACCTGTACCGCCTCCCATTGCCTTCTCTTCCCTTCCCTTCCCTTCCCTCTCGTCTTCCCCGCGTCCTCCCCACGTCTAGTGTCTCTCTCTCACCCGTCTCCTGTACCCTCAACCTCTCTTGCGACCCGCGTCCTCCTTACAGATGGTCTCACCCAATCATCCTCTAGTCTTTCCGAAATTTTGACCGGTTTGTGACAATGGGTACGGCCCTCGCCTCACCCCCCCTGCCCTGTCTCTGCATCTCTCCCTCTCAACCTTCCTCAACCTCCCGCCCCTCTCACACCTCCCCCCCACCCTTCCCTCCTCCCCCTTCCTCCCCCGCAGCTTCATCAACCAGAACAGCATCAGCGGCCCACTCCCCGCCACCATCACTCGCCTCAGGAAGCTGCGCATTCTGTGAGCAATGAGCATTCCCCCTCTCCCTAGCCACCCCTGCCACACTGCCACCCCCCATCCCCCCCTTTATCCCTCTCTCCGCTCCCCGCCACCATCACTCGCCTCAGGAAGCTGCGCATCCTGTGAGCAACCTTTCTAAGCACCCATGCTGGACTGTGAGAATTCCTTCCCTCGTGAGTCGTGACTCAGTTTCACTTCACGAGCAGAGCAGCAACCCACCTAATCCTCACTTCCCTTCTCACACGTCTCGCCCCACCCCCCCCTGCTCCCAGCTTCATGAGCAGCAACCCGAAGCTCACAGGCAGGCTGCCACGTAACCTGGGCAACATGGTTGGACTCACGGACCTGTGAGTGACACGTGGCAGAATGACGTGTGAGTGACACGTGGCAGAATGACGTGTGAGCAACACGTGGCAAAATGACGTGTGAGTGACACGTGGCAGCATGGGATCGGGCAGAGATGTCTGGTTGGGTACCCTGGGTGTAGCAGCATTGCTCTGGCCCTATGAACGAATCACCCCCATTCAATCCCCCTCTCTCTCTCCCTCCCCCAAGCACATTCTGTTTGCCTCACCAGCCACAAGGGGAGAGCCAAGAGTGTTCTCGACTTCTCTCCTGAACCCTTCTACCCTCTCATTCCCTTCTCATTTCCTTCTCATTTCCTTCTCATTCCCTTCTCATTCCCCATTCATTCCCAACCCATTCCCCAAGGTCCCCGAAATTCGGGGACCTTGGGGAATCATGGCCATTGAATGATTCATCAATGGCCATTTCAAACCTCCGTTGTTTCCTCCGCCCCTCCCTCCTCCTCTTACGCCTCTCAGGGTGATGGAGTTTTGCAACTTTTCCGGCCCCATCCCACCGTCGATCACTCGCCTCACCCGCATGCAGCGGCTGTAAGGAACCTTTGCATGGGCCCCGCACTTCGGAACGCCCCAATGCTGCCATGCCACCAGTTCTCAATCCCCCTCCCAGCATCAATCACTCGCCTCACTCGACTGCAGCGACTAAAAGCACCTTCCCGCCCCCCCACCCCCTCACTGCCCGTCTTGTCAAAATACCTCAAGGTGACTTTTGAGTCGACTCAAAAGTCACTCCCTCCTAACCTCTGCTCTCTGGTCCTCCTCTCTGCTCCCATAGCTCCCCACCACTCCCCCCAGCCTCCTGGACAGCAACTATTTCCAAGGGATAATGCCTGAGAACCTCGGCAGACTGCCTTGTTTCCCCAGACACAAGAGCGGCTTGCAGAGCCCCTGACCCTCCCCTTTTCCCCCCTTCCCCCTCCTCCCCCTGGGCCCCCTCAGGCTCCTGGACAACAACTCCTTCCAAGGAGTAGCGCCTGAGAACCTCTCAGGCTGCCGTGCTTCCCCACACACAAGAGCCCCTTGCTGAGCCCCGGACCCTCCCCTCCCCTCCCCTCCCCTCCCCCCCCCACCCCGGCCCACTCAGGCTCTTGGACAACAACTATTTCCGGGGACCAGTGCCTGATGGCATCAGCAGGCTCACGGATATCACCATTCTGTGGGTCATTGTATCACCAGCTTGCTTTCACTTCATTGTACAAGATGTTGTATTTTGAGTCGACTCAAAATACAAGATGTTTCGGGTAGGAGAAGGTCTGGGCTAGGCTAGCCTTCACCTCCCCCAGACACCTGGAGGGCAGGGCAGATTTCTGTAAGGGTCACCCAGAGGACACACGTTCCCCAAGAACAGTGCTCATTTGCCCCAGGGCATGACAGTGCTCATTTGCCCCAGAGCATGACAGTGCTCATTTGCCCCAGAGCATGACAGTGCTCATTTGCCCCAGAGCATGACAGTGCTCATTTGCCCCAGAGCATGACAATGCTCATTTGCCCCAGAGCATGACAATGCTCATTTGCCCCAGAGCATGACAGTGCTCATTTGCCCCAGAGCATGACAGTGCTCATTTGCCCCAGAGCATGACAGTGCTCATTTTCCCCAGAGCATGACAGTGCTCATTTGCCCCAGAGCATGACAATGCTCATTTGCCCCAGAGCATGACAATGCTCATTTGCCCCAGAGCATGACAGTGCTCATTTGCCCCAGAGCATGACAGTGCTCATTTGCCCCAGAGCATGACAGTGCTCATTTGCCCCAGAGCATGACAGTGCTCATTTGCCCCAGAGCATGACAGAGCCCCCAAACCAGATTCTACATATACCTTCCTTCCCATGGTACGCACGCACGCCCTCCCTTCTCTTCGCCCACGCCCCCCAATTCAACACCCCCCAACCCAACCCACCCTGTTCCCCCACCAGGTACCTGGAGCGCAACTTCCTCTATGGCACGTTCCCCAAGGGCATTTCTCTGCTGCCCAAACTGGCCTACCTGTGAGTTAAAGCCCCGCTGATGCAATCTTGCTGACGCAGTCCGGCTGATGCTGGTGCGCACCTGGCGGGCTGAAGGTGCTGCAGAACGCACCAGGCATTACATGGCATCATCCGCCCCAGTGCCCTCTAGCCTTCTCACATTGCCATCGCCCCTCTCTTCACTACTCACCCCCTACCTCTCAACCATACCCTTGTCCAGCTCTTTCACTCCTTTCCACCTCTCTCAACCATACCCTTGTCCAGCTCTTTCACTCCTTTCCACCTCTCTCAACCATACCCTTGTCCAGCTCTTTCACTCCTTTCCACCTCTCTCAACCATACCCTTGTCCAGCTCTTTCACTCCTTTCCACCTCTCTCAACCATACCCTTGTCCAGCTCTTTCACTCCTTTCCACCTCTCTCAACCATACCCTTGTCCAGCTCTTTCACTCCTTTCCACCTCTCTCAACCATACCCCCCTCCAGCAATCCCCACCGCTATCTTCCTTACCCTGTGAGCAGCTTGCTCAAAGGGCCTCTCTCCACCAACTTTCCAAACCCCGGATTCATCCAGTGGGGGCAGTACAACCTGCGCGATAATCTCTCACGGGCCCGCAGTGGTAACCGCGGCCGTGACCTTCAGGTCTTCAAGTCAACTCATGGTACCCTTATCCACCCCTTCCCCTACCCCGACTCACCCCACCCTGTAACCCCTTCTCCCTCCAGCAATCTGCACAGCAACTTGCTCACAGGCCCTCTCCCCACCAACTTCCCCAATGCCTGGTTCCCCGAATGGGGGCAGTACAACCTGCGAGACAACTTCTTCAACGGGCCTGCAGTGGTAACCGCAGGCGGGCGGGCCTTTTGCCCGGTCAACGCCACCTACAGATCCATATTTTTCGAGTCGTCTCTTGCTAAGAACTGTTTGACTTACCCTGCTGGGAGCCCGTGCGTGAAAGCGGGGGTGGTGCAAGTGCAGGTGCCGACTCATGTATGCAAGAGGTTTTGTAACGCGGATACCAACACATGCGGGGGGAAGGGGTACTGCTGGTTTGGCGGTGGGAGGAGCCCGTCTTGTGATTGCTTTAGAGGGTACAAGCCCACTGCTGATAAGCTTTCCTGTGTGAAAGCTTGACATATATGCTTTGTAGAAGTGTTATAGCACGAGGTCAAGCTTTTTTTTTCTATCTTCACTTGTTTTGTATTGCCATTTCTTGGATCAGGGTACTTGCTATCGGTAATTTCACGACGCGCTCTGGCGAACATTTCGTTTTGACGTCGTTGAACCTCGTCAAGCGTGCACAATCACCGCCGAACTCTTACCTGGCCCACAGGTTCAGTTGGGTTTGGCTGGGCCCTGCCAGCGCGAATGAGCCACCAAGGAAATCACGAGCAGCTGTCTGTTCCGTGTCATACCGCACCAGCGTTTTCGGCTCGGGTCGGGCGTGAGGGACCAGGAACCTCCCTCGGAGCAAATGTTCATTGGCGCTTCTGATCTGCTGAGCCGCACGTTCTCCACCCAGCTCCCTTGCCGAATCGCGCGTCACGAGACTCGTCGTCGTGTCAGACGGACCCCTCGACGAAGACGCGAATTGCTCACAGCCAGGCGCAGTCAGACAGGCAGGCAGGTGGGCGAATGGCGAAAGAAATTACCCACTGAGTCACGTCAAAGTTACCGAAGCACACACGTTCCAGCCGCTCGAAAATAAAATTGAACCATACTGTACCGATCATTAACGTCAGAGCCTGACATTCTTTGATCCACCAGCCAGCAGCAACCACAGGCCTCCTGGGAGAAACCCAACCCAGCAACTCGACTCAGCATTCTCAACCAGATTTCAACTAGCCAGCCGACCGCCGTCCTCACACCGCTTTACCATGCCCCACAGACTTCCCGTGCTCGGTAGACGATTTTCCATTCGCCATCGTTAGGTCGTCGCCGCTGCCTCCGCGTCCAGCCGCGCACGTCTCAACGCAAACCAAAAATGGTATCGTAAACCGATTTGGCTAAAGCTTAGCCCTAGTAGAGAGGCCGCAGTTAGGAGAGACCGAAGAGAGAGAGGCCGCAGTCAGTCTCCGTCGCCGTCCCGTCACGTCGAACACTGAGCAGTGAGCCAAGGGTTCGACCCTCCGCCCGTTGCTACTAGTAGGGCCCACTAACCTACTCGGGACTCCGAAGAGCTCGATTCCCCACTCGTCCTCGTGTCTGATGCATCCCCTGCAGTAGAGTCGCACCGCAACCTTAGTTTACTCCGTTAGTAGGCTATCGCGTTAACAGTCTCGTAGTCCTCCAGCCGTCACGTCCGGCCATGGCTGGTCCCCGTCGAGCCGCATTCAGCGAGATGGCGGCGTGCGCGCTGCTCCTCCTTACGACCTCCGCGGCTCTTCCGCGAGCCGCGGTGGCGTTTCACCGGGCGCCGGAGCCGCGCGACGCCGTCGACGCTCGCCACGACTTCGACTTTCGCAGCAGCATTAGCGCCTCCGACCAGCAACAGCAGCAGGCGAATAGCGGGTTCGCGTCGCCGACAGACAACGGGTTCGCCACGCCGCTCAGTATCGAATCCACCTACAGCGAATCCTCCCCCTACTCCGTTCCTTCCGCGTCCTCCGCGTCCGTCTCCTCCGCTTCCTCCGCCGCGAGCGGGAGTCGCGACCCCGCGGCGCTGATCGCGGCGTCGGCGGGACTCGCGTATCCCATGCGCGCTCCCATCTATGTGGCCAAGTCGCAGCGTGAGTCGCCACGTGTCACGGCTGACTGTTCTTTCCCCCAATCCAACTCCCCCCTGTGCCCACTGCCCTGTACTTTTGAGCTGCTCTCAAAAGCCATCCCTTTTCTGTCCCCCTAAGTTTTCTCCCCTCATTTATTCACCCACTGCCCTCATTTATTCACCCACTCCTTCCGCCCAGTGCAGGTGATGCTGTCTCTCAAGATCACTTCGTCGCTCTGACACCCCCCCCACCCCCCTTCCCGCCCCTCTCCCCTTTCTCTCCCCATTCCTCCCCAAACTTCCCCAACTCCTCCCGCTCTCCGCAGGGCCGGTGATGCTGTTTCTCAAGGCCAAGTGGCTGCTCTGACTGCTCTCCCCACTCCCTTCTTCTCCCCCCCACTCCCCCAAAACCTTCCCAACTCATCCGCCCCTCCCAAACCCCCCCCCCTTCCCCCCTCCCCTCCCCCTCCCCCAGTGCTCGTGATGACGTCTCTCAAGGCCACGTGGTCGTTTCGATGGCTCTCAAAGGCATCCTTTCTTCTCCCCCTTTCTCCCCCTTCTTCCCCCTTTCTCCCCCACTTCTCCCCCTTCTTCCCCCTTTCTCCCCCACTACTCCCCCAGTGCCCGTGATGATGTCACTCAAGGCCACGTGGTCGAAATACACCGACCTCAGCTCGTGGGACGGCGCCAAGCCATGCGCTCAGTGGTTCAGAATCAAGTGCTGGACAGATGGCACCATCAGGTCCGTTCATCCCGCCCGTGCTGCACACGTGGCGGCATCCTGTGCGTTCATCCCGGGCAGATGGCAGCGTCCAGTCCGCTGATCAGCTAGCACAGGGATGGACGAGCATTGTGCCCATCGTCTCGTCTGATTGCGTTGCTGCGTGTGCGTGTGCGTTTGTGTGTGCGCTGCCTGCTCTGACTGTGCGTGAGCAGGACTTGTACCAGGCATCTGTGTACGCACACGCGCACATCAATGAATGCGTGTGTGTGTGTGTGCGCGCGCCCCTCACTTCAACACGCGCATGGAAACGAGCACTCTCGACCTAGGAGGCAGTCGGCAGGAGCTGTCAGTATCCCCGAGCCCGAGCTATTAGCATCCCCATTCGTGCCTGAACCCCCGTGTGTATGTGTGCGTGCGCGCCCCTCACGCCTCTACAGGCGCTTGGAGATGAGCGGCCTCGGCCTGGGAGGCGGTCTGCAGGAACTGTCAGTCACCCGTCATTGTGTTCTTGCCTGTATCACACGTCCTTGCATTCTTGCCTGTATCCCCCTTCGCGTGTTTGCACACGTGCCTGCACGCCCCTCCCTTCACCAGGCGCATGGAGATGAGCGGCCTCGGCCTGGGAGGCGGTCTGCCCAGCAACATCGGCGACCTCACCACCCTGCAAGAACTGTCAGTGCCACGGCCAAGAGCGCCCGTGCCTTGCTCCCTCATGAGCTATGCTCACCACTCTGCCTGATTTGTCAGTCGCCCACCCACCCCTCTGCTGGCCGTGCCTCACATCCGCTGTTGTCACGCACGCGAGGGGGTGAGCAGGGTAAGCCCGTGTTTGCCGCACGCCTGTCATCACAAGCAACTGCCGTACACTTGACGGCCGTACACTTGACTGCCTCACATTGCGTTCCTCTGTGAGCATCTTTGAGAATTCTCAGGAATCTCTCAGAAAGACCGTGTTGGCCGCCTGCCATCACAAGCACCTGCCTTACACTCAACTGCCTTACACTCAACTGCCTTACACTCGACTGCCTTACACTCGACTGCCTTACACTCGACTGCCTTACACTCGACTGCCTTACATTCGACTGCCTTACACTCGACTGCCTTACACTCGACTGCCTTACACTCGACTGCCTTACTCTCGACTGCCTTACACTCGACTGCCTTACACTCGACTGCCTTACACTCGACTGCCTTACACTCGACTGCCTTACACTCGACTGCCTTACACTCGACTGCCTTACACTCGACTGCCTTACACTCGACTGCCTTACACTCGACTGCCTTACACTCGACTGCCTTACTCTCGACTGCCTTACTCTCGACTGCCTTACACTCGACTGCCTTACACTCGACTGCCTTACTCTCGACTGCCTTACTCTCGACTGCCTTACACTCGACTGCCTTACATTGCCCGCCTGCCTTACATTGCCCTACCTCTGAGAGTGTCAATCCTATTCGCCTGTATCCCCGTTACTGGCAGCCTCTTTACCAGGAACTGGCTGACGCATGCGCTCCCTGACAGCCTTTCCAAGCTCGTTCGCCTGCAGAACTTGTAAGCTCCGGGTGCGAGCGCGGTGGCGAGGGGTGCAGGTGCGGTGGTGAGAGGTGCAGGTGTGAGAGTGAGGAGTGCAATTGTGCATGCGTGGAGTGCATGGTCAGTGGTGCCAATCGCACCACCACCCCCTCGCTTGTCGCACATAGTGTACTTAACCGTACCTTCTTATGCCAGCTGTGTGCGCCTGCCTACAAATATACACCCATGTGCACCCATCTGCACCCAATTGCCCTGCAGTCAGATATGGAGCAACTATTTCAATGGCAGCATCTCCCCAGCCCTCGGCAACATGCGCAGCCTCTACCAGCTGTGAGACCCCTCTCTGCCTTTACATGCTCTCACTCCCCTCTCTCCCTCGTCTCCCCTCCTCTCCCTATTGAGTCGACTCAAAAGTCACCTCGTCTCCCCTCCTCTCCCTATTTCATATCCTCCTCTCCTCTCCTCTCCTCTCCTCTCCTCTCCTCTCCTCTCCTCTCCTCTCCTCTCCTCTCGTCTCCGCTCATCTCCTCTCCTCACCATCCCCCCCGCGCTTGGCAACGTGCACCGCCTCTACCATCCGTGAGACCCCTCTCACTATCTACCCTCGCACTCCACTATCTCTCCTTTTTAGAAAAAAACTCAAGAGATATTCCCCCTCTCGTCCTCATGGCCCCCTTTCTCTCCCCCCTTACAATCACATTCTGCAGCCATCTCAACATCAATTATTCTACGGGCGGCATTCTCTGCACTGCTTCTGAGGCGCCTAGATCCATCCTCTCTTCCCCATATCCCCCAACCATGCAGCCATCTCAACATCAACTATTTCACAGGCGGCATTCCCAGCACCTTCTCTCGCCTCACCAACCTCTACAGGCTGTGAGTCGTCAACAGCATGTGAGTTGACACAAGGATGTGAGGTGACAACAGGATGTGGTTTGACACCAGCGTGTGAGTTGAAACCAGCATGGGAGGTCTCATAAGCTGTCGCCATTTGCCTTGAGACGTTTTAAGAGGAATAGCGTTTCCCTTGCTCCTGCCTGCCTGCCCTAAGCAGCTCTGTGTCGCCCAACCAGCTCTCAGACACCTTCCCCAGCTCTGTGCTTCTCAGACGGACATTGAGACCAGAAAGCGGTTCGTCTACTCCCCTCCCATGCGTGCGTCTCTCCCTCGTGTCTCCCTCCCCAGATTTGTATCGTCCAACCAGCTCTCAGGCACCTTCCCCAGTGTCATCTGCACCATCACCTCTCTGCGGGAGCTGTGAGTGCAGTGAGTGCAGACGGCGTGTCAGTGCTCCGAGCGTGTGAGTGCAATGAGCACTGTTGGGCTCACTTCAGTGCTACTGTTGGGCTTGTCACTGTCTTCAGCACTTGACAACTTTTGAGGCGCCTCAAAAACTTGTCACTGTCTTCAGCACTTGACGTGCGCCAGCCGTAGTCTAGTTGCTGCACGCAGCGTCATCTGCACCATCACTCTCTAAGGGAGCTGTGAGTGCAGGGAGTGCAGTGAGTGCAGTGAGCGTGTTGGTTATTTGAGAGAGCTGTGAGCGTGTTGAGTGCTGGGCGGTGAACGTTCATATGGTGGCTCAAACACAAGACCACCTGTCACCCCTAGCCTCCTTCCCCTTCCTGCTTTCCCCCCTCTACCCTGCCACACACCCCAGGCGCATCAGCGACAACCTTTTTGAGAATATGTCGCTGATGGCATGTTACTCACGTCTTATCCCCATGCCCTTCCCCTCCCGTGCCCTTCCCATATTCGCGTCCCTGGCGCGTCAGCAACAACTGCTTTGAGGGCACCACCCATGGCGTGTCACTCACACCATGGCGTGTCACTCAACCCATGGCGTGTCACTCAACCCATGGCGTGTCACTCAACCCATGGCGTGGCGTGTGACTCAACCCATATCCCCCTTTCCGTGTCCCTCCCTCCCCGAATGGCCCTCCCCCCTCTCCCCTCAACGTGCCAGGCGCATCAGCGAGAACCGCTTTGAGGGGACCATCCCTGCCTGTGTCGGCCGGCTGAAGCTCCTCTACTACATGTGCGTGCCCATGCTGCATGCCCATGCTACATACGTGCATGCCACTACCGCATGCGTGTGCTGCTAGTAGCCGCTGTTTGCCTTTGCTGCCGGCGAGCTGTGTAGTGTAGGATTGACGAAGGAGAGGGGGTGTCGTCAATTCGTCGCCAATTTGTCACCTTTATTGCACGTGGTGCAGGCACCCCAGTCTATTCAGCCTCGTAATTCTAGCCATATCTGATATTTGTGCATGTGCATGTGCATGTGCATATGCATGTGCATGCAATGCCCGTACCCCCCATTCCTCATCCCACCCCCCACTGCTCCTCCATTCCACCCCCTCCACCCCCTCCACCCCCTCCCCAACCAGGTATGTTCACACCAACCGTTTTCCAGCCGAACTGTATCTGGCCGTGCATGTGTGTGTGTGTGTGTGTGTGTGTCTGTGTGTGTGTGTGTGTGTGTGCACGCACCTAGCCCTCTGACCCCCTCCATGCATCCCTTTGCCCCCCCGCATGCATGCCCTTCCCCCCCACCCCCCCACCAGGTACGTGGACACCAACCAGTTCACAGGCCGACTGCCCAACTCCATCGGCTCAATGGCCAACCTGCAGAATCTGTACGGCCTAACCTCTCTAACCTCTCTAACCTCTCTAGCAACTTACTCTCTCTCTCTCAGTGTACCTGTAGCCCGCTGAGCCCGTCAGTGGTGGCTCGGTGTCCCTTCCACCTCTTGCAGTGCAGTGCACCCTTTTCATCACCTTTCATCACCTTTCATCACCTTTCATCACCTTTCATCACCTTTCATCACCTTTCATCATCTTTCATCACCTTTCATCACCTTTCACCACCTTTCATCACCTTTCATCACCTTTCATCACCTTTCATCACCTTTCATCACCTTTCATCACCTTTCATCACCTTTCATCACCTTTCATCACCTTTCATCACCTTTCATCACCTTTCATCACCTTTCATCACCTTTCACCACCTTTCATCACCTTTCATCACCTTTCATCACCTTTCATCACCTTTCATCACCTTTCATCACCTTTCATCACCTTTCACCACCTTTCATCCCTTTCATCACCTTTCATCACCTTTCATCACCTTTCATCACCTTTCATCACCTTTCATCACCTTTCATCACCTTTCACCACCTTTCATCACCTTTCATCACCCTTTCATCACCTTTCATCACCTTTCATCACCTTTCATCACCTTTCATCACCTTTCATCACCTTTCATCACCTTTCACCACCTTTCATCCCTTTCATCACCTTTCATCACCTTTCATCACCTTTCATCACCTTTCATCACCTTTCACCACCTTTCACCACCTTTCATCACCTTTCATCACCTTTCATCACCTTTCATCACATTTCATCACCTTTCATCACCTTTCATCACCTTTCACCACCTTTCATCACCTTTCATCACCTTTCATCACCTTTCATCACCTTTCATCACCTTTCACCACCTTTAATCACCTTTCACCACCTTTCATCCCTTTCATCACCTTTCATCACCTTTCATCACCTTTCATCACCTTTCATCACCTTTCACCACCTTTCATCACCTTTCACCACCTTTCATCACCTTTCATCACCTTTCATCACCTTTCATCACCTTTCATCACCTTTCATCACCTTTCACCACCTTTCATCACCTTTCATCACCCTTCATCACCTTTCATCACCTTTCATCACCTTTCACCACCTTTCATCCCTTTCATCCCTTTCATCACCTTTCATCACCTTTCATCACCTTTCATCACCTTTCACCACCTTTCACCACCTTTCATCACCTTTCATCACCTTTCATCACCTTTCATCACCTTTCATCACCTTTCATCACCTTTCATCACCTTTCATCACCTTTCATCACCTTTCACCACCTTTCATCCCTTTCATCACCTTTCATCACCTTTCATCACCTTTCATCACCTTTCACCACCTTTCATCACCTTTCACCACCTTTCATCCCTTTCATCACCTTTCATCACCTTTCATCACCTTTCATCACCTTTCATCACCTTTCACCACCTTTCATCACCTTTCACCACCTTTCATCACCTTTCATCACCTTTCATCACCTTTCATCACCTTTCATCACCTTTCATCACCTTTCACCACCTTTCATCACCTTTCATCACCTTCATCACCTTTCATCACCTTTCATCACCTTTCATCACCTTTCATCACCTTTCATCACCTTTCATCACCTTTCACCACCTTTCATCCCTTTCATCACCTTTCATCACCTTTCATCACCTTTCATCACCTTTCATCACCTTTCACCACCTTTCACCACCTTTCATCACCTTTCATCACCTTTCATCACCTTTCATCACCTTTCATCACCTTTCATCACCTTTCATCACCTTTCATCACATTTCATCACCTTTCATCACCTTTCATCACCTTTCACCACCTTTCATCACCTTTCATCACCTTTCATCACCTTTCATCACCTTTCATCACCTTTCATCACCTTTCATCACCTTTCATCACCTTTCACCACCTTTCATCACCTTTTCATCACCTTTCATCACCTTTCATCACCTTTCATCACCTTTCATCACCTTTCATCACCTTTCATCACCTTTCATCACCTTTCATCACCTTTCACCACCTTTCATCACCTTTCATCACCTTTCATCACCTTTCATCATCTTTCATCACCTTTCATCACCTTTCACCACCTTTCATCACCTTTCATCACCTTTCATCACCTTTCATCACCTTTCATCACCTTTCATCACCTTTCATCACCTTTCATCACCTTTCATCACCTTTCATCACCTTTCACCACCTTTCATCCCTTTCATCACCTTTCATCACCTTTCATCACCTTTCATCACCTTTCACCACCTTTCATCACCTTTCACCACCTTTCATCACCTTTCATCACCTTTCATCACCTTTCATCACCTTTCATCACCTTTCATCACCTTTCACCACCTTTCACCACCTTTCATCACCTTTCATCACCTTTCATCACCTTTCATCACCTTTCATCACCTTTCATCACCTTTCATCACCTTTCATCACCTTTCATCACCTTTCACCACCTTTCATCCCTTTCATCACCTTTCATCACCTTTCATCACCTTTCATCACCTTTCACCACCTTTCATCACCTTTCACCACCTTTCATCCCTTTCATCACCTTTCATCACCTTTCATCACCTTTCATCACCTTTCATCACCTTTCACCACCTTTCATCACCTTTCACCACCTTTCATCACCTTTCATCACCTTTCATCACCTTTCATCACCTTTCATCACCTTTCATCACCTTTCACCACCTTTCATCACCTTTCATCACCCTTCATCACCTTTCATCACCTTTCATCACCTTTCACCACCTTTCATCCCTTTCATCCCTTTCATCACCTTTCATCACCTTTCATCACCTTTCATCACCTTTCACCACCTTTCACCACCTTTCATCACCTTTCATCACCTTTCATCACCTTTCATCACCTTTCATCACCTTTCATCACCTTTCATCACCTTTCATCACCTTTCATCACCTTTCACCACCTTTCATCCCTTTCATCACCTTTCATCACCTTTCATCACCTTTCATCACCTTTCACCACCTTTCATCACCTTTCACCACCTTTCATCCCTTTCATCACCTTTCATCACCTTTCATCACCTTTCATCACCTTTCATCACCTTTCACCACCTTTCATCACCTTTCACCACCTTTCATCACCTTTCATCACCTTTCATCACCTTTCATCACCTTTCATCACCTTTCATCACCTTTCACCACCTTTCATCACCTTTCATCACCCTTCATCACCTTTCATCACCTTTCATCACCTTTCATCACCTTTCATCACCTTTCATCACCTTTCATCACCTTTCACCACCTTTCATCCCTTTCATCACCTTTCATCACCTTTCATCACCTTTCATCACCTTTCATCACCTTTCACCACCTTTCACCACCTTTCATCACCTTTCATCACCTTTCATCACCTTTCATCACCTTTCATCACCTTTCATCACCTTTCATCACCTTTCATCACATTTCATCACCTTTCATCACCTTTCATCACCTTTCACCACCTTTCATCACCTTTCATCACCTTTCATCACCTTTCATCACCTTTCATCACCTTTCATCACCTTTCATCACCTTTCATCCACCTTTCATCCACCTTTCATCACCTTTCATCACCTTTCATCACCTTTCATCATCCCCTTTCATCACCTTTCATCACCTTTCATCACCTTTCATCACCTTTCATCACCTTTCACCACCTTTCATCACCTTTCATCACCTTTCATCACCTTTCATCACCTTTCATCATCTTTCATCACCTTTCATCACCTTTCACCACCTTTCATCACCTTTCATCACCTTTCATCACCTTTCATCACCTTTCATCACCTTTCATCACCTTTCATCACCTTTCATCACCTTTCATCACCTTTCATCACCTTTCATCACCTTTCATCACCTTTCATCACCTTTCACCACCTTTCATCACCTTTCATCACCTTTCATCACCTTTCATCACCTTTCATCACCTTTCATCACCTTTTCATCACCTTTCACCACCTTTCATCCCTTTCATCACCTTTCATCACCTTTCATCACCTTTCATCACCTTTCATCACCTTTCACCACCTTTCATCACCCTTTCATCACCCCTTCATCTTCACATTTCATCACCTTTTCATCACCCTTTCATCACCTTTCATCACCTTTCATCACCTTTCATTCACCCTTTCACCACCTTTCATCACCTTTCATCACCTTTCATCACCTTTCATCACCTTTCATCACCTTTCATCACCTTTCACCACCTTTCTCACCCACCTTTCATCACCTTTCATCACCTTTCATCACCTTTCATCACCTTTCATCACCTTTCATCACCTTTCATCACCTTTCATCACATTTCACATCATCCCTTTCATCACCTTTCATCACCTTTCATCACCCACCCTTTCATCACCCTTTCATCACCTTTCATCACCTTTCATCACCTTTCATCACCTTTCATCACCTTTCATCACCTTTCATCACCTTTCACCACCTTTCATCACCTTTCATCACCTTTCATCACCTTTCATCACCTTTCATCACCTTTCATCACCTTTCATCACCTTTCATCACCTTTCATCACCTTTCATCCACCTTTCACCACCTTTCATCACCTTTCATCACCTTTCATCACCTTTTCAATCACCCTTTCATCCACCTTTCATCACCTTTCTCACTTCACACCTTTCACTCACCTTTCATCACCTTTCATCACCTTTTCATCACCCTTTCATCACCCCTTTCATCACCTTTTCATCACCTTATCACCTTTCATCCTTTCATCACCTTTCATCACCTTTCATCACCTTTCATCACCTTTCCATCCACCTTTCATCCACCTTTCATCACCTTTCATCACCCTTTCATCACCTTTCATCACCTTTCATCACCTTTCATCACCTTTCATCACCTTTCATCACCATTTCATCACCTTTCATTCACCTTTTCAATCACCTTTCATCCACCTTTCATCACCTTTCATCACCTTTCATCACCTTTCATCACCTTTCATCACCTTTCATCACCTTTCATCACCTTTCATCACCTTT